GTCAGTATCCTGGAATGGGTGAGATGTCAAAAAGCTTTGGAATCAAAAACAGCTAGAGTTTTTGTGTGTGTGTGTGTGTGTGTGTGTGTGTCCCCGAGTCCGAGTGTCGTGTGTCCGTCTGTCCATCCGTCCATCCAAGCTCAGCTCCTAAATAGCTGTGCAACTTAGGGCAAGTTATGTCACGTCCTTGAGTCCCAGTTTTTCCGTAGCTCAAATGAGAATGTACCTCCCATGTTGGTTGTGAAAACTAAGCAAGATGAGGCAGCTACAGTTCTCAGCACAGGTCCTGGCACCTGTATGACCCCTGTCTCAAAGCCATTTCTGCTTTTGTGGATTCTGTGGTTAGGCCTTTTTTCCTTTAAGTGTGAACGCTTTCTGCCTTTGAGTCCCACATTCAAGCTCCGCCTTTCTGGAAGAGACAGAGAACAGAACGTACCTTAGAACTGGCATCTTGATGGCCGCTGAGTGAAGGAAGGGTTGGTAGAACTTTACCTCCAGAAAGCAGTTTCATGGGGGGGTTAAATGGTGATGGAAGGACACTTGGAGTGGTGAACACACGGTACAATATGTGGATGGTGTATTATAGAACTGTACACCTGACACCTATATAATTTTATTAACCAGCGCCACCCCAATCAATTCGATAAAAAAGAAGAAAAAACTATTCTAAAATAAAATATATGTTAAGTTTCAAGTAGGTTTTTCCTTTAGATTTTTGCTCTGCATAGACGAAATTCTTTCTGCAAAGATTTTCCCATGGGATTTTTCCCCCATGTACCCAAGAATTCACTCATTTTATTAGTATTTACTGAATATAGATAAAACACATCTGTACCCCTTCCCATTTGCTTATGGTTTCTTGCCAAGAGTTGATACAGCCGCCCAAAGAATGCTCGCTAAGTCACTGATAAGGAAAGAAGTCTCTGCTCTGTGTGACTTTTAGATCCTGCGTGACATTTAGGTCCCATTTGTGAACTTGACCGTACTGCCTGTTTTCCATGGCGGCCTGGTCCAGTCCTGCCTAACGCTGAAAACTTTGTTTTAAGCATGTGATAGCACTTAATGAGTGCTTTTATAAGGGGCATTAAAGCCAGGAGGGAGTAGAAGTTAGATTCTCTCTCCTCCTGGGACTGGGGATGTACTAATGGGGGCAGTTCTGGTGCAGAGGCCTCTTCATCATTGACCCCAATGGAGTCATCAAGCATTTGAGTGTCAATGACCTCCCGGTGGGCCGAAGCGTGGAAGAGACCCTCCGCCTGGTGAAAGCATTCCAGTTTGTGGAAGTCCATGGAGAAGTCTGCCCAGCAAATTGGACCCCGGATTCCCCTACGGTAGGTTTCCTTTTCTAAAGCCCTGGGACCCCAACAGGTACTCACTGCCTCAAGGGCTGCTGGCCTGGAATGTCCATAAAAGGAGCTCACACCCGGAGCAAGGCCACTGATGATGCACAAATGAATGAAGCTGCTGAGAGGGGGGACCTATGGTTAGGCAAGCTATTAATGTAATTTTCACCCATGTGTTTTAAAGGAAACAGTTCAGCCTTGGAAAAGGTAAAGAATTTTAGGCTAGCCTGGCCGATATGGCTCAGTGGTTGAGCATCAACCTATGAACCAGGAAATCATGGTTAGATTTCTGAGTTGCCTGCTTAACTCCCAGTAGGGGGTGTGCAGGAGGCAGCCAATCAATGATTCCCTCTCATTGATGTTTCTCTTTCCCTCTCCCTTCCTCTTTGAATCAATATAAATATTTTTTTAATTAAAAAAAAAAACTAAAAATGGAGAATTTTCAACTCACTTTTGAAACTACTATCTTAAAGTCAGCTAATTAAATGTTTGTCTTTTCAGATCAAGCCGCATCCAACAGCTTCCAAAGAATACTTTGAGAAGGTAAACCAGTAGATCATCTCATGTACACCTGCAGCTTCTCAAAAGAACCACAGTTGGAGCTCATTTTTAGCATTTCAAAGATGATTATGTGTAGAAAGCAAAAAGCAATTATGTTTGCATTCATAAATAATACTCTAGATGTTTTGTATTGTAACATTGTCTAAGGCTTTTTAAACATGGTTAGGTACTAACCTTAGTCCTTTATTGGTAACTTCTTGATGGCTAGCTAGTTTATAGACTGCCTAGTTCACCTGTTTCTTTGATCATGTCTTCAATTGGAAACACTTCTTAGCTTTACCTGAACCTCTGTGTACACCTGTGTAGGACAAGTAAGCGAAAGCCTCTGATCAAGAGTCCTGAAATTTCCTTTCTGAATTTCTTTGTATTAAACAGGGTATTTTTGTGTGTGTTTTTTTAAGATTATAGCTTTAAGTTTTAGTACTAGCAGTCTACTTTAACTCTTGGAGTAGAGATATATTTGATTGAAACAATGTGAATCATGTATTTAAAAAAAAAAAAAAAAAAGTGGCAAAGTGACCTAACTGATCATGCATGCTCCTCATCCCTAAGAATTGTAGTTTCAGTAGTTATTTTGTTTATTTTATTTGTTAGCTGATTTAATGTCTGCATACATTTCTAAATATTGATTGGAGGTAATTATAGAGGATATTTATTTAATCCAGGAATTGCATTTTGAAATCATTACAATTATATTTTCTGAAGCGCTCAATGTAAAGCATATAATAAAAAATATATATATATTTTAAAATATTTGCATTTTCAACGTCATTCGTTGTTGGTCCGGCTGTTGTGGGCTCTAAGTGTTCTCTGACTACGCCAGCAGACAATGTACTTCACTCGGGGCCCACAGAGAGGAATGAGACCATGGCTCCATGCCCAAGGAGCTCAGTTTAAGGGGAAGAGAGAAATGGAAGCATCTGTTCATTATTTCAATAAGCTCATGAGTGCCTTCCATTTGCCAGGTGATTTTTTGGAGGCACAAGAGTGAACCAAAAAAGACAAGCCTTTTCCTTCCTGCACCTTCACTCTAGAGGGGAAAATACAACAAACATAAAAACACACAGACTGGAAGGAAACATTGGCGCGGAGGCTAGAGCAGAGCTGCAGGTGTTGTAGGTAGGGCTGTCAGGGAAGGCCTGGGGAGAGACCGTCTCCGGGTCTGCTTGCTCATCTGTAAAATGAGGGCAGTTGTACCTGTCTTAGGGTTTTGGTGAGGATAAATAACATGCAGAAAGTGAGGGAGTTAGGAAAACAAGAAGGTGCTAGGCAAAGGCCCACGGCAAGAGCGGTTTTGTGGGAACGAAGGCCAGAAGGGCCCTGTGACCTCAGGAGCAGTGGAGGGGGGAATGCTCATGAGCCCGGGTGCCTGAGGGGCAGCCAAGGCCTTTGGGTTCTGTTTCCAGGCGGGAAATATCAGGAAGGTTTGAGAAGAGTTACATCATCTTGTTCGAAAACGATTACTTGCACCTTTGTTCAGGCTACACTGCAAAGGTCCAAAGGGGAGCAGAGAGGTCAGCCGGGCTGGAGTGGTGACACGGGGATAGGACCAACAGAATAATACGGGTGTGCTAAAGACAGTGGTACAATAAATGCACTCCTGGGTCATGAGGAGGGCACTTGACCCAGCTGTGGGCGTCAGGGAAGGCTTCCTGGAAGAGGAGGTGGCGTGTGAAGATCATTGAAAGGTAAGCCAGATGGGCTGAGCAGAAGGAGCTGCAAAGGCACGTGGGCCTGAAGGGAACCATGACCTGGTTTCATGTTCCTGCAGAGGAAGGCAAGAGAAGAAATAGGTCGGTGGGGTATTAGCGGCCCAAACTGAGCACTTCCAAAGGACCTGCGCCATGTCAGGGCTTCTACCTCTTCTGTCATCGATCCTCAACCAAACCCCGAGTCAGCACAATTAAGTGACATTGTACAGATTCATAAAGAGACCTGGAGAGCCAAGACCGGTTTGGCTCAATGGATAGAGCGTCGGCTTGGGGACTGAAAGGTCCCGGGTTCGATTCCGGTCAAGGGCATGTACCTTGGTTGATGGCATATCCCCAGTAGAGGGTGTGCAAGAGGCAGCTGATCGATGTCTATCTCTCATCGATGTTTCTCTCTCCCTTCCTCTCTGTAAAAAATCAAAATAATATATAAAGAGACCTGGAGAGACTGACTTGACTAGGCCCACCCACACAACCAACGGGCGGTGCTCGTTCCCCAGCCAGGACTCCTGAGGACCCTGAGCACCCCAAGCCTCACACTAGCTTCTACCAACACACACCCCCTGCCCGTCCCACTGGGCGAAAGGTAAGGGCCCGCAGGAAGAAGGAAGGTGCGTTTTTCTCTCTACCAGTTGCTACTCGATCTGGTTTTGCCCCAGAGCTGGAGAAAACAGTACACTCAGCTGGGTTTCATGCTCTGATGTGGACCTTTCTCCATCTTTTTGAAATAAGGAGTCCACATTTTCAGTTTGCAGTTTTGATTATCCCCCGTCTCCGCACGCTGGCTGTAAGGGACAACAGGAGGGATCTCTCAGGGTAATGTCCAAAGCTTAGGTTGCGCTCCTGCCCGGAAGCGGCCTGTGGACCTAGGGGATGGCCATGCAGGGTGGCGATGCCCTGGTCTGTGGGAGAGGTGGGCCCACAGGAACAGGGGGTGCGCCGGGACTGGGACAGGGAGGCATAAGTGTGGGATCTGGGGCGTTAGGAGGCGGTGAAACCGAGCAGCAGGCACATCGAGCGCCAGGAGCTGTGACATCGGGTGACATCGAGCAGCGGGGAGCAGCGGGGAGCAGCGGGGAGCAGCGGGGAGCAGCGGGGAGCAGCGGGGAGCAGCGGGGAGCAGCGGGGAGCAGCGGGGAGCAGCGGGGAGCAGCGGGGAGCAGCGGGGAGCAGCGGCGGGGCCCGGGCGGCGCACACAGCGGGCGCGGGGCGCGCACGTGGAGACACCCCGCCGCCGGCACCGGGAGCGCGCACGGCCGGGGCGGGGCTCGCCGCGGCTCCTCCTCCCGCCGCCCGGCCGCCGGCCTCTCCGGCCATCACGCCGGTCCCGGGAGGACCCGCAGGAGGAGGCGGAGGCGGAAGCGGGCGTGCGGGGTTGTCCAAAAAGATGGAGCCCAACGCGCACTTCTGGATGACCGAGCGCCAAGTACGGCGGGCGCGGGGGGCGGGGCGGGCGGGCCCGGTGACCTTGGGCAGCCACGTGGCCGCCCGACCCCTCCCCGCGCCTCCTCCCGAGGGCCCTGGGGAGACCCTGGCTGGGACCCCGTCCGCTCTGCCCCGGGCCTGCTGGGAGGTCCCCTGCAGATCGCCCCGCGGAGGAGTCAGCTGCCCTCGCCGGCGTCCGCGCTCTGCGGCCCGGGCTGCCCTGAGCCGGGGGCGGCCTCCGGGTGGAGGGGAGCAGGTCCTCCCCGAGCCGCCGCCTCCCAGCAGGTCCTCCCCGAGCCCCCGTCTCCCAGCAGGTCCTCCCCGAGCCTCCGCCTCCCCGCCTCCGAGGCGCGGCCATCCGGAGCCTGGGCCGCCGGCACCGGCCACACGGGCCCCGCCTGCAGGCAGTGGCCGGGCCGCGCTGTCCAATAGCAACAGGACCGGAGTCCCTGGGTGATTTAAAATTCTCCAGCAGCCAGGTTACAAAAGCCAAAAAGAAGCAGCCGAAATGAATTTGTGTCATATATTGTATGAATCGCAATAGCTACAACACATTAACATTCCAACGTGAATTCTATAGAAAATTATTAGTGCGATATTTTACTTTTTTTTTTTTTAAGTTTTATTGATTTTCAGAGGGGGGGGGGGAAGGGAGAGAGAAACATCTGTGGGTCGCCTCTGGGAGGGTCCTGACTGGGAATTGAACCTACAGCCTAAGTGTGTGCCCAGACCAGGAATCGAGCCTGCAACCTTTTGGTCTACAGCCCAACCTAGCCGCCTGGCCAGGGTTACATCCTTTTTATGGTCTTGGAAACCTGGTGTATGTTTTATTTTTAAAAACATATTTTATTGATTTTTCACAGAGAGGAAGGGAGAGGGATAGAGAGTTAGAAACATCAATGAGAGTTAGAATCGATCAGCTGCCTCCTGCACACCCCTTCCTGGGAATGTGCCTGCAACCAAGGTACATGCCCTTGACCGGAATCGAACCTGGGACCCCTCAGTCTACAAGCTGACGCTCTATCCACTGAGCCAAACCGGTTTCGACCGGTGTATGTTTTACATATAAATTACATCTTGATTTTGCGGGGCCACCTAGCCAGGGCTCCATGGCCGCGTGTGGCTAATTGGACAGCGCAGTTCTAGTACATTCTCCTTCAGCCATCCCCTGAAGGCGGGCCCAGGCCTCATTTTCCAGGTGGGGAAGTGGAGAAGGGACAGGGAGCCCATGTTGTCCCGGCAGAGCCCAGACTCAAACCCTGTGAGGTCTGGGGGCTTTTTGAAGCAAACCGCACCTCCTTTCTCCGCATGACAACTGTTTAACTCCTTAAGGGCAGTCTGATCCTGGAGTGGGTCAGAGCACAGGCCACGAGTCGTTGCCCGGCTGGGTTCCTGGAGTGCATCGGGCCCTTCTAAGCCTCAGTCTTCTCACCTGTAGGGATTCTGGGAGAAGCTGCAGGTAGACCACCCTGTTAGGTTGTCCGAAATAATGCTAACCATGAACATCTTTGTTGTTCTGCTGTTAACTTCCGGGGTGCTTTTCTGAAGTCTTTTTTCCAGAGATTTGTTCAGTGGACAGAGTTATTGGATCCTACAAATCTGTTCATTTCGATTGTAAGTATTTTTCTTGTTTTCGGAGCTCATGGATTTTACCTTTTATTCTGAACCTGTGGAGAGCAGGTGAAATAACAATCCACATAGATCACCATGCTCTTACTAGTCCTTCGAATGAGCTTGTTAGATGGAAATGTAATAAGTAAAAGTGGGCATCCAGGTAACACGAGGACAAGCCCGGGCCAGGGGCTGGAGTTCAGAGGGGATGAGACAAGCCTTGCTGGGGACGGAGGGCAGACGGGCAATGCTAGTCCCCAGGCCGACGCTCCTATCTACCGAGCCAAACCGGTCAGAGCAAAGCCATGACTCTTAAATCTGTGGATACATCGGATTGTTAAGCTTTAACATTTCTTTAAATTTGGTTTTATAAGATTTCTTTATATTTGATTTTAGAGCAAAATAGAGAAGGCGAGGCAACTGTTGCTAACAAATGAAGATGGGTCCATTCACGACTTGCAGGACAAAAGGGTAGGTACCGCCTGCCTGGTTCAGGGCTGGGTGTGGTGGCCTGTGGGGGGTTCTGCCCTCAGATGCCCTGAAAGCTGGTGGACCTTGGTCATTGAAAACAGGGGGCACGCTTTTTCAAATGGGGCTTGTTTTTTCATTGTTAGTGTTCCTTCTCATGAACCAGATTAATATCCGGTGCCAGTAGGAGAAACCAGTAATAAGGAGGAAGAAAATCATGGGCTTCCTCCCATGGAAGGGACACTGGGGGAGATTCTCTGTGGTCCATTCCTGGAGCCCTGTGGCACATTCCAGAATTGAGGCGGGTCTCCCGAGTTGGAATCTATTTCTTATTGGGGCCGCTGGACTTCGAGGCTGGCTCTGTTGCCAGGGACTTAGCTAATGATGTGCTGGGTCAGGGATCGGTTAGGTATTGGCCTTGAGTCCTCTTCAAGGTCAGAGGCTTAGGGACTTTTAATGTTTTGGTTGTTGATGTTTTTTAATTGAGTATATATATATATATATATATATATATATATATATATATCTCAATGTATATATTGATTTTAGAGAGGAAGGGAGATGGATAGAGAAACATCAATGAGAGAGAATCATTGATTGGCTGTCTCCTGCATGCCCTTACTGGGGATCAAGCCCAAAACCCAGGCATGTATCCTGGCAAGGAATCCAATCAGAACCCTCTTGGTGCATGGTTTGATGCTCAACCACTGAACCACACCGGCCAGGCTTGCTCTTTTCTTTACTTGGATTATCTCTGTGGTTGTTGTAAGCTCGTTTTCTGTTTGGTTTGTGCTCTCCCTGTGGTATGTAGCAGTCTGCCCTCCACTCTGAAAAGGGGAGCAAAGGCAGCATCAGAAATAGACAGGAGAGATTTGTTTGCTGTCAGGCCACCTTTAAAGCTATTGCTTGTGCCCAGCTGCTAAGTGGCTCAGTGATTGAGCATCGACCCGGGAACCAGGAGGTCACCAGTTCGATTCCCGGTCTGGGCACATGAGCAGGTTGCTGACTCAGTCCCTACTGGGGATTGTGAGGAGGCAGCCAATCGATGACTTTCTCTCATTGATGTTTCTCTCTTTTTCCCTCTCCCTTCCCCCCCACCCCCAAGATCAATAAAAATGTATTTAAACACACACACACACACACACACACACACTCTCACACTCTAAACTATTGCTTGTTTTTTCTCTTTTTAGATCCAAGCAGCTTGGAACAGAAGTCTTGTAAGTTTCAGCCCCTTCCTAATGGTTAGCCCCGAAAAGAACAAAGCCAAACATCACACTAACCTGTGTGCTTCCCTGTATGAAGGCAACAGTGCATCCTGACAACAGCAAACTGATCCCGGGTCCGTTCCGACCTGCAGGTGAGCCGCGTCTAATGGCAGAGGGGGCTGGAGCAGGTGATCTCTGAGAGCTTATTGTAACTTTTTTTTTCTGGAAGGATTTCAGAAACCACCTCTTTCCAAGAACGTTTGAGAGCCGTGGGGAGAGCAGATTTGGGGCCCGGAGTGGTGTCCAGTGCTGGGGAGAGAGCTGGGGTTTGAGGGAAGGGACAGGCTTCCTGCCTGAGCCAGGCTGTCGCCCTCCCAGCACCTCCATGTGTTCACCAACCCCAAAGCTCTCCAGGCCGCCTGCTGGCGTTGTTATTTTTTTAATGTCTGTTTTTTAAATATATTTTTATTATTAATTTCAGAGAGGAAGGGAGAAAGAGATAGAACTATCAATGATGAGAGAGAATCATTGACTGGCTGCCTCCTGTACTTCCCGCCCCCTACTTGGGATTGAGCCCACAACTTGGGAATGTGCCCCGACTGGGAATTGAACCATGACCCCTGAGCTGTGCAGGTTGGGCAACTGTTAGTATTTTTCTTTCTTTCTTTTCTTTCTTTCTTTCTTTCTTTATTTATTTTTAAAAATATATTTTATTGATTTTTTTACAGAGAGGTAGGGAAAGAGAGAAATTGATGAGAAACATCACTCAGCTGCCTCCTGCACAGCTCCCACTGGGGATGTGCCCACAACCAAGGTACATGCCCTTGACCGGAATCAAACCTGGGACCCTTCAGTCCGTAGGCAGGTGCTCTATCCACTGAGCCAAACCGGGCTGCTAGTATTTTTAAATGGAGGCTTTCTTAGTTGTCCCTGGGTGATGAGCTCAGCCTCCAGCCCCTCTGCTCCCCGGAGGAGGAGGTTGGGGAGGGGCGCAGAAAGGTCCAGCTTTCTCCTCAGGTGGTTGGCTCCCTGGCAACCAGCCTCCAGCCTGGGGGCTTTCCAGAGTCCCCTCTGCCGTGCACTCGGTGTGGCTGGAAGGAGCATGTTATGAGTAACCGTAACCTTGACCGAGTTCCTCTCCCTTGGGAAATTCCAAGAAGTTTAGGATCTCTGTGCTGGGAACGGGGAAGGAGAGCAGATTCACACATTTTGTGTGTTACTGTTACTAGAGGCCCCGTGCATGAAATCCGTGCAAGAGCAGGCCTTCCTTCCCCCAGCTGCCAGCACCCGCTTCCCTCTGGCACCCGGGACCCGGGCTTCCCTGGAAGGTCGTCCGGAAGGACGTCGGTCTAATTAGCATACTGTGCTTTTATTATTATAGATAAACCACAGGTGTATTACGTTTGCGTGGCAGGGTGCCCAGGTGCCGGTTAACACTGCCTACCTTCGGCGAGGCTGGTGGGCGGGAGCCTCGTTAGTTCTTCCTTTGCTGGGCTCGTGTACATTTTTGCCACATGCACATGTTATTTTTATTAAGAAAATAAGAAGCCAAAACCGGCGTGGCTCAGTGGATAGAGCATCAGCCTGCAGACTGAAGGGTCTCGGGTTTGATTCCGGTCAAGGGCATGTACCTTGGTTGTGGGCATATCCCCAGTAAGGAATGTGCAAGAGGCAGCTGATCGATGATTCTCTCTCATCGATGTTTCTAACGCTCTATCCCTCTCCTTACCTCTCTGTAAAAAGATCAATAAAACATATTTTTTGAAAAAAAGAAAGAAAATAAGAACGAGTAAGAAATACCCTTTGGCATCGTGCCTTGCAGGGGCTGGAGAAGAGGTGTGGGGAGGGCTGCCCCTCTGGCCTCTCAGCGGCCACTGACCCCCTTCTCTTTGCCAGCTCTGCTGCCGTTCACGGCGCCCATGGTGAGTGAGCCGCTCCGTGCTGTGCGAGCGGGAGGCACGCTGGGAGGTGGGGGAGGTTCGGAGGGTGCCCATCCATCTCCCACCTCCAGCTCCCAGCCCCGCCCGGGACTGCCTGAGAGATGGTCCTGGTCCCTGCCTCGGCCCTGTCTGCTCGTCACCTACCCTGCCCGCCCCACACCACGCCCCACGTACCTGGTCAGGCAGCCGGGCCTCCGGGAGGTCCACAGGGTGTCCCAGGGAGCCCTGGCTTTGACTGCCTCCTGGGCACCAAGGAGGAGCCGCATGCGTTGAGAGGTGCATTCCCCACGGAATGCCCCTTCGCCGTTTCTCCCCAAGCCCTCGCCCTGCCACCCGCCCCCGCCTGGGACCTGGAACTGCCCTCACCGGGGCCAGCCCAGCGTGGCTCTCACGAGGTGACAGCACGGCTCTACCGCTCCTTCCACACCTTCCCCTCGGTGTCCCTGCGGAGGCCTCCTCCTCAGCTGCCCTGCTCAGCGGCAGGGCTCAGAGGCAGGGGCCACGGTGAGACCAGTGTCCTCGCTGCCCAGGTGGTGCCCATTCTACATCGCTTGCTCCATGACCGGTGGCCCCTGCATCACCCCGTCCTCCCCTCGTCCCAGCTCCCGGGGGCCCTTCTGCACGCCCCCTGGGAAGTTCTTGGCTCCTCCGAGCTCTCGCTCCCCTGAAACACTATAACGACTTTTTAATTTTTTTCCTTCTTTTAAAGGTATTTCTGTCGCTGGTGCAGGTGAAAAGCCTGAAGTCTATCATTTTGCCTCAGGTAGCACGCATTTCAGTGTCCTGATTGCTCAAGTCTGTTCTTAAAGCCAAACTGTGACTTTCTGCCCCCGTCTTCCCACAGCTGTCTTTCTGCACCTACAGCACGGCGTTCAACCTCATCAATGGGAACAAGAGCTACGTGAGTACCGGGGGCCCCGGAGGGTGGCAGCCTTGTTCTGCGGCTGTTGGGGTTACTCTTTGTGTTCGTTATCTTTCCCGGGTAAACTGTGCCACTGGCTAAACACACCCTACTGTTTTTCCCCAGCATCGTGGCCTCTACGAGACTGTGTTACTAGCGACGGGAGTGATTGCTTCTACAGCCTTTTTCGGAGTAGGTATTTTAAAATGTGTGTGTGTGTGTGTGTGTGTGTGTGTGTGTGAATCTTCACTGGAGGATATTTTTCCATTGATTTTTTAAAAATATATATTTTACTGATTTTTTACATAGAGGGAGAGGGAGAGTTAGAAACACCGATGAGAGAGAAGCATCCATCAGCTGCCTCCTGCACACCCCCTACTGGGAATGTGCCTGCAACCAAGGTACGTGCCCTTGACTGGAATCGAACCTGAGACCCGTCAAGTGCCCAGGCCACTGCTCTGTCCACTGAGCCACACCATCTAGGGCGTTTCCGTTGATTTTTAAAGCGAGTGGGAGGGGGAGAGACAGCGAGAGAGAGAGAGAGAGAGAGAGAGAGAGAGAGAGAGAGAGACATCCATGCCAGAGAGACACATGGATTGGTTGCCTCCATACACATCCTGACCAACCAGGGCCGGGATCGAGCCTACAACCGAGGTGCCTGCCCTTGACTGGACTCAAACCCGCAACCCTCCCGTCCACAGTCTGACACGATCCACTGAGCCACACCAGCTAGGGCTAAAATCTCTTTGGCTCTTCAGAATTCAAAACAAAACAAAACTTTATTCTGATGGTAAACTTACATTCCACCTTAAACAATTCATACAACACGATTAAGAGTAAAGAAGAAAATAAATCACCTGTAACCCTGTCCCCCCTATACTCACGTGAGTATTCCAGGTGTCTAGGCATATGTGCGGTATGGTTATCTTTTTAAGAAATTAATTTATGCTCCACAAACGTGGTATCCACATTGTATGCTGCTTTGGGTGTCAGGACATTAGAGTGGTTAGAAGCGTAGACTTTAGAGTCAGGTGAGGCTAGGTTTGTATCCTAGCTTACTTCCTGAACAGCTTAGCGACTCTGGGCACGTTAATGGCCCTTCTTGAAACCTCCGTGTATTCCTCTGATGACCAGGAGAACAGCTCCGGGCTGCACAGATTAAAAAACCCACAGAGAGCCCCGCTGGGGTGGCTCAGCGGTTGAGCATAGACCCAGGAACCAAAAGGTTGGCAGTTCGATTCCCAGTCAAGGCACATGCCCAGGTTGCGGGCTGAATCCTGTGTGAATGTGCTGGAGGCAGCTCGTTGATGGTGTTCCTGTCTTATCTCTGTCCCTCTTCCTTCCTTTCTCTCTAAAATTTCATTAAGAAAAACATTTACAAATAAATAAGTAAAGTAAAAATACACGAGAGCGTGGCTGGTGTCCTCAGTGGTTGAGCATCAGCCTATGAACCAACCTGTCATGGTTCGATTTTCCCCTCAGGTTGTGGGCTTGGTCCCTGGTGGGGGGTGGGGCAGGGAGGGGCTGCAGCAGCTGATCAATGATTCTCTCTCCCTCTCCCTTCCTCTCCGAAATCAATAAAAACAGAGAGCACTGGCCGAGGTCTGACCAGTGATAGGAATGAGGTCGATGCTAGCTCTCTGCCGTCGAGTATGTTCAGCTAATGGCTTGTCCCGAGCAGTAATGGTTTTTCTCTCTTTTTCTAGATACTCCCTCGTTTGCTCCTAATGAAGAACACGGTGAAAAACGTGTTCCTCCGGGAAACCCTGCCTGCCGCCATCCTCAGTAAGCAGGGCGCTGTGCTCCGTGAGGCTGTGAGCCTTTCTCCCTCTTCGGGGATGGCCAGGTCTCATGACAGCCCCCCTTGGCAGCGGGCGGGCGCCCCGGCCCACACGAGGTCTTTGATGTGAGAGGTGACACGTTCTCTGCAGACACCCCTGTAACTGTCAAAGGGTGGACACACACCTGGAAACACAAAGCACGTTCTAAAGACGATCTGCCAAGCCCTCTCCCTGTATTTTTCCCTTCACCCTGACAGCAGTTCATGGGTGGGCAACATTACCCCCATTTACAGGTGAGGAGACTGAGGCAGGAGAGGGTCATCGGAAGGACTGGTGGTCTGACTCCAAGGGAGTGACAGAGACATTGACCAACTGTGTGTGTTTTTTTAAAATATATTTTATTGATTTTGTACAAAGAGGAAGGGAGATAGTCAGAAACATCGGTGAGAGAGAAACATCGATCAGCTGCCTCCTACACGCCTCCCACTGGGGACATGCCCGCAACCAAGGTACATGCCCTTGACTGGAATCGAACCTGGGACCCCTCAGTCCGCAGGCCGACGCTCTATCCACTGAGCCAAACTGGTTTCGGCTGATCAGCTATTTTAAGTTTGCCGTCTGCACGTTCACTGGCTCACGCTACAGATCTGGGTTTGGGAATCACTACAGATCTGGGTTTGGGAATCGGTGCGTTGAAGAGTTGGCAGAATGTCAGTGGTGACATTTGGGACATTGTTATGGAAACCTGGTCAGACCAGCTAAGCCAAAAACGGGGGCAGACTTAAAGGGGTTTCTCCTGGAATCCTGTCAGGAAGCCGGGCTGGACTCTCCGGGGGGCTGGAGCCTGGTTTGCCTGGTGCTGGGTTGTGGTCAGGACCCAAGACCCACAGGCCAGCAGTCCTCCCCGGGCTCCAGTGCCCGCGGACAGCCTGGCTGGCCCGGCCCCAGCCCGGCGGCCCCTGCAGGCTGCGGAGGCACAGCCGCAGAGGGAGAGGCTGGGCCCCAGAGCAGACGTCCCCCCGCCCTGGACGGAAGCTCACCTCTCTGTTGTGTCCTCTTCACAGCCCAGGTCAGTGCCCTGAGTGTGGCCACCTCCCGCAGCTTGGAGCCCCTGCGAGGGATTGAGGTCATGGACAAGGAGGGCAATGTCATCGGCTATTCCCGGAGAGCCGGGACGAAGGTAGGGGACCACGGTGACGCAGTAGCTGCTTGCCTTTGGGGTATCGAGTCCATCTCTCCGGGAGGAACTGCATTTTTTTTTTTTTTATTTTTTTTTTGCTACGAATGCCACATTGGGGTAAAAGAAAGCTCGGATGCTCTGCTTTAGAAAGAAAAGCGTGTCTTTTTCTTAAGAAGAAAGTGTCTGCCCCTGTGCGTAAGCGTGAGCGTTCTCGGAGCATCTCTCTGCCGCCGAAAGGTTTCTCCTCGTTGGCTAAAGTTTCAGCAAGTGCGTAACCGGCAGTATCTGATGGTAACCGGGCACCTCCGCTCGGGAGTCTGAGCTCCGGCCACGCTGTCCTCCCTCCCCGGCTCCTCAGCCACGCGGAGCGAGCGGCGCCTGGCGCTGTCCCCTTCGGCGTGCCTGCCCCTCGCCCAGGGGACACGTGGACGGGGGCCGGCCTCACCCACGGACGGTGGCACGCCCCATGCTCACGGCCACTCTTCTCTGCCGGAAGCGGAGCAGTTTTGTTTTTTTTGTTCCTGAAAGTTTATTTTGGGACCCACCCTCCTCGGCTCCCTCTGTGGTCGCAGGGAAAGGCATTGTCTGCAGAGGGATCAGAGGAGCAGGTGCGGGTTCAGCCAAGACCCGGGGAGTGAGGTGGGAGGCAGGGAGTTGGGAGGGGAGGAGGCCTGTGTCCTTATGTACCTTGCACAGAGCAGTGGTGTATGTGGGGTTGTGTCTTACCCGGGGGGGGGGGGGGGGGGGGGGGAGGGGAGGTTGGGGGGGACTTTGAAGTTAACATAGTGTCGTTGGCGGCCATAATTTCCCCTGAAAGTCTCCTACATTGTCCTCTAGTACACATGACTTTGTGCATGTAACCCAGACAGTAAATTATACCTTTACATGGTCACCGCATAGAACATGTACAGAATAGGAAAGATGACAAAACATTATAAGATCTACATACCTGTCTGTGCAAAGTAAAATTTTATAGCATACTTTTTAAAATATTTTTATTGATTTCAGGGAGGAAGGGAGAGGGAGGGAGAGAGAGAGAAACATCAGTGAGAGAGAATGGTCGATCGGCTGCCTCCTGCATACCCCCTACTGGGGATTGAGCCCACAACCTGGGCATGTGCCCTTTACAGGAATTGAACCTGGGATCATTTAGTCCACAGGCCGACGCTCAATCCACTGAGCCAAACAGGCTAGGGTTACTTTTAATTGCACAAGCAAAAATGGGTGCATACATGCAGACCCGTGGGTGTGACCCTGGTGCACTCCGAGCTGGGCTCTTGGAGCAGTCTCCGCCTGGGAGGGGTGGCAATAACGGGGGGCTGTTCAGGACAGGGAAGCCAGCGGCAGAACCCTGGCCTGGAAAGAAAATGCAGATTGGTCCTCATGGCAAACACCAGCATTTCTACCGGGGGGATTGCCATTTGGTTCTAGGTTTGCTTATTAGCTGCCTTTGCTTATTCTTAGCGTTTTATTTGGAACGGTCAGTGGACTGATGGAGGCCATTGCGGAGTCGGGAGGTAAATCCGCCTTCAGTTACTCCTGGCCCTGACCCCAGCTGTCCTGCCAGCGTGTCCACGCCAGGTGCTGCCTCCGCCTCTGCCCACCTGTGATTTTTGAAGCGAGAAGGGAGGGCTGCCGTTCGCTTGTCTCTGTCCTCGATCACAGGGCCCCTGGAAATCGTCTTCCTCCCCATCCTAAGCCGCTTCCTTTCGCTTCCCGTCAGGCCGTCAGAGACACAACGATATCCAGAGTCGTGCTGTTCGGGACCTCGGCTTTTATTCCTGAAGTCTTCTCGCAGTTTTTTAAAAAGTAAGATGCAAGCTCGTCTCCCCGGGGAGGAGGACACGTTCTGACAGTCAGAATCCTTCTAGAACGTGTCTGATCCAAAGCTGGTGGGCAGGGCGGGAGGAACGTGCTTCCGTGGTCTTCCTGCTGGGCACCTCCATCCCGCTGGGGACAGGACCGACCTGGAATCCAGATGTGCACATGCCAGGGGACCTGGCGCCGGGCCCGGGCTGTCCGCAGCTAGCTCTGTGCTCGGCCACGTCCCAGCGTCTGCTGAGGCACGTTCCCCCGCTTCCAGGACGACGAGTGTCGGTGATTTGCAGGTTCTCCCAGCTCTGATGTGCTATGAAGGCTGCCCCAAGCCTCTTGCCCCTCCTTCCTGCCAGGCATGGGTTAAATTAGCGTAAGTGGCCCCAGGCCCAGTCGCCTGTCATCCCATTCGAGAAGCAAGCACCAGCCTGTTGGGAGGAGGGCCCAGGGATCAGCCAGTCTGCGAAGCCCGGCTTGCCGTAGTGCAGGCTGGAAGGGGGCCGTGTTGGTTTAGATACCGGGTGCAGGCAGCTGAGCAGCAGCGGCCCAGTGTGGGGACAGCCCTCTCCTCTCCCGCCTCACATTCCTTCCCGTGGATGAGGTATGTGACTGCTGACACCTCCTAGGTGTAGCCTCACAGTGTCCTGATGAAAAAGAGAAACACAGCAGACCCAGGACGTGACGGGGAGATGGGGGAAGGTGGAAGGGAGGCAGGGAATGTCCTTTGCTCAGTTCACAAGCTCCCGGGAAGGATTCCATCGGCCCACGTGGGGTCACCTGCCTGTTGCTGAGCCAATCCGCTCGGTCCAGCATGGGGAGCTAGGAAGCCCCAGCCAGGAGCGTGGTGGGAGCATCTTTTTCAGGAAGCAGTAGCGTCCTGGGCGGCGTGAACTGTGGCCTCCCACCAGCAGTCCGGCTGGAGGGGCGTGGAGACTCCTGCTGGGTCAGGATCTTGCTGGACGGCTCTGCTGGCCTGAGCTGGGCTCCGGGAAAGCTGGGGCCCGGGGTGCCTGTGTAATGGGACCGGCTGTCTGCTGGGGAGAGATGGTCCTCGTTTCCCAGGGGGCCCTGGGGTGCCCAGAAGGACCCTGTGCACCCCACAGCCATGATAGAATCCAAGGCAGGGTGACCCCGTGGCTGGCTCACCTCTTTTCGTTTTGCCTCTGGATGAACCCAGAGCTCAGAGGAGAAAGGGACGTGTCTGAGAGTGCCCAGTCCCATGCAGAGCCCCACCAGACTGCAGTACCCACTGGCTCGGACTGACCCCCAGGATGGGGTTCTTTGCATCTTCCCACACTGTCTCTCACTCTCTCAAAGGCCGGGGTCAGTGGCTCTGTCTCGTGTGTGTGTGTGTGTGTGTGTGTGTGTGTGTGCGTGCGCACGCGCGCGCTCAGGGGGAGGGGGGGATCCTGGGGAGCGATCAGAGGAGCAGATGCACATCTAGTCCTTCATCCGGGGCCTGGACTGGCTGCCTCTGAAAGGAGCCTGTAACCTTCTCCCTCCCAGGACCCCGTTGTTCGTGCGATACCCCCAGTCCTTGTGGACCCTGAAGCTGTCTTGTACCATCTTGGTCATGGGACTGATGGTGCCGGTTTCCTTCAGCATGTTCCCGCAGATACAACGGGTAAGTGCCCCCACCTGACTTCCTCTCAAAAAATAACTTTTTCTGCTGAAACCGGTTTGGCTCAGTGGTAGAGCGTCGGTCTGCGGACTGAAAGGTCCCAGGTTTAATTCCGGTCAGGGGCATGTACGGTGGTTGTGGGCACATCCCCGGTAGGGGGTGTGCAGGAGGCAGCTGGTCGATGTTTCTCTCTCATCGACGTTTCTAGCTCTCTAAGTATAAAAGAAAATAACTTGATTGACACAGAACCCCCCCCCCCCCAGATCCCTTGTGCGGTTTTGGATTCAATTTTCCTTTTTTTAAATAGGTTTTTATTGATTTCAGAGAGGAAGGGAGAGGGAGAGAGATAAACATCAATGATGAGAGAGAATCATGGATGGGCTGCCTCCTGCATGTCTCCCACTGGGGATAGAGCCTCAACCAGGGTCCCCACCCTCACCCCCGGCAGGGAATCCAACCGTGACCCCCTGGTTCATAGGTTGTTGCTCAACCACTGAGCCACACTGGCCAGGTTGGATTTTGTTTTTCTTAACAGTATATCAGAAGCGTTTTTAGGGGATGTTAAAAAAACATCACCACCTTTGAGCTATTTTAAAGGTTTTATCATTCCAGTGGAACACTCTGCAATGGTAGAAATGTCCTATAAAAGTGGTGTCCAGTACGGTAGCCACTGATCGTGTGGCTGTTGAGCACTTGAAATGCGGCTGGTGTGACTAAGGGACCAAGCTGTAACTTAAATCAGCATCACATGCTGCTGGTGGCCACGGTATTGGGCTGCACAGGTCCGTACACTAGGACCTGTTATCATTCGTGCTGAGTTGGCCTGCCTGGACCCAGCTCCTCCAGACCTGGATCACTTTGCTTAAACCCTGAGACTCTGTCTCTGTCTGTCAAAGAGAGATGGCAGTGATAGTGTCTCTGTTGCTGGTCCCAAGGACATTGCTGATGCTAATGGATGTTAGGGGTTTCTGGCATTTCTTGGCTGAACATCTCAAATGCCTGTTTCTGTCACTGAAAAACATCTGTCATGGCTCAGTGGACAGAGCATCGGCCCTCGGACTGAAGGGTCCTGGGTTTGAGTCCGATCAAGGGCATGTACTTGGTTGCAGGCTCAATCCCCATCTCTGGTTTGGTGCAGGCGGGTGGCAACCAATTGATGTTTCTCTCTCTCTTCCTCCCTCCCTTCCACTCTAAAAGTCAATGGGAAAATATCCTCGGGTGAGGATTAACAACAATCATAGCATTTACAGCACAGCACTAAAGTAGGTTGACAGTTGAGTACACAAAACAATTTATTCTTATATTACTATTTATTATTTTATTTCCATGGGAACAACTGTCTTTTTTTTCTCTTTTTTTTTCTCTTTTTTTTTTTTTTGCCCCACCTTGTATATTTACGGAATGCTTTTATTCACAACCCAAATTCTCTAAGTTTAGGCTTATATTATCGTTAATACTGGCAACTTTGCTAGCGCCTAGCATAAAAGTTTTAAATTATTTAAGATAGTTGCTATCGGCCAAGACTGGTTTGGCTCAATGGATAGAGCATCGGCTTGGGGACTGAAGGGTCCCAGGTTCGATTCCGGTCAGGGGGAATGTACCTTGGTTGCGGGCATATCCCCAGTAGTAAAATAGATAAAACAGAAGGAAAAACCTTCTGAATCCTCAGTCCTCTTTTAGAACAGTTTGCTACGAGTGCAACAAAAGCGAACCCTTTGCAAGTAATCCCGCCTGTTGCCTTGCCCTGAGTGGATGGCTTACCGGCAGGTGCCGTCACTGACAGCAGCTCTCAAATCTCGTGGGACTGGTGGATTGTTAATAGGGGAAGCTGAGTGATGCAGACATGAGGGCTTATTGTAGTCTTTCTGCATTTGCTTCCTTTCGACGTTTTCCAGAAGAATGTTTTTAAGAGGTGAGGTTATTATTATTATTATTATTATTGCTCTAAATTAGACTTAATTGACAAAAAGTTAGGCTGTGAAATAAATGCTTTCTGAAAATGTCTTTAAAAAAACAACAAAAAACTTGGCTTCTAAAGCAAGCAAAGTTTTACTCTATTAAGATCCTAACTTTGTTTTTCAGATCCAGTGCAGTAAGCTCGAACAGGAAATTCAGTTTGCAACAGAAGAGACAGAACTGTTCTATAACAGAGGGGTGTAGGGGTGCATTCGCTGGATTCTGCTCTGAAAACCTTCCTCTCAAGGTTTCAGTTTCCACCCCTGAGCCCGGTCTCTGGGAAAGCCCCGCGGTGTCTGCGCAGACAGGATGGCTGCCAACCATGTGTGCCAAGACCGAGTGGAGGCTGGTCATGCCCGGGCTTCCGGCCTGGATGGGAGAGGAGATGCCTCCCCACGGGGACTGCCGAGGGGCTGGGTGATGGCAGATTCCGCTTTCTGTTTGTCAGCCTGCGAGAGGGCACTGGGAAATTACTAATAAACTGGTCTAAAGCTGAGTGTTTGCGAAAAGAAAGAAGGATCTATGGAGCCCAGGGCACAGGCACTAAATGGATGGCGCGTCTCCAGGTAAACATGGACCCCAGGTGAGCTGTTTTTCCCGCTCAGCCTACTCCCATCCTGGACAGCTACTTAAAGCGTTGCCATCCGCCAGCAGCTCCTTCCTCTTCTTCTTCACAGGCCAACCACCCTGCCTCCTGCTCCGCAGGGAAAAGCAAGGCCTTGGCAGCCATGGAACCTCTGGCCCCAAACCTGCAGCCCCTTCTCCACCGCAGCCCCCTCCCCCTGCACGCAGGGCAGCAGGGCCTCGGTCCTTGGCTGGTCCCTGGTTTACTCAGCCCCTCTGCTTCTTCCCGGTGATACTTAAACTGCTTGGCGCACCCGTCTCATTAAAAAGCAAAACCCCGCCCAGGCCAGGTGGGACCGTTGGTTGGGGTATCAATCCCATACCCCAAAAAGTTGTGGGTTGGGTCCTCAGTCAGGAGGCAGCCAATCGATGTTTCTCTCTAATCCCCTTCCTCTCAAATCAATAGACATATCAGGTGAAGATTAAAAAAAAAAAAAAAAAAAAAAAAGGCAAAGCCCTCATTCATAGACAAGCTTTTTCAAATACTGTCTACCTTCCCTGTTCCCACCCCACCTTCTCCTCCACTGAGACTGTCAGCCATGCCCGCCCACACTGTGCTGCCACTGCTGGCTGCTCCACCAGGCTTTGGGCTTGTTTATTGTGCCCTGGCCAGAGGCTCACACCCAGCTGCCCCTGCAATTCTGGATGCCCACTGGAGGCCTCCCAATCTCAGGAAGTGGAAACGCCTCAGTTGCATCCGACAGGATCACTGGCGTCACCCTGACTCCCTCCTCCCCCCACTCCCATTCAAGTCATCTCAAGAACTCCCTGTCCCCAGCTACGGCCAGCTCAGTCCAACAGCACCCCCTGCTGGTGAGACGCCTTATTTCTGCTTGGCTCCCTGTCCAGGCTCCAGCTGTCTCTTCTGCACCACACCTGTGTAATAAGCCTTCAGCGGCTTCTCAGCACTTCAGGATCAAGTTCAAATTCCTTGCCATGCGGGCTGAGAGAGCCTCGGCCGTACTCCTCTCACACCGCTCCCTTTCTTCACTCCGGACCAACAGCAGGCTCCTCGGAGGCCGTGTTCTCTCTGCTCTAACTCCTACTTATGCTTCAGGCCTGACTTGGACTTCGGTCACTCCCTCCAGGAAGCCTTCCAGGATTACCAGTGCTGAGTCAGCTGCCTCTCCTGTGCCCCCTGCACTGTGTCTAACACTTGCCACAGCACAGTGCCATGGCCTGTTTGCAGACCCAGTGCCCCTGTAGACTGTCCCTTGAGAGCAAGAACTGCCTTGTGCATCAAGTAAGCCCTAGGGCCAAAACCGGTTTGGCTCAGTGGATAGAGCGTCGGCCTGTGGACTGAAGGGTCCCAGGTTCGATTCCGGTCAAGGGCACGTACCTTGGTTGCAGGCACAGTGCAGGAGGCAGCTGACCAATGTTTCTCTCTAGATAGTTTCTAACGATCTCCCTCCCTCTCTGTAAGAAATCAATAAAATATATTCAAAACAAAACAAAAAACGAAGCTCTAGGATACAACAGTGCACTGTGCAGAGTAGGTACCCGAACATTTGCATCCTGCAGAAATGCTTCCGACACACCCTGCCCAAATCATCAAAGAATATATCTGGCTTTCAGTTTTCCCTGGACCAGAATGCTGTTTATCGCCTAATTTGATGATAAGTGTTTCACAAGAGCCTAATAGGATAAAATTAATCAAACTGACCTACCAGATGTCTCAGTGCAGCCCCAGGCTTACACTCCACAAAAGAACAAAACGTGAAAGGCCCCAGGTGAAGGCTCACCCGCTACAGAGGAGCGGAAGGCGAGGGCCACCCTGAAGCTGGGCGCTGGAGGGCGGGCGCTGGACGTGCGGGTGGAGGAAAGGAGCCTGGCCCCTCGTCACTTTCAGAGGCGTCTTTTAATACCCCCCGCACACCTGCACTTGGAAGGTGCTGCTTTTTTTGGAGAAGAGAAATTCGAGAAAGGGCACCATTTCTCATCTACCTAAACATGGTTGAGTATCAAAATATTTCCATTTTATTTCTGCATCATACATTTGCAATTGTAACAATTTCGATCATTAGCTAATGCAGTTATACAAAAATGAGGGAGAAAAAAATGTTAGTATTCATTTTCATAAAGTGCAGAATTAACTTTAAATTGTCTTAGTAAACAAAACCTCATTTCAGGTCCACCCTTACCGGCCGAGGGGAGAAAGGGCTATTTTAAACCTTTTACTCAAGGGAAAGAGCCACTAAAGACAAGATTTTCTGCAAACATTTTTTCTGGGTGAGATTTCCAAGGACAACAGTACTGACTGTCAAATAACCTCTCAGAGTTCATGTGAATACATACAATAACCTAACAAGGACTTTCCTATGAAGAGAGAGGTACACACTGAACAGGAGCTTCCTGTGTGACTAAGTCACTTTTTACTGGCGTTACCCGAACACCTCTGATTCAGGCCCCTGCAGGCAGCTAATTCTTACACTCGCTCGCCAATCGTGTCAAGTTGCTAGTTCAGTTATACAGGCATTTATATTCCAAATGGCTGCTTGTCTTACTCTGCTATGCAATAAGAACTGGCGTCTTTCAAAGGAATATTGCTAGCAGCAGGGTTAATTGAGCACTGGAGCTTCCGTTTGCCAAACGCTTACCTCTGAGACAGTATAAATACGGGTTATTCAAGTTGTCTACTCAAGTATAAAATCTATGCAAAAGCCTCAGAATATAGGTAAAATGTTCAAAGGCCACGTAAATTTTTTTTTTTTTTTTACAAGAAAGTGCACCTGCAGGGTCTTTTGAATGCTCTCTGGACAGTCCTGCAGAAAACTTAGTAGTTTGGCTCAGAAAGGAGAGTTCCTCATGAGGAATTAAAGTTCTTCCTAGAAGAATACAAAGCAAAATTTCAGGCAGCTTTCTGAAAATAAATCATTAGTGGCGACACAATGAGACAAACTGGAACTTATCACAAAGGCTTTCGGATCTGCTGTGACTTACACGGGAACTCGACAGAACTTTTTCTCTGACGCCAGCACATCAGGCCATTTTATAACTCATGTGTGGTATTGTAGTTACAGCACTTGGTCCGACATGGATAACAGGCGTGAAACTGATCAGGTAAGAGAAAATCGTGTTTTCCTATGTTTCAGTGCTTTTCAGGTCAAATCTCAATACTTCCAAATAAATCATTAAAAGAGACCATTTTCTTTGTTATTTTCAGCATTTTACATAGTTAGTGGGTAGGCGCGTCCTCAGCGAGACCATTTGGCAGTCAGATTTTCAGCATCTGCTCGGCGGCTGCGAGGTGGTAAAGGAAGTTTTCCGTTGCTGGTGGGAACCGTCTTTGCTTTAGTGCCTCCAGATTGAGAACACGCTTTCCTCCGTCGCCTGAAGCTTCTGAAAATGGTGCCAAGTTGGTGAAGATTTCTTTTGTTTTTAGGGAAATGTCCTTTAATAAAAACAGGAAAATATGCAGTACGTTAGCACTGAGAAATAGGACTGGTTTGTTGCATTTTAACAGAATCCTTCCTGATATTTTTAAAAGTATATTAAATTAACTTTATAAATTAGAAAAAGTGAAAATTCAATAGAAAATTCAGGAGCTGAGTGAGTCGTCGGGTAAGAAGTTACCTGTATGACTTGGCTGTCCGATTTCTCTGGATCTTCTGCAGACTGAACAATCAGATGGCCCATCTCTTTGTGCAGTTTGCCCATTGTCATGGCCTCTGGTGAGATTAAGAATATGTTGTGTGAATATTTAGAAGTTTAAATAATAATAAATAGCCCTGGCTGGTTTGGTTCAATGAACAGAGTGTCTCAGGTTCGATTCTGGTCAAGGGCACGTACTTTGGTTGCAGGCTCCTCCCCGGCCTAGGCCTTGGTCCAGACTATTGCAGGAGGCAACCAATAGATGTGTTTCTCTCACATCGATGTTTCTGTCTTTCCCTCTCTCTTCCACTCTCTCTAAAAATCAGTGGGAAAATATCGGCGGGTGAGGATAAAAAAATAATAAATAATCATGCCATCTATCTGAAAATCTGAAAGATCAAACAGAGGGAATTTTCAAAAAGCAACTGACACGGAGCTATTTGAGATCTTGCTCCCAGGTATATGTTGTCAGTTTGGTTCAAATAAAAATCTTATTTAAAAAAAAAAAAGCAACTGGCAACCCGCCCCCCCAACTTCCTTCTTGCTAAACACATGCTGGGAGGTAAAAGGCAGAATCATGAATTATATACTTTGTGTCCACAATAAACACACACCAATACCAAAACTAATTTCTCCTCAGACCTACCCGGTGAACACTTTTATTTTCCTCTAGACAGCACCTAACGAAAGTTTAAGCCCAGAGCCTGACCTTCCTGCCCAGGTCTTTACCGTTAGGAAGGCACGTTTATCTTTCTGGCAGGAATATTGTGAAAGCAGCACTTCCTGACAGCCCGCGGAAGCCCTGAGCGTTCGGTGTGGCAGGGCCCTTACAACGGAGCGGGGAAAACCACTCAGCTGCATTACTTATAAGCAGTGCTACTCTCTGCAGCACATGTGTCAAACACAAGGCCCGCGGGCCAAATCCATCCCGCCAGGCCTTGCAATGTGGCCCGCACCGCGCTGTCATCTCTGCACTCCGCTGCGTTTCCATCACAATGACAGTTTATGACTGTTCAGTAAACCATTCGGCCCGCGATTTAGGCTGGATTTTAGATTTTGGCCCCTTCTCTGATTGAGTTCGACACCCCTACTCTGCAGCAAGGGCAGTAACAAGTTTGTCTGTCACCCCAAGGGGCAAACATGAACGTGCTGCCTGGGCTGAGCCCACTTTACAGACTCAGAGCAACACAGGGCAGCAAGGAGATGGCCCCCCTTTCAGCAATGTGAGTGGCCCAGCCACAGCTAGTTTCCTATCACTTTTGCTTTACAAAAGGTAGTATTGCCTAAAGGTGGTTTTATATTTAAAAATTTTCACCATGAGCATGCATTGTTTGCAATTTTAAAACAAATGAGAGAAAAGTAGTTCTGGTTCTATCTAACAAAGTCCTTCATCAGCCAACACTCAGCAATTCCTACTTTCAAGAGAAAGATACATAAATGACAACAGAAAAGCTATTCCCAGGAATTCCCATCTATAACCAACACCTCACAAGTGCCTGGGCCCAACACAGTTAACTCAACATTTACCATTTTACGTAGCTATAATTTGGGACAATTTCCCTTCTAAATGACACTAGAACACCTTTTCTTGATCGTAGCTCCAAGAATACTTTCAGGTCCTTGGCTTACTGAGACATCATTCAGATTTCCACAGAGGATCACAGTCAACCCTTGTACAGTGACAAATGTCTCCACGTCCTTTAATAATGCTTCCTTCAGGAGGTGCCTGTTTCCTCTCCCTTACGTGGGACCAACTTATTGGCTTGCTTCTGACAAACAGACTACGGAGGAAGTGATGTGTGACTTCTGAGACGAGGTCATAAGGGCACTGTGCTCTCCGCTCTGTCTCTGGGGGAAGCCAGCTGTCCGGTCATGAGAACTCCCAAGCTGCCTGTGGAGAGGCCCAGGTGGAGGGCTCCTGCCAACAGCCCTGTGAGTCAGCGGGAAGTGCAGCCTCTGCCCCAGCTGAGCCTTCAGATGACTGCAGCCCTGGCACTATGCTGATCGAAAACTCATGAGAGCCCTTGAGCCAAAACCTCCCAGTTAAGTCAGTCCTGAATTCCCGTCCCACCAAAACTGTGAGATAAATATTTGTTGTTTTGAATCCCTTCACTAAGTTCAGAAGGGATTTTTTTTATACAGCAACAGACAATATGCCTTGTTTGAATATGAAGTGGAGGGGGGGGGGGCGGGGAATGGGAAAAAAAAAAAAAAAAGAATATGAAGTGGAGAAACAGATTAAGACTATCTTATTAACACACACTGTGCAGCATATCAAGGATTATTACTAACACTTGAGGCCCAGTGCACGGATTTGTGCACCAGTGGGGTCCCTCGGCCTTGCCTGTGCCCTCTGGCAATCTGGGACCCCTCAGGGGCTGTCAGACTGCCAGTTTCAGCCTGATGCCTGCTGGCCAGGATGAGGGACCCCACTGATACACAAATCCACGTGCTGGGCCTCTAGTATGTATATAGTGCGCATCATGGCTACCAGTTAAATGGTTGCTTAGGCTTTTATATATATAGGTAGATGGCTATTCCTATAAGAATAAATGCCGTGTTATAGACACACAAAAATCCCTCCAGCAGTTAAAGCAAACCCTCAAATACTGGTTTTAGAGGATCAGTCTAAAAAAATACAACTGCTTGGTTTACATCTTGTATCAACAACAGAACAGAACAGAACAGAACAGAAAACTAACCTTTCGCATGTGGGGCAATGGTAATCTCACTGTCTGCCAGATTCACAAACACGTCATACAGGTCTGATCTATTGCTCACCTCCGAGTCTACAAATCCGGCAATGTAGCCTGTGTGAAAAATTGAGTATGAAGAAATCACATTGTGAACACATCAAGAGAACTTAGTCTAAAAAGCTAACCAGCTGCTGCTTCTCACTGCTTTACTTATTCAGGGCACATTAGCTGTGCCTGCGGCATTTATTAAGACTACGTTATTGTCATTGCCTGAAGAATCTCACATAACTCAAATGTTCCAAAGCCAGACTTCGAGTCAATGAAGGAGGATGAAGGAAAGCATTTACTTTTCAGTCGTTGCTTTTGGGGCAAAAATGACAGATGAGGCAGAAAATAGCAAGGGTGCTTTTGATCAGCATTCCCCCTGTAGGTCCTTGTCTTCAAGATGTCATGGCCAAGCACCCAGGTTTCTTGGGGTCAGTGGGTGGAAACAGTATCATCATTATCTTTCACCAACTTCAGAACTGATGCAGTAAGTGCTATGGGAATCAGGGCAACGCTAGAATTAGCAGACTTTTGGAATTGGTGTGAACAATCCCCAGACTTCTCACATTTCTTTCAAAATATGGTTTTATTGGTTTTTGAGAGAGAGGAAGGGAGAGGACAAGAGATAGGAACATTGATGAGAGAGCAACATCAATTGGCTGCCTCCTGCATGCCCCCTACTGGGTATCAAGCCATCAACCTGAGCACGTCCCTGACTGGGAATGGAACCAGTGTCCTCCTGGTACCTGGGACGATGCTCAACCAACTGAGCCACACCAGCTGGGCATACAAGTATAACAACATCATTTAAAAATAATTTTATTTTCTTTAAGGAAAATCTATGACAAGGCATGGCTCATATTATACAAATCATTGATAAGGAAATTTTAAGACTTGACAAATTAAAAATAAGTTGTATTTTGATGACGGCTGCATAACAATGTGAAGGTATTAATGCCACTGCGCTACACACTTAAAACTGATTGAGCTGAGCCCTGGTTGGTTCGTTGAGCATCATCAGGCTCTGTTCCTTGAGCATCATCCCCTACACGGAAATGTTTCAGGGTTGATCCTGGGATCCCCAGTCCAGGTGTGTGTGGAAGGCAGCAGGTCAATGTCCTCTCCCATTTTCTCTCTCAAATCCCCCTGCTCATTCCCTCTCTGGAATCAATAAACGTATCCTCAGGTAAGAATTTTTAAAAAGTAAAAAAAAAAAAAAAAAAAAAAAATTAAGATGAGAAATTTTGTGTTACATGTATTCAATTTTTCCTAAATTAAAGGGGTCGGGGAGGATTGGTTCCATTTGCCAAAGAAATAGTAACTGATCAGTACTGTCCTCAGAAACACACCCAGAAACATACACAAACACACACACACACACACACACACACACAAAATACCAAAAAAAAACCAACACACAAAGAACCAAGAAATCCTAGTTAGAGCCAAGCGCCCGCTCCGGGCCTGTGCCCGCCTACCTGGGCACAGCTGCAGGGCTTCCAGCTCATCGGCGTCCAGGTGCACGTACGAGTGGAGAATGGTCCAGTCCTGTCGATGCCACACCAGGGCAGGCAGGGTTCTGGGGAATCAAAGTGAGAACGCAAATGGCTGCTGGCCTGCACCTCGGAGACTCAGCTTCCCTCTTCTTGGGGGAGGAACTGGATGAGAGGCAGAGGGAGAACCAGCCCCAAATGGGCCATCGGCTCCAGGCTCTAAACAACAACGTTTACACTCTGCTTTGGGTGTCAGATTAGCTGCAAAAAGCTCAAGATGGAGCTTCAAAAGAAACCTGGTAAAGAGAAATGCTTCAAAGGTTTCTCTCCAAACACTCTACACTATAGACTGCACGGAGAGGGAGTCTCAGATCTGAAGGTACAATCTAAAGAGGGCTCTGTCAGAAAAAAAGAAAAGAAAGAAAAAAAAAAAAAAAGGAAAAAAAAAAAATATATATATATAATTTTTATTCAATACTAGAGGTGCGGTGTATGGATTTGTGCATCGGTGACGTCCCTCAGCCTGCCTGCAGGGATCGGGCTGAAACTGGCTTTCCAACATGCCCTGAGGGGTCCCGGACTGTGAGGGGGGCAGGCCAGGCGGAGGGACTCCACCAGTATAACAATCGTGCACCGGGCCTCTGCCATCCCCCAATGGGTCTGTGCCCCAGCAGCAACCTACCCCACAGCCAATGAGGCATCAGGCTCCCTCCTCCCTGGGTCTGGGGTGCAGGTAAAGCAGTTTCGGGGCCAACAATGCTCCAGGAGCAGCCTACCCCACGGCCAGTTCGCAAGGAGGAAATTAGCTAATGAAGAGGAAGTAGGATCTATCTTCCTTTCAATGTGCAATAATCCGTGCACCAGGCCACTAGTTTATTATAAAAATGTGGTAAAACCAAAGAATGTGGTAAAACTGAACAGAAAGAACAACTTACTGAACAGGAGTTAGGAAACTCTGACCCACAGGTAGTCCCTGTCATTACACATAAAGTTTTATTGAAACACCATGCTCATTCACTTACATAGGTACTGTCTACAGCTGCTTTTATGCCACCCATAACAGTTAAGTAGTTGGGGCAGAGACCATAAGGCCTACAAGCCTAAAATATTTCCCCTCTGGCAAAGAAAAATTTGTAAACTCGCTGCTCTAAAATATTCATATTTCTAAAAAAGAATCTGTTCCAATTCAGTGACCTTGAATTGCTAAATAAATCTAAACTGGATCATAAGACCAAAATGGTACTTCCACCCCAGCCAACATATTCTATTTTTACCAAATGTGCAACACAAAAGAGCGTACACTGACACACATTGTCCTAAACTAGCCACCACCAACATCTACGCTGTCTTAAGGATTAGAGAGAATACCTGGTAAACTCCTGAACAGCTTCTATTTTGGGGTGATAGACGACAATTCTTTTCTTCAGCATCAGTGCTGTGTGTAAGATAACAGTTTCCATTCCAAACTGAGATACAACGTCTTAAAACAAAAGAAAATATAGTTTTACTACATTAAATATTACATAAGAAAATAAGGTTTTTATTGGAAAGAACTCTTATCATATGAATTCAAAATTATTTTCAACACAGAGAATAAATTTCGGTAAATGTGGTAAGCACAAAATTGTCTTATCTGGTGGATGGGCATTTCAGTCCATACATGTGCTCCCCAGGGTGGGTGTCACAGCTGCCTGCACCTGTCCCCCACGGGACATACATACAGCCAGACTCACAAGAAAGTGGAGTAATGGTATAAAGGGAACCGGCACTGTCTGAAAAACTCTTTTTTTTTTTTTCAATCCTCACCCAAGGACATTTTATTCCATTGCTTTACAGAGAGAGTGGGAGGGAGGGAGAGGGAAAGAGAGAGAAACAGTGATGTGAGAGAGACACATCAATTGGTTGCATCCACACATCTTCCCTGACTGGGAAGCAAACCCACAACCCAGATATGTGCCCTTGGCAGGCAACTGAACCCTCAACCCTTTGGTTCCAGTGCTCACGCTCTAACCATTGAGCCACACCAGTGAGGGCAAACTCAAGTTTTAAAAAATATCCACTGACAGCCCCTCCCTCTCAACCACCCACATCATTACTTAAGTCCTTCTGAGACAGCGGGGTGACACTGGCACCTCTCCAGGGATGCTCAGAACCAGACAGAACAGTGGCATTAGTGACGACAGGCAGGTGCTGAGGGAGGACCAGAGGAAAGGCTGGCATTGCCCCAGGAACTCTCCTCTCCTCCCTCTCTTAAGGGCCCGGAAGTCTGCGGCTTCAGTCCTCGACTGTCCCAGCCACTTTGGATTTTCCAGGGAGAAGGAAAAGGCAGGAGCCGGGCGGGAAGCCTGGGTCCGGCCTGAGCGCCCAGATGGAAGAAGTCACGGCTCTAAGGAAAGAGCACTCTGGGAGCCAGTGGAGCCCTGGAGTGCAGCTCACTGGTGACAGACATTTCTGTTTTAAAGGTCAGAATCGGTGCGCGCTTCAGCAGCACACTTTCTAAAATGGGAATGATACAGATTAGCATGGCCCTGCGCAAGGATGACATGCAAATTCATGAAGCATTCCATATTTCACAACCAAGTCAGAATCCTGCCCTGGCCAGTGTGGCTAAAGGCTGAGTGTTGTTCCATGTACGGAAGGGTCACAGGCTTGATCCCAAGGGGGGGAGATGCAGGAGGCAGCCGACTGATGTTTTTTTGTTGTTTTTTTAAAGTATATTTTATTGATTTTTACAGAGAAGAAGGGAAATGGATAGAGAGCTAGAAACATCAATGAGAGAGAAACATCGACCAGCTGCCTCCTGCACACCCCCTACCGGGGATGTGCATGCAACCAATGTACATGCCCTTGACCGGAATTGAACCTGGGACCTTTCAGTCCGCAGACCGATGCTCTATTCACTGAGCCAAACCGGCCCCGGCCCGATTGATGTTTTGCTCTCACCTAGATGTTTCTCTCTCTCTAAAAATAAATAAATATATAAATACACACACACACACACACACACACACACACACACACACGAAAACAAAATTCAAGAAAAACAGTAAAAGTCAGAATCTTTTGGAAAGGAACCCCACGAAAGTCTGCTTTCCTCTGACAGAATTTCAATCCAATAAGGCAATGGAGAGGCTGAAGTACTGTCTACAGGGGAAATAATGCTAGGTGGGCAATCTATGTGGAAAGGTGGAAAAGCAGTCTACTGGGAGACTGTCTGGCTTGGGATTCTGTTGTCGGTGAAGTAATCCGGGGCGGGGGTTTGTTTTCTTTACCTTTGATGGAGCCCGCAAGGTATGCCTTTCGGGCGTCAAAGTCCTTGCTGAGGAAGGAGCCGTTCTCTTCGCTCTGGCAGATCCCCTTAGTGAGGACCGCGATGTAACTCTCCATCATCCTCACCGGGCTCCCGTGCCTCAGGTACAGTCTGGGAGAAAGGAGACGGCCGTCATGCTTTTGTTTCACACGAGTCACGTGAAGAGATGCACCAAGACTAGGCGTGGCCCTTTCTAAAGCTGAAGCCAACTTGCTTATACACCCTGATTGCCGACTCTTTTCCTGGCAAGTGATAGTTCTAAAATTTAATTTGAAAAGGTGTTTATAAAAAAGCATCACCTGCAAGACCTCTGCAGCTGCTCCCCTGCTTATATCTGGGGAGACCCGCTACAGCCCGCTGGGGCAGGAGTGTAAACCAGGGCCTCCCAGGCCTCATTCTGCTCAGGAACAGCGAACACTTATCTCCTTCTGTCTTACACTCATTCCCAGCTGGTGTGCTTAGTCATAGTGACTCTGCTTTATTGCTTGGATTCCTCTGACAAGAAAGGAGGTTTATGCAGTGTTCCCAGAGAAAGCAGTAATTAGTTGTAAAACCCGTATTTAATAGCAGAGTCCCAGAGATAACTATATTTAGATCATTAAGAAATCAAACTCCTTTTTGAGTTTTCGGTGATAAATGCACCCTGGATACATTCATCAAGCTGACTCTTCCAGAAAATGCTGACAGGAAGCTGGCTCCGTTAATAGCTCGCTGTGAAATCAATCCCTCCCCGGAAATGTCTGCCTGTGAGTAACCGAATCTAAATTCTGCTTGGAAAGCAGGGCTGGGTCTGCTTGGGCCTTTTAGCAGCTGGCGCAGAAAATCGGGAAGAAAATAAAACCAACGTTTAAGTGAGATCACTTGAAAATGATACTTATTGTAGACTGATTTTAATTAAGATCATGAAAAGGAGTTTTAACTGTTTTATCAAATTTTGTCAGTCATCAGTGTTTTTCTATTTTTTTCAATGTATAGAATGAGAAAATAAAAGGTACCGAACAATGACTATGGCAAGCTATCATATATAACACAGTCACGCCATGAACTCATCCACAGCTCATCTCCAGTTGGATACACATAAAGCAGGCCAGGAGCGGCCTCGGGGGTGGGGGTCGGGAGGTAGAGCTGGAAGCTGGGAACGGGGAAGGGACTGTTTTCACTGCGTAGACCCTCCAGCACTGTTGTGTGTGTTTTAACTCCGTGCTTACAGGACCACCCAAAATACACCAAACCCAAAACCACACCATCACATTATAAAATAGAAACGACAACAAGGAAGAGAGAACCTAAGAAAGGTAGGATACGATGACTTCCCCCATGACAAGCCTGGGCCATGAGAGACTGAACAGAGGGAGAAACCCCCCAAAACCATTTCACAGGAAAAACTCAAAGCACAACCCAGGGGACCATATTCCGATGGAGCCACAAGCTGTCACACGTGGCTTAGGCCACGGACTGTGAGTATGCCAGGTTTTCCACCAGAGCCATTAGCGGGAGGGGCCAGAAGAGGAAGAGGTTCGTGCCAACTGACCTGGATCCCATAGAGGAATGAGCCCCAACCCCCATGTGGCCTCCGTGCCACCTCAGCAGCATGCTGTGAAAGGACCACGGTCACCTCACCATGATAACAGCATGTCTCTTCACTATGGCATACTAGCACATCTGAAACTAACAGACTGCATGTCAACAGTTACTAAAATATTAAAAAATATATTTAAAAGTGTTTGTCTATGTGCATGCAAACACATGCATTCATGGCTTTATGGAGAGTGTGTGTGTGCATGCATGCACTTGAGTACACTGGTGTGTACACATGTAAAGGAAAGTAGGAGGATTCACTAAGAGGCAGGAGCAGAGGAGGGGCTGGCAATAGGTCTGAGTGCTCAATGCCCTTGCACAGCCGCAGAAGAGAATCCAGAATGCGACAAGGCCATGGCACCACCGAAGCTGAGAAACGCGCTGGGCTTCCTGGAACTCAGTGAAGTGACCTAATCCGGCCTCCATCAACTGAAATGGGAGTCCAATGTTTGTTCAAAAACACCTTTCCAATGGCTTTAGTTCACAGCTGCTGAACAGCGTCCCTCCTAACAACAATAATCTCTTTTTGTGCCATATTAGCAGACAACTGCTGATATGAGCCATGCACCTGGAATTTATCTTAGGACAAGAAGTCTTTCTTAGCATAGCTGGCTGCAAAAACAGGAAAACTTCATTTTGCCAAAATACAACCTAACGGCTATGCCGTGTGCATGCACATAAAAATGGCAAAAAAGAAACCATTTATCAGGCTTATAGCGGGGAAAAACAAAACTCGCCTCATGCACACCAAACCCAAACTCCTCCTCCCTGGATGTGAGCCTGAGGGCTGAGTAACACAGAACACCGAGGCTTCTACGTCTAACTCATGACAACAATGTTTTTAAAAAACTAAACTAAAACCCTGCGCAAGTTTTCATTATAGAAAAAAGCCAATATCGCCTGGCTGGTTTGGCTCAGTGGATAGAGCTTCGGCCTGCAGTCTGAAGGGTCCCAGGTTTGATTCCGGTCAAAGGCACATGCCAGGGTTGCTGGCTCGGTCCTCAGTGTGGGTCATGCAGGAAGCAGCCAATCAATGATTCTCTCTCATCATTGATGTTTCTCTCTCTCTCTCTCTCTCCCTCTCCCTTCCTCTCTGAAATCAATAAAAATCAAACATATATATTAAATAAAAAAGCCAATACTCCTCACACACAAGAAAGATTTAATCAAGTCTGGTAGATATGCTTGCCAAGGTAAGAAAGTAAATTGGTGCATTTTAGATAAGTTTTTTCAACAACTAGGATCAAACTAAAGAAGTCTACCAGAATCACAATTAACCAATCAGTGATTTTTTAGCTCATTATTCCAGCTAAGGGATGTTTTCCGATGCTTTAGCATAATTCAAAATGCTCATTAACTTTCCCCAAAAGGACTCCCACACACAGACCTTGCCACATACAAAGCAGTCTACCACTTCATAGAGCACTTAATTTATTATTCTGTTTAGGAAAATTCTGGATTGGAAAGGAGTAGAAAGAAGTAACAGACCAAACATGGCAGGTGAGTCCAAACACCCAGAAACCACAACAGTTGTGCAAACAGCTTCTCCTCCCCTCAAATTCTCCCAAATAAGAGGAGCATATCTTGGAAGCCAGTTCCTCTTTATAAAACAGTCTGTGAAGGGCCAGGAAAGGGTAAGTTGGGGAGACAAAGGAGAAGTCGACTTCCTCAGTGTAGAAATCTGCTCTAACACTAAGATCTTCATTTTTGTATATTAGTATTTAATACGGTTTTCATACAGACCTACACAATATCCTAGTGAAGGCGGCATATTTCTCTGGGTTAAAATCTTTGGCGGTCAGAACAATAGAAAAATGAGTCACCTGTCCAAAAGAAACAAAAAAAAGTACACTTTTTAAAGACACTTGAATAGAATTCATTTTATCACTATATTTTAACAACCGCTTGTACAAGATATACCTGCACAAAAAGGAAAAGACCAAAATGTAACCAAGTTCTCACTCGCTTCTTTTACTCTTCTATGTATATGCACACATAAAACATTACATAGACATATATGTTGCATTTCATACACAAGAGTGTAATACTTTGCCAGTGTTTTTTGAAAACAAAAATATTTCAAATGTCAAAGATGTGCATTTTTATTTTATTTTATTTATTTATTTGTGTGTACATTTTTATTTTAAACCCCTTACCATCATCAAAACAGAAATAGGAATGCTATAGCAGACCTACCAATTTAGCAAACTATTTTTCATTAATGAAATAGAAGGATGGGAAACAACAAAAATATATCTCAGTAAAATGCTTATAATAAAAAGTATACCATTCCAGAAATAGTTAATTCTCTGTAAATTGCTATATAATCTAAAGGGCACTGTTATAATATCTTTCACCTATTTATATGCCTCATTTATCATAAATATAAATTTGATAATCATTATACCCATTATTCACATTAATGAGAAAAAATTTAGAACTTTACAAAAGCAAAGCATTTAAGAAATACATTTTAAAAATCATATTTTGAAGGGTAAAATTTCAAAATCTTGCTATATTTCAAATCTAGAAAAATAGACTTGAAATTGCTGTTGATATAATTTGACAGTCTGCAGGGTAAAACTTAATAAATCTACCTGAGAATACATCAAGCCTTCACAGCAAGAACTTAATAAACATAAACCAAAGATTTTGTAACATTTGGAAAACCACCTTTTAGCAAATTTACATTTTCTAATTATGAATTTCTATTTTGTCTTAAACCTCTACCAGTTTTGAAATTATTGCCTTAAAATTGTTATTTTAAATGTAATTCCTTATATTTAAACTGGTATCTTGGACATGCTTCATACAGTCTGGTTATTGGCTGTAAAATTATCCCTGAAAAGATAGTCTTCCCTCAGGAGCATGCCAGGAGCTCAGCCACTTCTCCCCAATATTATTTTCTTTGAAAAAACCTGCTGGTTGTTTGGACACTCACAAGGACCACATAGTGGTTTTCAATATGTCACACTGATCCTGTCCATGTCAAATGACACAACAAAAAACCGGCTGAATACTTGAGTTTCCTTAATTACCCTTTCTATTTTTAATATAGCTTTAACCAGCCACAAGGGAATAAAAACACATTTTCTTAACTATGCCAAGGATAATTATATCCTCTAAAATAGGTTTTAATGATGGAAAAATACTTCTATTCAGATATTACTTTGAAAGTACTTGTACATATTTCTCTTCCGTCAGAGTATAACCCGAACGAGGCTTCACCACACCAGCTACAGGGCCAGTCACATAATACACACCAACAAACATTTATAGCATGAATGCGAGTGAAACATGAAAGAAAACATTCATGAAACTCATATGTAGCCCTAGCCGGTTTGGCTCAGTGGATAGAGCGTCAGCCTGCAGATTGAAAAGCCCCAGGTTCGATTCCGGCCAAGGGCACATGCCCCGGATATGGGCTAGATTCCCCTACGGGGGTGTGCAGGAGGCAGCCAATCAATGATTCCCTCTCATCACTGATGTTTCTATCTCTCTCTCCCTCTCTCTCCTTCTCTGAAATCAATAAAAACATTACAAAAAAAAGAAAATCATATTTAATGTTTTGCACAAGCACACTGTGAATAATAAAATATAAGCTAAAAAGAGTTACTAAAATAATCTTACACCACTTTAAATATATATATATATTTTTTTTACCTTTATGCAGTCATACCTTTTTCAAAACTGAAGAATCTGGAACTTCAACTGTTGTGATATAAAACCATGTTCTTCTGTACTGACCAAAGACGAAGGGATGGAGGAGTCTGTTTTCATCTGCGAGGCAGCATTTTCTCAGCAGCAGATTCCTTAAAGTAGCTGTCGTGGAAGGATAACACCAAACCCACAGAACTTCTCCATTTGTGTCCTTTTCTACGGTGGAAAGATGGTCACTGTGAGAATGTCAAACAGCAGCAAGGAAGTGAATTGAGTGGTTACTCAGAAGCACTTAGTGGAATCACTTTTAACATCCTATTTTACAAAGCAACCCGGAACTGGTGAGACCCCTAATTCCCACCTGCCTCTACTGCTCAGATTGCCTAGCGCTCCTGACCTTGGAATTGTAGGCTACTGGAGTAAATCATGTTACCTACTGATGGTGCAAATTCTATATTTAAAACTTTAATTTTATCCTCAAAGTAAACAGCTCAATAACAAGAGGAGCAATCTACTAATAACAAAAACTCCAAGCAAAAACAGTCTAAATTTTAGAGAAATTTACTGCACATATAGCACCAAGAATCTACATTTTGATCCACAGCAGTGGTTCTCAACCTTCCTAACGCCGGACCCTTTAATACAGTTCTCCATGTGGTGGTGACCCCCAACCATAAAATTATTTTCATTGCTACTTAATAACTTTAATTTTGCAACTGTTAATGAATCATAATGTAAATGTCTGTGTTTTCCGATGGTCTTAGGTGACCCTGCTAGCGGTTCTCAACCTGTGGGTCGCTGCTGTAAAGGCTAAGATCATCGGAAAACAGATATTTACATTTCGATTCACAACGGTAGCAAAATTACAGTTATGAAGTAGCAACAAAAATAATTTTATGGTTGGGGGTCACCACAACATGAGGAACTGTATTAAAGGGTCGCAGCATTAGGAAGGTTGAGAACCACTGCTTTACAGACTTAAAAAAATACTTATTACGGAAAATATCAAGTATATAAAAAAGCAGAGAGAATAACAAAATTCCCCCATCTTCATCACTCATCTCTCAGCTTCAACAATTACCAACATCTGGCCCTCCTTGCTTCATAAGGGGGAGGAGTGTTTCCCCTTCCATTATTTTGAAGCAAAAAATAACGAAGCCTGCTGAATTGAAAATGATTAAGTCATCTTTATCTTCGCTGTTACCAAATAAAGTCAGAGTTTAACTCAGCCTTAACTCAGCCTTACCCAGGCAGGACTGAGATGCCCAAGTCACTTAGGTTTGCTATGAAACAGTTTTAAAATCACACTTAAAGAAATGTTCACAGGGGTATGAGATTTATCGGGACGATCGCTTAGTCAGTTACATAATGTCTAATCACTGAGGTGTCCCCTTAAAACGAATATAATATTGTATGTCAACTGTAATTTAAAAATCAAAAAATGATTTAATTTTTTTTAAAGGTGTGACTACAAGAAGCCATTTCCAGAGAAATGCACTTCTTGGAGGCACTGAAAAGTAATCAGCACATTTCGCCCGTTTTTTCTTTAATGATCCTTGTATGCACCAGGGAACTGGTGTGTAGGGGTTTGTAGAAATCTCTCTTCAAAGGACATGGCACCTAGGCAGCCGACAGACGTTCCTTCCACCGACCCCGTGCTCGCCGTCGCCTATCAGATGAATGGTTCCTGGAAAGCCCAACCCCGAAACGCCGCACGCCGCCCCGCACACGGCCTGGGCCGCCCCAAAATCCCCACGTACTTCCTTCCTCTCCATTGATTCCTCAAAACCGGCGGGGCCCACCCAGGGGATTAAGTCGACACCCGCGCTACGGGCACAAGCTGTATCTGCTACGATGAAGCTGGGGCTCTGGGACCATCCTGCAAGTGTCCCAATCCTGGTCCCGCCCCTTTCGAAGGTGCGTCGGTGGACACCCCGAAAAGTGTGCCTCAAGCATGACCCGCAGCCCCGGGAGCCGAAGGGCGCGTTAAACGGAGACAATCCAGGCATAAAACGCTGCACCCGGACTGGTGGTTGGCCACCGCGTCTCCAGTCGCTGGGTCACATGATCCAGGCCAGTCGGGCAGCGGGCCAGGCGTGCCCACCTCCGAGAGACGCCCGGCCGCCCCCACGCCCCATTCCCCTCCTGAGCGCGGCTGTCGGCCCAGCCGGGGTCCCGCCCGCACAGCGGCCCCTCGCAGCGAGGGAGCCCGGGCCCCTTCCCCGTCCGGGCCCGGAACGTCCAAGGCTCCCCTCCCTGCACCTCGGGGAGGCCCGAAGGGCCGCTCCGCCCCGCCGCCCGAACCGGGAGGGCACCGAGGGCGGAAGGGCCCGTGGCCGCGGGTCGAACCCAGCGCCCAAGAGGCCTGGCCGCGCCGCCCCCTGCCCAGGCCCAACCGGAAGGGGGTCGCGCCCTCCCCACCGCAGGGGGCGGGAGGAGGGGCCGCCCCAGGCTCAGGCAGAGGCGGAACTGGGGTGCGGGCGGGCCTGGGGGCAGGGCGCCTGCGTGCTCACCGATCAGCCCTACTCCGAGCATCAGCTGAGTGTCCGCCGCCCCATCCGCAGCCATCTTCCGCCGCCGCCGCCGCCGCCGCCGCCGCCGCCGCAGCGCGCCGCTCCCGACGCCCCGCCCGCAGGCCCCGCCCCCTCCTCAGGGCCCGCCCACCCATTGGCCCCACCCGCAGGCTGAGGCCCCGCCCCTCCTCCAGGCTCCGCCCCACGTGTCCGGACTTCCTCCCGGCCCCTCCATTCACCTTCAGCCCTCGGTTCTCGGAAGCCTCCCTCAGGCTCCGCAGCTTCTAACCCAGATGTTCACCCGCCTTCCCTTCAACCCACATCCCTTGGGCTTTCCTCATCCTACCTCTGCACTGCGCTAAGAAGAGGAGTCCCGCCCTGGCTGGTTGGCTCAGTGGATAGAGTGTCCGCCTGCGGACTGAAGGGCTCCAGGTTCAATTCTGGTCAAGGGCACATGCCTGGGTTGCTGGTTCAATCCCCAGCAGGACGCGGCCTAATAATGCTTCTCTCTTATTATTGATGTTTCTTTTTTTAAAATATATATTTTATTGATTTTTTACAGAGAGGAAGGGAGAGAGAGAGAAACATCGATGAGAGAGAAACATCAATCAGCTGCTTCCTGCACACCTCCCACTGGGGATGTGCCAGCAACCAAGGTACATGCCTCCTGACCAGAATCGAACCTGGGATCCTTCAGTCCACAAGCAGACGTTCTATCCACTGAGCCAAACCGGTTTTGGCTTATCATTGATGTTTCTAACTCTCTCTCTCTCTCTCCCTCTCCCTTCCTCTCTGCAATCAATAATTTGTTTTTAAAGAGGAGTCCTGAGGATGGACGAAGTGTCTCCATTCATTCATTCATTCATTCATCCAAAACAAAATAGATCCTATTGAGGATTTGCTTTAACAATCTCAACAATATATCAGCCTGCATCAACCTGCACCTCAAATACCTGCTTTTGTTGAAACACACATGCGCACAAATATGCACGTGCAAGAATGTTCATGCAGAGCTGCCAGTAATAGCAAAAGTGAAAAATCACACAAATCTCTATTAATAAAGAAAACTGAAAAAATTAATGGCATGTTCCATATTACAGTCATTGAGAGAGTGAGGCAGACACATTTGTACTAACTCACTATGATCCCATATGTATGTAAAACTCCAAACCAATATGTATTTAATTTTTTATTTTGTTTTAAAAAAAAATCTTTATTGTTAAAAAAAAAAAAAAAAAAAAAAAAAAAAAAAAAAAGAACTACCAGGTTAGATAGATGCCTATGTATTAAAAAAAAATTCTTTATTGTTGAAAGTATTACATATATTCCCTTTTCTAGCCCATGCCCATTCCTGCCCCATGCTTTTACCATCCACTGTCTGTGCCCATGGGTTATGCATATATGCATGCAAGTTCTTTGGTTGATCTCTTCCCACCCACCCACCCTCCCACGCCTTCCCTCCGATATGTGTGTGTATATATATGATTGGAGATATGCACGCCCAGCTGCTGACAATGGTTAACTCAGAGGAAGGGTGTGGGGGAACAATGTGAAGGAAGGTTGGGGGCTGTGCACCTGTGTCAAGGTGAAGCTATAGTAACCACCGTACCATAAAGGTGTCTTAAGACCAAAAAACAAAGCAGGCGAATTTATTGAATATAACAGAACTTACTGTAAGGTAATTTACTTACAGGGAAGATTGAGTCGGGATGGGAAAGACAATGACTCAGTAGTCTACACAGATTATTCTTCCCTACTCTACAGTTGTTACAGCAAAGGTTTTCTAGTGCAGCTGAACTGCTAATGATTGACAAGGCAAAGGGACAAAGAATGCAGCTTGAGCCAGGAACCATACCTCCAGGTGGTCTTATGATGGATAATTGCTTACCATCGATGCCAGTACCTAGTTTGATATTTATCTCGGTTGCTATGTCATTCTGGCCCTTTACTGACAGGAATCTCGGTTACAGGATACAGTAATCATTAACTAGGAGGCGTTGGTGTTGGCTGAGACTCAGCATGGAAACTAGGGGGAAATTAGAAGGCACAGGGAGATGGGGTCAGCTTTGTTTACATCAACATATATATAGTACCCTGAACTATATAAGTAAAATGCCTATATATTTAGAAGTGTATAATATAAATGTCTATATTTATACATACTTTTAAGTGTATATATTTAGTACATTATGCATAATAAATGTACTATATGCAAGGTCCATAGCTGTAAAAAATGTCATTGAAAATGCTGAAGATAATAACATTCTAACAGATGCTAATGAAAAAGTTTTCTCCAAGTAGGTAAGACTTCAGCAGCTTTTTCTCCACCTTTTATTGTTATTTCATAATTTTATTTTCTGGGACAGAGGCGTTAAAAAGTATATTCTCCGGCCCTCCATTCTGTTCCCATCAGGAACCAAGGCTGAGAAGGAAGATGAGGTGGGAGCAGGATGAAAGTGTGTTAGTCAGTGGTCGGCAAACTCATTAGGCAACAGAGCCTAATATCAACAGTACAACGATTGAAGTTTCTTTGGAGAGCCACATTTTTTAAACTTAAACTTCTTCTAATGCCACTTCTTCAAAACAGACTTGCCTAGGCCGTGGTATTTTGTGAAAGAGACACATTCAAGGGGCCAAAGAGCCGCATGTGGCTCGCAAGCCACAGTTTGCCGACCACGGTGTTAAATGAATGGCCTCTCCCTGCCCCTGGGGGGGCTGTTCATGCTGTGTCTTCAGCAGGCCCTGACCCTAAATATTTCCTCAATGAATGTTAGGGAGCAGCTCCATGGGGCCAAGGCCTGTAGGTGCCACCTTTGTCTCTGGCACATAGGGGGCACTCAGAAACTGAATGAGGATAAAGACAGCAGTCAATGGATTCTAAAACAAAGTTGTTAGAAGCTGGTGGGTGCAGGGAGGGAAGGCTAATGGAGGCAGTGGCCAAGCTTGGGTGGAGTGGGACACAGGGCCAGGGTAAAGAGGTTATCCATGGGTAGGAGGGAGGGTCAGTGGAATTGATGCCACCTTTCCTCCCATTTCACCACTCGGTGCTGCCAGACCTGCCAGACAGGTTCACCAGAGTTAAGGGGAAGGAAAAAGGGGTGGAGAGAAGGAAGGGAGGTATTCCCAATCTTTAGCAATAAGAGTGTTGAACTGTCACTAACGGAAGGAACTGGGATGTGGAAACAGACAAACCTGAACTCTAGTCCCAGCTCTGCCATCTTAGCTATGAAACCTCACTATGTTGTCTTTCTTCTCTGTGCTTGTTTTCTCAGTGATCAAATGGAACTATTTATCATGTCCTCTGTACTTCTCCCCATGAAGATCTGAATGAAGAAAAAAGCCTTTATGCTGTTTTTATGGATAGAGATAGCTTTGTGTCAGAGGTCCCCAAAATCAGCCTCAGATTCAATGATTTGTTGGGGGACTCGCACGTTCAGCATATAGCTGTCCTCATGGCTATGATTTATGACTGCCAGAGAATACCAAGTGAAATCAGCGAAGGGAAAAGGCACATGGGGTGGTGTCCAGAGAAAAATAGACCCACACTTCCAGAATCCTTTTCTAGTGGCCTCACACAGGACACACTTAATTCCTCCAGCAACAAGTTGTGACAACACACATGAAAACTGTTGACCAGGGAAGCTCATTAAAGACCCATGCTCATTAGAGACTCGGGATTTTTATTGGAGCATCTTCTGCCTAACTCATATAAAAATTCCAGGCTCTCAGAAGGAAACGTGGTCAGCATGAACCCCATTGTTTATACAGAAAGTGGAGGCAGAGTCAGTCACGCTTATGAATGCTGGGAATGGTGGGAGCACTCCTGAAATCGAAGTTCACAGACACTAGCCAAGGGCCTACTGAACAGCAGACTTTCCTAAGCTGTGTCCGGTTTGCACAGCCTGCAGGCTCATTACTCCGCAGGAAAAGAGAAAGAAGTGGTTGGCACCAATGGGGGTTTGAAAAACGCCCAAACTGTCTGGGCGTGTGGACAAGGGATTGTAAGGCGGTCACAGATGTTCTAATTCCCAAGTCCCTGGGAGCCAAATGGGCCCTTTTTATGTTTTTCTCATGATTGGACTTAAGGAGAGATTAGGCATGTGTCAGCTGAGAGAGCCACTGGAGTGGCAGCTCTTTAAGGGCTTCCGGCAGCTTGGGGAGCAGGAAGTAACCTCTGGAAGGCGCTTCAGTCAATCCCCCTGACACTGTCCTGAGGGTTAAATGGCTTCCTGCGTCTGTGAGGCTTCCTGACCATTCCCCAAAGGAAGCAGTTCTTGTGTCTCCACAGTTTCAGGTGCTGATGATGGGACCTGAGTAGATCCCGGGCTCCAGGAAGCCTCGCTTTGGAGCTGTGTTGCATTAAAAGAAACCGTTCAGCAAGAAAACGGTAATTAAAGTAAATTCAGATCCTTATCTACATTTTTCAAACAACATTAAAGAGGATAAAATTCATTACCTACAGTGATTATTTTTTTTTTTTAGAGAGATAGAGGAAGGGAGAGAGGGAAACATTGATTTGTTGTTCCACTTATTTATGCATTCATTGATTCTTTTTTTAAAATATATTTTTATTGATTTCAGAGAGGAAGGGAGAGGGTGAGAGAGATAGAAACATCAATGATGATCACAGAGAATTAGTAATCGGCTGCCTCCTACACGCCTCCCACTGGGGCGTGTAGAAGGCAGCCCACAACCCAGGCATGTGCCCTTGACTGGAATCGAACTTGGGACCCTTCCGTCCCCAGGCCAATGGTCTACCCACTGAGTCAAACCAGCTAGGGCTTCTCTTTCTTTTTCTTCACCATTACCCTTCCCCCGCCCCTCTATTCTTCCTCTTTTCTTATTTCAACCCTTTCTTACTTGAGTCTCCTACGCCACTTCTCCAGCTGTCTTCCCAACTCATTACCCTATGTACCTAATGAGTATACTACCGTGTTTCCCCGAAAATAAGACCTAGCGCATGGAAAGATAAGACATCCCCTGAAAATAAGACCTAGTGCAACTTTGGGAGAAAAAATTAATATAAGACACTGACTTATTTTCGGGAAAACAGGGTAGTAGGTGTGGGGAAAAGAGAAGGTAGGGATGAAAGCTAATATCAGAATATTAGAGTAGCTTGGTTCAATTTCTGGTCAGGCCACATGCCAGGCTGTAGGCTCAATCCCCAGTGTGGGGTGTGCAGGAGGCAACCAATCAATGATTCTCTCTCACCATTGATGTTTCTATGTCTCTCTCCCTCTCCCTTCCTTTATGAAATCATTCCATATATATAAAAGCCTAAATAACTGTTATGACAGGTCGACCTATTGCGTATGACACGCGCTGACCACCAGGGGGAAGACGCTCAACAAAACAGCTTCCCCTAGTGGTCAGTGTGTTCCCACAGCCAACCTCCCACAGCTGGCCAACCTTCTGTGGTCCCTCCCCCTGGCCAGCCTGTCCCAATCAGCCCTGATCACCAGCCAGGCGGCGGGACTCCACTCATGCACAAATTTGTGCACTGGTCCTCTAGTAAAAATATATTAAAAAAATATATAATAAAACAACACAACACCCATTTATTAGCTCACAGTTCTGTAGTTCATAATTCCAGGTGTCGCATGATTGGGTTCTCCAGAGTTTTTTCAGACCGAAGTCCAAATGCTGGTCAAGCTGCATTCCTTTCTGGAGGCTCTGGGGAAGAATTTGCCTCCACACGCATCCAAGTGGTTGATGGAATTCAGATCTTCGCAGTTGTAGGACTGAGGTCTCTGTTCATTGGCTGGCTGTTGGCTGGCAGACCACTCTCAGCTTCCAGAGGCCATCTGCAATTCCTTGCCCTGTGGTTCCCTCCATATTTCCTCTCAGGCTTGCTTTGAATCTCTTTGAATGCTTTAAAGAGATTTAAAAGGCTCATGAGTTTGGTCAGACAAACCCAGATAGCTCTCCTTTTTTATCAATTGTAACATGTATAACCTAATCACAGGAATAATAACACATGATATTTACAGTTCCAGGTATTGTACAAGGGGGTGTCTTGTGTGTGTGTGTGGGAAGAGCCTCTTAGAATCTGCCTACCTCAGTCTCCATTCCTTTATTTATTCTGTAAGAAATAAGGCGAGCCCCCAAATTCAGGGGTCCTGGTAGAATGTGAATCATACTCAGGAACCAGGCAGCAAGACAAACACCTTTACTCCTGCAGGAGGGTGCACAAGACATGGTCTGGGAGCACGCACACACTGAGCAAGCAGTCTGCTCCACTCTTTCATTCTGATGCATGTGACCTGTCCCTCACTCTTGATTGGAGCTCAGGCACACAGTCTTTCTCAATTGGCTAATTTGAAGGGAGGAGTTGGCCTTTGCAGTTCAAGATGGTGGCCCTCAGGGGAGCTGCAAGTCATGTGGCCAACATGGTGGCTGCCACGTCACGTGGGCCAAAATGGCGACTGTCTAAACTGTTCTTTGACAGAAAAGAATACTTGTTTATTCTCACAATTGACACATCTCATGTTTATGGAGTGCCTTCCCTGAGCTAGGCATAGTTCCAGGCATTGGGGAAACAGTGGTGAAGAAGACAAGCTTGGTCTCTTAAAGCTTACCACCTAGTGTGGTGAGACAGACAATAACCAAGGAGACTAAGAAAACTATCAGTTAGCAATGAAAGCTCTGCTGAGAACTGACATAGGATGGAATTTAGGTTTAAATTTGGTGTCAGGAAAGGAGAGGAAATCCCTGAGGAGGGGCCATTTCAGTTGCTCCCTGAGAAGATAACATGCTGAAAAATCCACGTAAAGGCTGTCTAATATCCACAAAACCAAGAGCAAAGCCCACACCCTGTGGTTGCAGGGTTCCTTCTAATCATATTTTACACACTTAACAGAGACGCCTGTTTTCAAACCCCACCCAAAACCACTGTGCACAGTGTCTTACTCATTCTGTTTTCTTCACCCTATTGGGCTTAACCTCCTAAATTCCCAAGCGGGAGCTGGGCTTCAAGGCATGCCAACAATGGCGTAAGTATGTGCTCTAATTCCCACAAACATGCCTCTAACTTCCCCTCAGCGCTGTACTGGAATCTGGCGAATATTAATGGATGAAGACTCTTGGGTGTAAGTATTTGTACAAATACTGCCAGGACACCTTCCTGCTAAAAATATACGCAAGTGAATCTGCATCCCAATTTCCTGCTTTCAATCTGCAGAACCTAAAGATCCCGTGAGAACTGTCTGGCACAGGCATAGTGCATCCATCGGCCCTCGGTTCACCACCGTTGAAAAGATTTCCAATCCCAGTTGGATACTTGAGAGGCTTCGAGGTTTCGGACCTTGTTTGTTATCACGAAGCTGGAACCATGAGGTGCTCTGAAGCATACACTAAAAAAAAAACTACTTTCTGGGGGTTGACCATGTGCCAGGCGCTGTCCATACACTAAGATGAACCGTCCCAGTCATGACCTTCAAGGGACTTCCAGGAGAACAACATGCAGATGGGCAATTATTATATAGGAGGCTTGCTTTAATCAAGTAAGTCTTTTTTTTCCCCCCAACAAATATTTATTGAGTACTTCCTCTGTTCCAGGCAGTATAGATATCAGAGATACAGCAGTTGAACAAAACAAAAACAAATCCCTGCCCTTGTCAAACTTAGTATCTAGACAGTAAAGACAAACTCAAAAATACATTCGGGATCAGATGGTGATAAGCAAATAAATGCTATGGAGGGAAATTTTTTTAAAAAGAGAAAAGTGGCCCTAGCCAGTTTGGCTCAGTGGATAGAGCTCAGTCAGCCTGTGGACAGAAGGGTCCCAGGTTCGATTCCGTTCAAGGACAGGAACGGATTGATCCCCAGGAGGAGGCGTACAAGAGGCAGCTGGTCAAGCATTCTCTCATCATCGATGTTTCTCTCTCTCTCTCCCTTTCTTTTCTTCTCTGAAATCAATAGTTGAGGGAAGGTGACACTGGTGTGGGATGGGAGGGGCCAAGGGGAAGGGGAGGAGTTGGATAGGGCCCTACAGGTCATTAAAGGACTTTGGCTCTCACTGCATGAGCTGGGGAACCACAGAGGGTCTGATGGGGGGACTGACAGGATCATCTCACTTTTGTTCTGAAAGAACTCCCCTGCTTGCTGTGAGGAGAGGAAAGAGAAGGGAGGGAAGGGGAAACAGGAAGACAAGTTAGCAGGTCTTATATACGCTGTGGAGGTAGATATGAGATTTGTTGAAGGATTGCTTGGATGTGGGGATGTGACAGAAAAAGTAGTCAAGGATGTCTCCAACATTTGTTGCTTGAGCAAGTGTAAGATCAAGGCTGCCATTCTTTTACATGGGAAATATGACAGGAGCAGCTAGCTCATGGCAGAAGACACAAGGAGTCTGGTTTGGGGAAGGTTGGGTTATGCTATATGCCAAATATTTAATGGATGTGTCAAATAGGCATCTGGGTGTGAGACTGACTGGCTTTCAGGAGAGAAGCCAAGCGCTGGTAATGCAATTTTGTAACTTATAAACATAGAGGTGATGTCTGAAGCCACGAGCTAGAAACAAGAGCCGAATATAGTTAAATGGAAGAGGTCCAGGGGCTTGGCCCTGGGACTTTCCAACCTTAGAGGTCGGAGTGGTGAGGAGACATCAACAAAGGAAACTGGGTATTCAGAGAGGCAGGAAGAAAATCAGGAAAGCATGACAAGTGAAGAAAGTGTCTCAGGAAGGATGGCATGATGAACACTGTGTGTGAGCAGAGATGGAACCCAATGCATTAGTAGTACATAGGAGCTGGATTCATTTTATTTATTTATTTATTTATTTTTAAAATACATTTTTATTGATTTCAGAGAGGAAGGGAGAGTAAGAAAAAGAAACATCAATGATGGGAGAGAATCATTGATTGGCTGCCTCCTACACACCCCCTGCTGGGGATTGAGCCCTCAACCCAGGCATGTGCCCTGACAGGGAATCAAACTGTGACCTCCTTGTTCACAGGTTCAGTGCTCAACCACTGAGCCACACCAGCCGGGCTCGCTAGCATTTTTTCAGAGCATCCTGTCTGCCTGATTCTCTGCGAGGCATTAGTGACACAATGGTGAACAACACAAAGATGGTCCTTCCCCTCTCTAAGTGCACAATCTGCAAGAAATTACACTGAAGTATGATCAGTGCAGGCAGGATGTTGTTAGTGCTCATTGCCGTGGTATCTAAACTAAATTGGGGGCCAGGAAAGAATCCTGGAGGAAGTGACGATTAACCTTAAATATAAATAGGTGGCTGTCATCAGAGCAATAATTGGATGGTGAAGAATGTTCCAAGTGAAGTGATGGCATGCCTCCCAGTAGAGGCGGGAGAGAGCTGTCTAAGGCAGTGTTTCCCAACCTTCTCTCATGATGAGAATCACCTGGTGGAGTTGTTAAAACACAGATTCCCGGATCCCAACTAAGAAGTGCTAGACTAGAATTTTTGGGAACATATAGGTAAAATTGTATACTTAACTAGTGCTCTAAGACAGATTTTATATACAGAGCACTAAGTTAGGTATGCAATTTTACCTATATGTTCTCAAAAATTCTAGTTTAGCACTTCTTAGTTGGGATCCAGGAATCTGTGTTTTAACAACTCCACCAGGTGATTCTCATCATGAGAGAAGGTGGGGAAACACTGGTCTAAGGCACTGAAAGACTTTGGGTGTGGTGAGACATGGGCCTGGAGAGACAACGGGGGCTTAGAGTCTCCATCTTCATAAAGCTTCTGGCAAGTGCTTCAAGTCTTTCTCTCTCTAGAAAGCAAAGTCTAAGCAGGCAGGAACCACATCTGCCCTGTTCACTGCTGTGTACCTACAGGTGCTTACTTCCTGTGTGTGGCACATGGTATGCACTTGATAAAGGTTTGTTGAATGAATGTATAACTGTGAATCTTAGGTTACCTCTCTGAAATTTATGTTCATCCGTATAAATATCATCATTACAGCATTCTTATAAACAAAACGATGAATGTAAAAGCATTCTGTAAACTCTAAAATATAATGCTTGTAAAAAATCAATAAAATATGTTAAAAACAATACAATGCTTGTTTTAAAGCTGTAAGATATTATGCTGCAAGTATGTTTAAGGTAGTACTTCTGTTTCACCCTTAACAACTGTTTTTTTTTTTGAGAATCTTATTTTCTCCCCTCAAGTCAGAAACCCCCCAAAATATCATATTAAGAGCAATTATCCAGTCATATGTAGTATAAAAGTAGCCTCATTAAGAAAAAAAAATCCTTCATCAATCTGATCCCTTCCTCTTACCATTTCCTAAAGTGGTTTCTAACATATTCATGTTGCTTATTTTCTCACTAGAGGCCCCGTGCACAAAATTGTGCACTTGGGGGTGGGGGTGTCCCTCATCCTGGCCTGCACCCTCTCTCAGTCTGGGAGCCCTTGGGGGATGTCTGACTGCTGACTTAGGCTCGCCCCCCACTGGGAGCAGGCCATCCTTAACACTGCTGCAGAGGAGGGAGAGGCTCCTGCCACTGCCACTATGCTCGCCAGCCTCGAGCCCAGCTTCTGGATGAGTGGTTCCCTCCACCCCAGCCCCGTGGGAGTACACTGAACACCATGGGGCATCTCCTGCATCAGCATCTGCCCCTGGTGGTCAGTACACATCATAGCAACCAGCCATTCTGCCATTTGGTTGATTTGCAATAAGCCTTTTATTATATAGGATAAGTGAGCATTAATCAACAGCAAGTTGCTTTTCTCCTGGCCCAGAATAGATCCTATCTTGTATGACCTGCACCAGTGAATCAAGTCCTTGAAAGTAGGCATCTTGTATCTTTTTATTCCCAGCATCTAATATTATGGCTGTTAGTTAGTACTGAATACCTGCTGGTTGAATTTAATAGGTAAATTTATCCTGGAAATTGACATTATCCCTTTACTTATTCACAAATACAGTATTAGACCCTAAATAACTTTACTTAGTGCACTTAAAGGATCATCGGTTATCACCAAATGCTTCACATGCTTTAACTTGAAAGAGAAAAGGTAAAGAAACAGAGATATTGGATTTCATTTACTTCCCAATTTTCTAGTGTTTTCCTTGTTTTCATTATTTCTGCCAAATAATGAGTATTAATTAATGAGGTAATTTTATTACTGTTTTCATTCAGATAAGATAATGGAAAGATAAGAATGTTAGAAAGCTTTTTCTGCTATCGATACTTAGGCCAGGTTTCCTTCCATTTTATTCTGTTACGTCTCTCTGTGGCCTACTAGTTTTTTATCTACAGTATTTAAAAGCTGTATTTGCTCTTATGTGTAGCTCTTTAATTTTGACTTAATTATTATATACACACCCAAGTCTCTTGATCCTGCCCCATAAAACAGTTCCTACAGCTTCTTAGTACTTGTTGCTCAACGCTGTCTGGCTCTTACGTTTTTGGGAGTAAGCTCAGACATTTGGAATGGTTTAAACATTTTGGAGGAAGAACTCTCTGAAACTTAATTTAAAAATGATCTTTTTTAGAATTTGTGATTTTTTTTTTGTCTATGCATTTCCCCAAATTTTTTTCACAGTGATAAGTTTACAGTTAAATAGACACCCCCCCCCCCCACGCACACCTTTGCTGAGGCAGAAAAAATGAGGGGAAATTCTTTTTGTGTGTACATACTGTGGTTTTTCTCGTTCATTAATGTAGTACTCATTAATTCACACATACCCTCCATTATTACAAAACGTGCAATACAAATTGCAATAATTTATTCCACTGCTGCTTTCTGAATTTCTCTTCTGAAGTCATCTTCATTTCAGACCAAGGGCTTGAGCAATTATATTATGTTTCAGTGGCTTTCAAACTCTAGGTGTAAATAATGTTTGCACATTAAGGTTATTAATCAACAATAAAGACTGCAGCAAAAGGCCTGCTATACATTGATAGACTGGTCACTAACGCTTATTTGTCTTACGTTTGCCATGTGTGCTGTATGTAAAGGCGACAACACTCCACGTGTTTGCGAACACGCAGGTCTGTTCTGCTGCAGCGCTTTTGCCCTCTGCCGGGTTGCTGTCCCTGGTCTGTCCCATCTTTAAGGTCTCAGCTCCCCACTAGCCTTGTCTGGGAGCGCCCCCCTCACTCAGGCAATCTCTGTCACCAACGTTTTTATTAAAAAAAACACACAAAACAACAACACCTTTTCGAGAGGAAGGGAAGGGTAGAGAAACATCCACGATGAGAATCATTGATTGGCTGCCTCCTGGAGGCCCCCTACTGGGGATCCAGCCTGCAACCCGGCATGTCCCTTGACAGGAATCGAACCCGCGACCCTTCAAGTCCGCAGGCCGACGCCCTATCCACTGAGCCAAACCGGCTGGGGCTCACTAACATTTCTATTTCACCTACATATGCAATGAGCTTGCTTCTGTAGTTATCTGCTGCATCGCTCCTCCCCATGCTAGTCCGGGATGGGACTGGCCCCCACTTTTTTCCGGGGTGAGCAGCGCCGACCTGAAGATACCTGCTCGGGGCATTTCCGTTACACGGATCCATTCATTCTGCCTTTTCCCTCGGCCAAGGCGGGCCTTTCCTGGGCGATGGACCCGACTGATTCTAACTCTGCACCACTCCGCACAAATCACCGTAAAAATAAATCTGTGCGGACGCCAGCCTTCTAGCGAGGCGGACACTCTGACCCAAACCTCTCCGCTCCCAGCCCGACTGTCGCCTGAGCGGCGCGGGGCCCGAGACGCGCTCCCCTCGCGTGAAACCCCCGCGTTCCGAGGGGACCTCTGAGAGCGCGCCCGCCGCCGCCGCCGCCGCCGCCACGTCAGCCGACGCGCGTCAGGCCAGCGCGCCTGCGCGCGGGAGACCGGTGGTGCGCACGCGGAGGCCCGCCCCCTTACATCCGGGGCCTGGGCCGCGGCGCCGCCGCCGCGCGGAGGTCACGTGGGCCCCTCCTTTCCATCGCTGGCTGGCTGTCTGGGCGCGGGCGACTGCTGGTGAGGCGCGTGGGACCTCGCGCTGGTTCCCCTTCGGCCCGGGCCACTGAGGAGTTCCCTGACGCTGGGTGAGCTGAGCCTGCCGCCAAGATGCCGGCCTACTTCCAGAGGCCGGAAAATGCCCTCAAACGCGCCAACGGTGAGTAAGGGGGTCGGGGCGCTCCGGGCTGGGGCGGCCGAGGCCTCAGAGGTCGAGGGGCCCGCGCCTGGCTTCTCCCTGTTCCGCTGCCTGACGACGGCCGGAGACGGGGGGGTGGGGGGGTCGATGGCGGCCTGTCCGCCGCCCTCCCAGACCGTAGTTGGCGGCATGGTTTCCCTTCTCGTCCCAACTGACCGGGGAGTGGGAGGCGCGGAGCCGGGAACCGTCGCCCTGGGGCCCTTCCCGTCCCCCCGTCGTCGCCCTCTGGTGAGTCTCGGGGGGCCGCCGCCCCGGAGACGGAGCCCCCCGGGCTGGAGCTGGCTCCCCCACCCCGCCTTCCCCCGCCGCCGCTCCCCAGGCCCCGGGTCTCCTCGCCTGCTTAGGCCCCCGGCGCCCCGGGTCGCCATCTGGGAGTGCCGGGGAGGAGGAAACATGGCTCCCTCCCGGGGACAATGCACGCGAGAACCTCGACTCCACCTCCCGCCGGGGCCGGGGCCGGCCGGTCCCACCCCCGGCCCTGCCCCCGGGGCCCTCCGCCCCCCGAACCCCGCGCGGTGCCCCGCCGGGTCAGGGTCCAGCTGACTCTCCTCCGGCCACCCCGGGCCTTGGCTTCGGGCACTCTGACCCACAGAACCGGTTTTCAGTGTGGTGTGTTTTTTTCTTTTTCCGGCATTGATTATTGGCTGCCCCAAAGCCCGTTCGGAATCACAGGAAGTTGGGCCGGAGTAGTTAGTAGTCACAGAGAGACTGACTGCACGTTCTCTCCCCAGATAACGAAACTGAGGCCTAGAGGGAGGGAATGGGCTGCCCAAGGTCACTGCGCGGTGAGAGGCTGGCCCGGGGCTGAGGCTGAGGCCCCCGGGCGCCCCAGGAGCCGCGGCGACTTCTGTCCCCGGTGTGTGCGCTGGAGCCCGCGGCCTTCTCGGGGAAAACCCGTGCGCGCCCCGATGTATTCAGCGGGCACTCATCCACGTTGGCGTTATGGGGGTTACACGTGTATCACGCCTGTCTCGGATCTTGAATTAAGTTTAAAAAAAAAACTTTCTTTAGGGTTTTCTTAAAGCCCCTGTCTGCACCCTTCCTCGCCCCACACCAGTTTTGGGTCTCATCCCTGTTGCTGATGGGTATACCTGGCGTGTTACAGTGTTAACGTCTGTGGGGCTTATGTTGTGTTCGCTGGTTTGAAAACTCTTTTGGGAAAGGTCAGGTCAGTCATTGCATGAAATTGACCTGGCAGGGCTAGAGATGTGTTTTGTCACTTGCTTATCGTTTTAACTAAAAGTAACCATTTCGGGAAGAGTTGACAGTCTGGAATAGGTTAATTCTACATTCTGTGGGCAGAGTAATTGTTTTTTAAAAAAGCTACATCTAAAGATCTGATCAACTACCCATTCTAACCAGCTATCTCGTGGTTAGAACAGGGGAGCTGTTTAAGTTTATAGGAAAGAAAATAGAAATTTATTACAAAATAAAGATGACCTGTAGCAGAGTTAGGACATATTTTTTTAAAGTTTCAAAATTTACCATGATGTTAAATGACTTGGGTAAAACTCGACTGGGTTTGCCATCGTAGGTCTGTTTCACAGTCATTTGAATGCTTTTACCCACGGCTTCCTTCTCCCTTTCTGATAGGCTGAAGCGCACTGTAATCTCCGTGGCCTGAAAGTTACTCAGGTTTTATTTCCTTCATCACTCCTCCCTTCTGAACCTTCCTATGAACTTAATATTTCAGTAACTTTTTACACTTAGTAAGGATACATAATGTGTAACAAATCTTAAAAACTTTTCACATTTTCTAAGTTGAAATTGATTTGATTCATGAAGGGGAAGTTGGGCAAAGCATCTAAAATTAAAGTAGGCAAGATGAGAAGGATACTGCTGGCCGGGAGTGAATTTTGTTTCTGTAGTTTTGCAAAAAAGACTGTAGGCTCCTTGTTTTGGCCCTTTTAAGCTGTAAGATGGGTGTTTCTGTGGTAGAGATGAAAGGCTTTGCCATTCATGTATTAATTTTTGTACCTTTGATCTTGTAAGAGATCTCTTCAGTGTCAAGGTGAGCAGAATGTAGATGGTGAATGACACTGCTTAAAACTAAATAGGATGATGATAAAAAGCACCTTTCAATGGGAATAACCTCATTTTATCTAAATGTTTTATCTAACATTTGTAACCTCAAACACATTAAGAGCAAATCCATTAATAAAATGTGAATAAATTTAAGTAGAATAATCTTTCAGGTCACCCTGAGTCTGTATACCAGAGCAATGTTTTTGGAAACAATTGCAGTAATTTTTCAGGAATATGAGAGCTTGGCCCAGCAGCTACAGGCAAAAAATTCATAACCTGGTATCACTTGGGAAAAACCCTTTTTCCAGATTATATTGTTAGTAGTGTCAAGTTAGCTGCTTCTGATCCTGTAAAAGCTTTTTAATTACACTACACGAGGAATATAAAAATAGTTGTTATTAAACCCACAAATTGTGTAACAATATAGCTTATCTAGTTGGTCTGCTGAAGAAACAAGTAAGATTGAGAGGTTCACCTAAACTTTTTCTTTATAGGTAGACACACAGTGTCACTCATTGTGGCTGGAAGGTAAACTCAGGATGCACTAACAGTTTATAATTCCAGATTTTTATTTTTGGTTCAGGAATATCAATCTGGAAAGGAACATTCTTTAAACATAAAAATAGAGCCTTTAGTGTGACAGTTCTTTCCAGACTTAACCCCTCACCCCAAATCAGATAATTCAGAGAAACTACATCTAAATTCTCCTTGTATATGTTAGGGTAAAGACATCATGGATTATCATGAGAAATCTGTACCCATTCTAGTTTTTTCTTTTAAAAACATCCTCGCCTGGTATCCATGTTTTTGTTGTTACTATTTGTTGATGGTTGAAGTGCTTGTTCAATAAAAATTATTTTTAATGCATTTGCTTTGGCTTTGAAAGAATGTATGGGATTCGGAAGCAAATGTAATTAGCTCTCTAGGAGTGAAAAATACTTTTAATTCTATTCCTAAATAAGACTTATTTTTAGAATGTCATTAAGAAACCATACTCTTGCCGAAACCAGTTTGGCTCAATGGTAGAGCGTTGGTCTGTGGACTGAAAGGTCCCAGGTTCGATTCCGGTCAGGGGCCATGTGCATTGGTTGCGGGCACATCCCTGGTGGGGGGGTGGGGTGTGTGCAGGAGGCGGCTGGTCGATGTTTCTCTCTCATCAACATTTCTATCGATAGTTCTCTATCTCTCCTCCTCTCTGTAAAAAAAAATCATTAAAATATAGTTTTTTAAAAAAGAAAGAAACCATACTCTCTCATTTAAAAATCAAGAGATTGGGAAAGTGAACTATTTTTAGACAGTTTAGTATTTTGCCATCACACCATACTGGGGCCAGCTCTCAACTTTAACTCTCTTTGTCCCTATTTTATGTTAACAAGATATTGACAGTACTTAATACAGTAATGTAAGGTTTAAATCTTCAATATAAGATTGGGAATTGTATAGAATAGGTCATTTTAGTGCTGCTGTTAACAATATTTTCAATGTAAAGGATACATTTAAAAACATTTTCTCCCCAATTTTTGGCTGGTAGATACGGTTTTTGTTGTGAAAAAGACCTAAATTCTACTGTTGCATTTTAGAAAGTAACCTCATGTGCATGCTCCAGGAATAAGATCCGATAGGTCCACCCCTTAAAACAAGAAAGGTTTATTATTCCAACAAGGTATCTAGCTATAACACGTCTTGTAGCATTTTGGGGGAAGGGTGTAATAAAATTGACAACTGAAAAAGGACTTTCTCTCTTAACGGAAATGTTAATATTCAGTTTATTAACTTGAAGTATTAAAGAGGGATTTGCATTTATTTACATATGAGGAATATTTGATGAAGTAGGATATTATATAAAGGTATTTATTTCAGTATGTTGTGTTGTGATTTACTAGTGTCCTGTTGCAAGCTTTTTCTATACTAGAGAGTTACAATGTTGTTTGTAGCTTTCTCAGGGCAAAAAATGTTCAGTCAACATTCCTGAAAGATGTGATAATTGGAAGAAGAAATATTAGAGAATTACTAAACCTGTAGTTCTAGTAAAACCCCCAAATAAGGGGCCCTTTTGCCTATCCTTTGGTTAGCACAGAGTTGCATGATAGATAATGCTACACATTGTCAGTTTATTCTTAATTCTTTGTCAAATATTTTTAAAAATTTATTGATTTTTAGAGAGAAAGGAAGGAGTGAATAACAGAGAAACACCGATTTGTTCCACTTATTTATGCATTGGCTGCCTGACCTGGATGGAATCCAAAGCCTTTGCATATTGGGATGACACTTAAACCAACTGAGCTATCTGGCCAAGGCAAAGCATTTTTTTTTTTTTAATACGTTTTTATTGTTTAGATAGAGTGAAAAGAAGGGAGAGGGATAGAGATGTAGAGACATGAATGAGAGATCGCTGCCTCCTACACACACCCCCACTGGGGAATCAAGCCCACAACTCAGGCATATGCCCTGACTGGGAATTGAACCAGTGACCTCTGACCAATATGCAAACACTGGGGCACACAGGCAGGGCAGATTAAAAAAAAAATTTTTAATATATATTTTTTATTAATATCAGAGAGAAAGGGAGAGGGAGAGAGAGAGAAACATCAATGATGAGAGGGAATGATTGATTGGCACATCCATGATTGTGCACATCCCCTACTGGGATCGAGCCTGTAACCCAGGCATGTGTCCTTGACCAGAATTGAACCCTGGACCCTTCAGTATGCAAGCCAACGCTCTATCCACTAAGCCAAACCCAATAGGGCCAGATTTCTTTTTTAAGGAGGAAATTAAATGATTTTAAAATGAAGATGTAGTGTTTTAAGACATTTTGTATAGTGTAAAACTAGTGTTTTAGTGCTCCCAAGTTGTTCAAATGTTCAATGAAAAGGTACTGTATGTGAAATTTGGCAATTACATATTGAGTTTATGTTGAACATAACCTGGTGACTTAACCCCTCCCCCAGTTTATTGTTTGTGTAAAAGAAAGCAAAAAATGATTTAAAAAAAAAAGATAAATTTCAACTTTAGTCAGAAATAATGTGATAGAGGGACCTTTGCTTTTGACTGAATTTGAAAATGAACAATATACATAGAACATGAGATTAGAACTAGATTTTGAACTATTGCCAAATATTGCCTTCAGTTTTAATTGGCAGTAAATTCAAAAGAGTGTTTCTTTGCTTTATATTCTAAAACATCCCCCTACCTCCCCAGTTTTAAAAAATAAAAATTGGAGATCTTAAGTTTTAGATTTTCAGAAAAACTGCAAAGGTAGTACAGAGGTTCCATATATACAGGCAGTTTCCCCTATTAACATATTAGTATAATAGTACATTTGTCACTTGACACAACTAATGAACAAATACTGATGCACTATTATTAACCATTCAGATTTCCTCAGCTTTCCCTGATGTCCTTGTGTTTCAGGATGCATCACATTTAGTTGTCCTGTCTCCTTAGGGTTACTTGGTTGTGACAGTTTCTTAGACTTTCCTTTTTGATGACCTTGATGATTTTTGAGGGGTATTGGTCTGGTATTTTATAGAATGTCCCTCAATTGGGAATCTGTCTTACTATTTCCTCATGTTTAGACTGGAATAAGTGGAGACATACTCTTTGCTCATGTTTTGGCAGACTAAATTTTAAATTGTCAGTTCTACCAAACTCGATGTATAGAATATCCCAATTGAAAATCCCAGCGAGTTATTTTGTAGATATCTACAAACTAATTCTAAAGTTTATATGAAAGGCAAAAGACCTAGTATAGCCAACACGATGTTGAAGAAAGCATTAGGACACTCACACTACCTGGTCTAAGACTTGACCATGCATTCCTTTATAGGAACCAAGACAGTGAAGTATTGGCAAACGACTAGATAGATAGATCAATAGAGAATATTCAGAATAGAGAGCCCAGAAATAGACTGACACAGTCAACTGATCTTAAAGGAACATAAATTTAATATGTTTTTTTGCCTCAAGTATTTCTTTTTTTAAACACTGTCTTTTAAAAAAATATTTCTTTTGATTTCAGAGAGGAAAGAGGGATAGAGAGATAGAAACATCAATGATGAGAATCATTGATCGGCTGCCTCTTGCATGTCCCCTATTGGGGATTGAGCCCACAACTCGGGCATGTGCCCTTGGCCGGAATTGAACCTGGGACCCTTCAGTCCGCAGGTTGACGCTCTGTGCACTGAGCCAAACCGGCTAGAGCTTGCCTCAATTCTTAGCATGAACTATAAGCAAAGATTACATCATTCAGAGCACTGGTGACTAAAATCACACTTTTCTCCATTTGTTGGGGAGACTTATTTTCCCTCATTGACTTCAGTTTCTGAAACTTTAAAATCATTTAGAAAGATATGTTTATTTCAGAGGAATTGTAGACCATATTTTGAGATAGTAACCGGTTTTCATGTTTTTGTTTTTAAAAAAAGTATATATTTTATTGACTTTTTACAGAGAGAGAGGGGCGGGTAGAGAGTTAGAAACATCGAGAGAGAAACATCGATCAGCTGCCTCCTGCACACTTCCTACTAGGTATGTGCCCGCAACCAAGCTACCTGCCCTTGACCAGAATCGAACCTGGGACCTTTCGGTTTGCAGGCCAATGCTTTATCCACTGAGCCAAATCGGTTAGGGTCGTTTTCATGGTTTTGTCTTAGATAATTTTGGCATAGTTTTAGATGTCAAAAATAAATGTGACCTAAAAAGAGATGGTAATGAGTTCAGAAAGTAAAACAGCCAATTTAAAAAGCAAGATTTAGACTTTTGTGTAATATATATTACTGATTTTAATTCTGTTGAATTACCTTTCCAGAATTTCTTGAGGTTGGCAAAAAGCAACCTGCTTTGGATGTTCTTTATGATGTTATGAAAAGCAAGAAACATAGAACATGGCAGAAAATACACGAACCAATCATGTTGAAATACTTGGAACTTTGTGTGGATCTTCGCAAGAGCCATTTGGCTAAAGAAGGATTATACCAGTATAAGAACATTTGTCAACAGGTATGTACAGAGCTGGGTTTAATATTTTTTTATAAGTGCATTTAGTAATTTTGACTTTACCGTTCAAAGTAAATATATGCTATGCCACAAAATTTGCTTTCAAGATATGTTTTGTTGGGGAAGTTTTATTTATTTTTTGTTTGTTTTTGTTAGGTGAACATCAAATCTCTAGAGGATGTTGTGAGGGCATATTTGAAATTGGCAGAGGAAAAAACTGAAGCAGCTAAAGAAGAATCCCAGCAGATGGTCTTAGACATAGAAGATCTGGATAATATTCAAACTCCTGAGAGGTATGTGGGTTAAACTGCTAATAAACTTCTCTGTGTTTTTCTATACATGTGTCTCCATCCTGATTTGAAGTAGGTGTTTATTAGAAAGATTGCTAATATTTGAGGTTTCAAATGTATGGTAACCAAAAAAATCATGTGTTAGTCAAAGTTAATAAAAGTGAAAAAGTACAACCTTTAGATTGGTATATATTAATATAAATGGTTGTACTACGGATTGGGAATTCAAATACTTGGACACTAATAAGCTTTATAGTTTGTCCAAAGTTGTAAAAGATTATGTACTATTTTATAATGATTATCGGTTTTGGTGTTTTCATCATGGCAAAGTAGAAAACCGTGTCTAAAAATGTTTTCAATATATTTTATGTTTTTGTAGTGTTCTCCTAAGTGCTGTAAGTGGCGAAGACACTCAGGATCGTACTGACAGGTTACTTTTAACTCCATGGGTTAAATTCCTGTGGGAATCATACAGACAGTGTTTGGACCTTCTTCGAAACAATTCTAGAGTAGAGCGTCTCTACCATGATATTGCCCAACAAGGTAAAACAAGAACTGATTTGATAAGTTGACTTACAAATATAATTTGCAGCTCAGGCCCTTGTCCTGGGCATTGAAAGGTTGCTGGTTTAATTCCTGATCAGGGCACACATGCCCAGGTTGTTAAGTTCAATCCTGATGGGTGGCATATAGGAGGCAGCCAATTCATGTTTTGTTCTCACAACAGTGTTTCTCTTTCTCCCTCTCTCTCTAGAAATCAGTATAATTTAAAAAAATCTTAACCAATAGATTTTGCAACAGATTAACTGTTAATGTTTTTCGTAGTACTTCTTTTTCGTAGTACTTATTTTACATAGTTTTTATCCCTATTGAAATATTTGCATTAATTTGAATAGTAAATGACTTTTTAAGAAATTGTTTTACTATTTGAAGTAATTTTATATGAAATGTATTTCATTGATGAATGAAAGACGTTTTAAAGTCATTTTGGAGTTTTCCAGGTACTAATTGAAAAATATAAACTTTTTTATTGATATTATTTATTTTTATTATTAGAGAGAGGAAGGGAGAGGGATAGATAGAAGCATGGATGAGAGAAACATCATTGATTGGCTTCTTCCTGCACACCCCCGACTGGGGATCGAGCCTGCAACCCGGGCATGTGCCTTGACTGGGAATGGAATTGCGACCTCCTGATTCATAGGACAACACTCAACTACTGAACCCCACCAGCTGGGCGGAATATTAATGCTTTAATGACAGCAAGTAGTTCACATGCACATCTATGTACACAGTTAAAATTAGCTTACCACAAGTCCCCAATGGGTACAGTTTTCATGAGTACAAAAGCTACCTGTCTATGCAAGTTAGGTTATAAAGTTCACTGTACATTTTGAACAGCATGGGGATTAGGGTTGTCGGCCCCCCATGCAGTTGAAAATCTGCATAGAACTTTTGACTTGAAATGTAATAGTCCACTATTAGAAGTCTTAATAACATAACCAATTAGCTCATGTTTTATATAAGTATCACATACTATATCCTTATACTAAAGTAAGCCAGATGGGGAAAAATGTTCAGAAAATTGTAAGGAAGAAAAAAAATAAATTTTTAGTACTTATTGAAAAAAACCTGGGTGTAAGTGAACCTGCACAGCTCAGACCTGCATTGTACAAGGGTCGTCTGTATTTCAGGCTAGAATTTTTTTTTGCTGTTTTAGGATTTGAAATAAGTGTTTGAAAGGTGAGTCTTTCTTAGACCCCGATTTGAATAATTTCCCATTGGTAAAGTCAGAACCATAATTTAGTCCTAGGACATGCTAATGACGATATCCAAAAGGTGGTTGGGGCATATGAAGTGAATTATAACTCTAATCACTTCTAAAGACATGATTAGTTTGGTAAATCTTATTTAAATAGCTTATCTTAATACATGAAATAAAACTTATTCAATACCTAAGTTGATTGTGGAAAGTACCTAATACATTTTACTTTTATGTTTATAGCTTTCAAATTCTGCCTCCAGTACACCCGGAAGGCTGAATTCCGTAAGCTGTGTGACAATTTGAGAATGCACTTGTCTCAAATTCAACGTCACCACAATCAAAGTACAGCAATCAACCTTAACAATCCAGAGAGCCAGTCTATGCATTTGGAGACCAGGCTTGTTCAGTTGGACAGTGCTATTAGCATGGAGTTGTGGCAGGTAACAGCTTATATTGTATTTTCCCCTTTCCTAAGTATCTTTATCTTGATACCTGTTGGCTAGTTTTTTTTTATTTTTATTGATTTTTTTTTATTTTTTATTTTTTTACAGAAAAAGGGAGAGGGACAGAGTTAGTTAGAAACATTGATGAGAGAAACATTGATCAGCTGCCTCCTACATACCCCTCACTGGGGATGTGCCCGCAACCAAGGTATATGCCCTTGACTGGAATCAGACCTGGGACTCTTCAGTCCACAGGCCGACGCTCTATCCACTGAGCCAAACCAGTTTCGGCTGTTGGCTAGTTTTTTATAAGTGAGGAATTAAAGCTTGTCTGATGCAGTAGGAAGAGTTCTGGACAGGAAATATTACAATATTTTGGTTCTAGGTGCCAGCTATGAAGTCTGGGCCAAATCGTGTAATTTCTTTTGGACCCAGTTTCTTTCCATATAAAATAGTTCTTCCCAGTGCTACCTAATGTGTGAACTTTTTACTGCATGATGAAATAAGTCCAGAGGAGAATGATACTGTATTTTGTAAAAGTATTGGTGATGTCAGGTTGGAAATTAAAAAACAAAACTTGTCTTTTACTGTGAAAAAAAAGTGATGCACTGCATTTTTCTCCTAGGTTTCTTGGTGTTGCTTCAACTTAGCATACATGATGGGTAATCAATGCTATGTTGGAAATCCCAGCCATGTTGGGAATCATTCTCTATTTGGCCTTTTCACACTAAGAATTCCACAAAGACATTTTCACATGATTTTGTAGTCAGAAGTTGAAACTTTAATATATTTAATCCCCCAAAATCTAATTGAAATTGAAGAGAAATCAGTAATTTTTTTAGCCAGGTGAAAAATGGGATTTGATTTTCTACTATTTTCTTATGATAACTTCCTTTTTCTGTAGGGACATCCTTAAAATAACTACCTGATGAATTAAGGAGGAAAAAGTTATGTAGAAAGGACAATTATGTGAGAGCATAATCAATAAAATAAGTTATTAAAAAAAAAGTTATGTGTTCATTATAGAAAACATGGATAATTGTAAAGACAATATTCATATATGATCTTATAACTCAATAACTTCTATTGTGTTTTGTGTTCTTCTAGATTTTTTTAAAGTCTGCTCTTTCTACTTTAAAGAGTTTTAAGAATTTTGTATTTTTGCAATTATGGCAGTTTTTAGAAATATATCAGATACTAGGTTACAGATGAATAAAAAGAACCACACATGAAAGCATTTTATTTGCCACTTTTATTGTGTTTTGTGCTTTAGGTTTCATAATGAGATTTGAGTTAGATTTTTGTTTCGTTTAGAATGTATTGACTAATTTATTCTCCTAATTTTAGGAAGCATTCAAAGCTGTGGAAGACATTCATGGACTATTCTCTTTATCTAAAAAACCACCTAAACCTCAGTTGATGGCAAATTACTATAACAAAGTCTCAACTGTCTTTTGGAAATCTGGAAATGCTCTTTTTCATGCATCTACGCTCCATCGTCTTTACCATCTATCTAGAGAAATGAGAAAGAATCTTACCCAAGAAGAGATGCAAAGGTAAGAATATTATAGTTGGATAGAACTGATGTTATGAAACAAATGTCTATTACTGAATGACATGTTCTAGATGAGGGTTTCTCAACCTCTGCACTATTGATATTTGGGTTTGGATAATTCTTTGTGGTGGGGGACTATGCATTTAGGATGTTAGTATCATTCCTCGTCTATACTCACTGGCTTCTAGTAGCAGTCCTTCCAGTTTGTGATAACCAAAAGTGTCTCCAGATACTCTGCTTGGATAGTATTATTTTCTTTTTTTAAATTATTTTTCCTTAATATTTTTATATTATCACCCGAGGATATTTTTTCATTGATTTTCAGAGGGAGTGGAAGAGAGAGAAAAATATTGATGTGTGAGAAACACATCGATTGGTTGCCTCCTGCAATTGCTTTGATCAGGGCCTGGGCATGGAAGAAGCCTGCAACTGAGGTATGTGCCCTTGACCAGGATCAACCTGGGGACTTTTTGGTCCACAGGCTGACGCTCTATCCATTGAATCAGACTGGCTAGGGCTTGGGTAGTATTCTTGATCTTCAGTAGCTATCTTGTCCAACTCTGCCAATGGTGCAATTGAGAAAAATGGAATATTAAAAATATTGAATATAAAAGACAGTGTTAAGGTATAAGCTTTCTATTCATATATATAAGTATTTAAAACCTATTCTTAGATTTGACAGGAGTAAGTGGGTGGATGAAGTTTTTATTCTTAAGGTATTTATTTTAGTACGGTCCATTTATATATAATTTTATGCTTTAACAAATATTTATGAATATAGTTCACACTCACATAGTGATATACATAGTCTGTCACTGGCATATCATACTAGCTAGAATGGTTAAAGAGTAATGTCTTTCTGCTTATCAAGTAACATTTACACATTTAACGGATTTTGTAACTTTCTTCTGCAGAATGTCTACTAGAGTGCTTTTGGCTACTCTTTCCATCCCTATCACCCCTGAGCGTACTGACATTGCTCGACTCCTGGATATGGATGGCATCATAGTTGAAAAACAACGGCGCCTTGCAACACTGCTAGGTCTTCAAGCCCCACCAACACGAATTGGTCTGATTAACGATATGGTTGGTATACGTTTGAGCATGCAAATATACACTAGAGGCCTGATGTACGAAATTCATGCAAAAGTAGGCCTTCCTTCCCCTGGCTACCAGCACTGGCTTCCCTCTGGTACCCGGCACCCGGGACCCGGGCTTCCTTGGCTTCCCTGGCAGCCCTCGCTTTGTCCAGAAGGTCGTTCAGAAGGACTAATGGTCTAATTAACGTGTTATGCTTTTATTATTATAGACACACACACACACACACACACACACACACACACATAAAAAAAAGAGAAATATGTTAATTAACCAGGACGCAGTAACTGGTCATCGGGACAGGAAGAGGTTGCCTGTGCCATGTCGGGGGCAGGGCAGAAGGGGCCTTTTCACACCTGCACTGGGGGAGGGCCTGATTGGCTCCGGCTCCTTCCAGAGCTGGAGACAGAAGGCACGATCGGCTGCTTCCAGGGCTGTGGCTACTGCTGGGCCTGGCGACAAGGCAGGGCTAGACTAGTCACTCAAGGATGGGCAGTGCCCCGTGATTTCAAATCTCCTGCTGAGCTCCTAGTATTATATATGCTTTGAACAGAAAATTCAGGTTCTACAATTCATGATTAAATACTGGTGTTTTACTTCTTAATCATTTTCCAGATTTCTAATTCTGTATTTTTTTAAAATCAGTTCACAATTTTTCTTAAACAATTAAACTTTTTGTTTTATTTACTGTAGGTCAGATTCAATGTACTACAATACGTTGTCTCGGAAGTGAAAGACCTTTACAATTGGTTGGAAGTAGAATTTAACCCCCTAAAACTCTGTGAGAGAGTCACAAAGGTAAGCCTTTGCGTTTATGTTTGATTGTATCACCATATAGCTTGTCCTAGTGCAGTTTCAGATATATTTCTATTAAGAGAGAAGTATTGTCCTGTGTTTGAAGTCAGTGCACATTTCATTGTCTTTTTTCTTTATGTCAAGAGAAAAGATATTTCTGATGTGCTAAACAAACCTGTGGAGGTAAATTAGCAGCATGGCCCTGCTTAGCCATTGCTGTCAGTCACCTTCAGACAAGTATTCACAGCTTCATTACACATTCTGCATTTTTTGTTGTGTTGATATTTTTGTCTAAGGAAATTGAAAAAGTTCTGTAGATGTTTTAGTATCTGTTACATAGAAAGTAGAAGTCTTTTTAATTTAGTGGATTTTTATAGGTTCTAAATTGGGTTAAGGACCAGCCTGAGAAGGAACCAGAGCTGCAGCAGTATGTCCCACAGCTGCAAAACAACACCATCCTCCGTCTTCTGCAGCAGGTACGAATGAAAAATGGATGTGTTATGTAAGAACTGGGATTCCTTCCTTGGTTGTTTTGATTGCAAAACTGAAAAATTTAGGAATGACATAGGAAGTGAAGGTCTCCCCAAATTCTATTCCCTGTCCAAAATTAATATTCTATTTGATATGAAAAAAGAATTTTACATAATTTACAACTGCTTTTTTTTTTTTTTTAACAGTATCTTTGTACATTTTCCCTTGTTAGTAATGTAGGTTCCTCATTTTGTTTAATACCTACAAGGCTTTTCATTGTCTAAGGCACATGTGTCAAACACAAGGCCCGCGGGCCAAATCCATCCCGCCAGGCCTTGCAATGTGGCCCGCACCGCGCTGTCATCACTGCACTCCGCTGCGTTTCCATCACAATGACAGTTTATGACTGTTCAGTAAACCATTCGGCCCGCGATTTAGGCTGGATTTTAGGTTTTGGCCCCTTCTCTGATTGAGTTCGACACCCCTAGTAAGGGTACTAAGACTGAATATTCAGACTGTTGATATAAATCTATTTCTCGGCTTTTTGCTATTAGAAAAATGTTGCAGTGAGCATTTTACACTTATCTTTGCATACTTCTGTGATTTTCTGTAGCATAGAATTAGGCATAGACTTTACATGTTTAAAGCTTTAGTAGCTCCTGAAAAGGGTCTATTAAGGGACATAACCAGTTGTAAATGAGAAAGCCTTTTCTCCTGCTTACACAAGGTATTTTCAGTCTTTTAACATATTTTAGTCTGATTTCTCAAGTTTGACTAGTGTAGTTTATAATACAGCTTAAAAGTTTGTTTTATCTTTCATTTGTTTCATTTGGGGGAGGGGCTTTTTTTTATATGTTCACTTCAGTATTTGCGCACATTTCATTGACCTGCTTTCTCATATATGTGAGCAGTGTTATTTCTCATGTGCTATACAAATAGTTGAAGGTTAATTAGCAGTGTAACTAAGTAGTAATGCTGCCAGTCTCCTTCAGACAACCAGTTTTATAAAAAGCGTTCAGGTGAATTAGGTGGCTGGTGTTTATCTGCAAATTTGTGACCAGTTAGGTTTTTTTGTTTTGTTTTATGAAACTATGAATAGATGTTTTTCAGAAATGATGTGGGGTGACTGTTTAAAGCAGCAGTTGCCAACTAGTGGTCCGTGAGGTCCGAAAGGTTGGTGACCACTGGTTTAAAGCATGAGACTTGGGTTTGAGAGCCTTTGATTGGAATGCCAACTCTAGCAATGTACTGTTAATGTAGCTACTCTGAGCTTCAGCTTCTTTTTTCTGAAAAATGGGCATAATTTCTACTTCCCATCCTATCCTATATAATATATAATATAATAAAAGCCTAATATGCTAAGTGTCTTGACTGTTAGTTCAGCCATTCAACCAGTTGCTATGATGCACACTGACCATCAGGGGGCAGGCACTGTGACCTATAGGTTAATTTGCTGCTGGTGTCTGGCTGATCGGGATTGGGTGAGATGGGCTGGACATGCCCTGTACCCTCCCACGGTCCCTTCCTGGCCTCAATTGTGCACCGGGGGGGTCCTTTGGCCGGGCTTGTGGTTATGAGGCCAAAACTGGTTCTCCGACATCCCCCAAGCGGTCCTGGATTGCAAGAGGGCTCAGGCCAGGTTGGGGGACCCCACTGCACTGAGCCTTTAGTGATTTTTAAGACTGCATATAAAAAATGCTGAATAAACGATAAGCTATTCTTAGTAACCTTGTGTTGTTGTTTTTTATACAGGTGGCACAAATTTATCAGAGCATTGAGTTTTCTCGTTTGACTTCTCTGGTTCCTTTTGTTGATGCTTTCCAACTGGAACGTGCTATTGTAGATGCAGCCAGGCATTGTGACCTGCAGGTATGTGCTGTAAGGGGACACTGAGGGGAAGGCAAGGCCCTTTAAGGACTAAAAACACAAAACCTTTGTTTCTTAGCTCTTGGTACATTGGCACCGATTTAAAGCTTTCCTGAGCTAATCTTGTAGGTTTTGTATTCAACATTCTTTCATTAATTTTTTCTCAAGTTCAGTTGAAATTTTTTATCAGAAGTTGGACTTGATATATAAATATAGACTTAACTATTGATGATAATATTTACTTTTCAAAGGTTCGTATTGACCACACTTCTCGGACCCTTAGTTTTGGATCTGATTTGAATTATGCTACTCGAGAAGATGCTCCACTTGGTCCTTATTTGCAAAGTATGCCTTCGGAACAGATAAGAAACCAGCTGACAGCCATGTCCTCAGTACTCGCAAAGGCACTTGAAGTCATTAAACCAGCTCATATATTGGTATGCATCTTTGGGAGAAATAGACTACAGAAATTATGAGGGGCCCTTATGCTATGTCTTTCACAAAAAGGTTTGAGATGGTGTCTGAAAGAAGGGATTTAATATAGATTATCTATTCAGTTGTATTTGGTATTTTTGGTATTTTTAGCAAATGTCTATCAGATGTACAGAATACTAAGATGCCTTCCATTGGGTAAAATAATACAAGTATTAAATGGGCGTACAGCAGACCACACAATGATGATCCCAAATGGGGGTACTATGATTGATTGGGCTTTGCCTTCATGCCTATGACTTTTTCTTTGTGTGTTAGTATTCCTCCCTGGCTTGAACACTTCAAAGGAGATTTGGTGCAGAGAAAAGTTGACCTAGCAAATACAGGCTTTTCAGCTATATCATTGCTGTGGGAGTAGTGACATAGCATTTGGAACTGAGAGTTTGTAGTTTGAATAATTCATCTACTGTTATTAAATGCAAACACATAGGGGTAATACCTCAGGATTATTTAGTAATTTTTGATGGCTAATACCATGATATGTCACTTAATTTTTAAAATGCGTTTGTTTTTGAAGCAAGAGAAAGAAGAACAACATCAGTTGGCTGTTACTGCATACCTTAAAAATTCACGGAAAGAGCATCAGCGTATCCTTGCTCGCCGTCAGACAATTGAGGAAAGGAAAGAACGGCTTGAGAGTCTGAATATTCAGCGTGAGAAAGAAGAATTGGAGCAGAGGGAAGCTGAACTCCAGAAAGTACGGAAGGCTGAAGAAGAGAGGCTGAGACAGGAGGCAAAGGAGAGAGAGAAGGAACGCATCTTACAAGAACATGAACAAATCAAAAAGAAAACTGTTCGTGAGCGGCTGGAACAGATCAAGAAAACAGAACTGGGTGCCAAAGCATTCAAAGATATTGATATTGAAGTATGTAGTACATTACTCATTAAACTTAGTTTTATCCAGATTTCTTAGAAGCACAGTCCTTTATCGCTTATTGGTTTATTTTGGGTTATTTGGTGATTCATTTTTGGTACACAGGATTTATTAACTAAAATCTGTGAAGTAAGCATCTATACTAATAATCTATATCAGTGGTCGACAAACTCATTAGTCCACAGAGCCGAATATCAACAGTATAACGATTGAAATTTCTTTTGAGAGCCAAATTTTTTAAACTTAAACTTCTAACGCCACTTCTTCAAAATACTCACCCGGGCTGTGGTATTTTGTGGAAGAGCCATACTCAAGGGACCAAAGAGCTGCATGTGGCTCGAGAGCCACAGTTTTCTGACCATATATCTATAAGAATAAAAGGGTAATATGCAGCCATGGGCTTAGGCAGCCAGGAGCCCCAGCGCCTGCTAGGCCCAGGGTTCAGGTTTCACAGCTGCCACGGCCAGCAGTGGCAGCAGCAGTGATGGGGGGCGGCACCTTCCCCTGATCAGCCCTGTCGCCTCCCACAGAGGGAGGCCACAGGGAGCGGGCCTAAGCCATCAGTAGGACATGCTGGGCTGAAGGACCTCACTACCCCGCCACCCCCTAGGCCACAACTTTTCTGCCACCTGGCAGTGGGCAACCACTAATCTTTTTGCCTTTAGATTTGGCTATTCTAGGTATTTTATGTAAATAGAATCATGCAATATGTTTTGTGACTAAATTCCATCTATAGTTTTTTGTGCACTGGGTCTAATTTGTTTTTAATAGCTGTACAGTTTTTCAACACTGTTAAAAGGGAGTTTGGGTACATGCATATTTTTGTCCTTATAATCAAATGGAAACATGGTTGTTGTAAAACATTTTTACATTGCTTAAATTTACTCATTGTGTAGAAAGTAATTTAGGTTTTGATTCTAGAAGCAGTGCTCCATTGCATTTTTATTACATTCTTATTAATGATTGTGCATTTGTATTATCTTTCAGGATCTTGAAGAACTGGATCCAGATTTCATCATGGCTAAGCAGGTTGAACAACTAGAGAAAGAAAAGAAGGAACTTCAGGAACGCCTGAAGAATCAAGAAAAGAAGGTAAATGAAAGAACTGGTAAAATTTTAACATGTCAGATTAAAAAATATATATTTTAAAACTACATTTATTTTCATGTTATTCAGATTGATTATTTTGAAAGAGCTAAACGTTTGGAAGAAATCCCTTTAATAAAAAGTGCTTATGAAGAACAGAGAATTAAAGACATGGATCTGTGGGAACAACAAGAAGAAGAAAGAGTAAGATTTTAATTTAATTGAAATATTTTTAGACTGTAAGCTAAAATTAAATCCTCTGACACTATTGGGTCCAGGATATCAAAATTGATTTATTTTATTAATCCTCACCAAAGGACATTTTCCATTGATTTTTTGGGGGGAGAGTGGAAGAGAGGGAAAATCTGAGAAACACATTAATTGGTTGCCTCCTGTTCTAGCCCTGACTAGAGCCTGGGTCAGGGAAGAGCCTGCAACCAAGGTACTGTACCCTTGACAGGAATCGAACCTGGGACCCTTTGGTCCAAAGGCTGGTGTACTCTCCACTGAGCCAAACCAACTAGGGAAAAATTTATTTTGTAATCTTTTGCCAGAAATGGTGTGCTTTAGTGGATGCAAACTAACGGATTGGTGGATAGATAGAAATTTTCACAGTGAGATTAAAAAATGAAACTTATAAAATACAAAGGATAGCTGAAAAGTTTAACTTTTTAGTACAGAATTGTGCAATTATCTAATATTATAACATACCCCCAAAATAAGCTTGTTACTCATTTATCAGTTATTCCTCATGTAGAACTAAATTTTCTACCACCTGGCTGTAGAAAGTTTCAACCACTAATCTTTTTTTGCCTTTAGATTTGGCTATTCTGGGTATTTTATGTTGTTTTGTGACTAAAGAATTCCATCTATAGTTTTTTTAGTCTTTGTTTACTTGATGATACAAAAGTAAGGTTTGCTTGTAGTAGCCAAATTTATAATAAAAAGAAATGACTTGGTTCTGGTTAAAAAAAGAGTAAAGTAACCACAGGCAGGAGACAGCATCCATTTGTGGGGACTGCAGTGTGGAGAATGCAGCCCTCTTCTTAATGATTGTTGTCATTGTGGGACAAGTATTGCCAGTTCTTTCAAATATTTTTAGAAGTTGAAATTTTTGTGATATAAAATTAGGAAAAGTGCTACAACAGACCAAATAAAATATTTGAGATAATTTGCTGCAGTCTCTTACTGAAGCCTTTCATTTTTTCCCCTTATGACACAAAAGGAAAAGCCTTCTTTAATCTGTAGTTTATCTTGCCTGAACCTCCAATTGTTTTTAAGGAAGAAATGCCTTTAATAATTCAACCATAGTGTACTAACATTTTTGGTGTTTTATTTGTTTTACCATATATATATATATATATATATATATATATTGTTTTTCCTTTATAGAAATTTGTGCTACTGTGGGCCTAAATAAAAACGTTCTTGCAGATGTCTCATTTATCCATCTTTCTGATTGCCTTCCTAGGGACCTGTTGGCATGAAGGATAGTAAGGTTGATAAGGCACAGGAGCTGCTTGTGTTCTGCAAAGATAGGCCAGGATTTGGGGTAAATTAGTAATCAGATAATGAATGCTTTGGAAATTTAACTTTGTATTATGTGTTTGCAGATTACTACTATGCAGCTAGAACGGGAAAAGGCTCTTGAACACAAGAATCGAATGTCACGAATGGTTGAAGACAGAGATTTATTTGAAATGCGACTCAAGGCAGCACGACAGTCTGTTTATGAGGTACATTTATGGCTTCAGGGAAATGTTCATGAGCTTTAGTTTTGCCTTAAGCGTTCTTCAATACAGTAGCACATTCTTTATTGAACTAACATATATAATGTTACCATTCAAATAACATTTTAATAGAAAATTTCTTAAATATTCTCTAAGCTAAGTAATCAACCATCAGTATTTTTCTAAAGGCGCTGGTGGGCTGCATAAAATTTGCAATTGATAACAAGCTTTTGTTTACTATTTACAGAGAGAAAGAAAAAATCAAGTGTTCTGTTCATAGCATTCTAATTTAATCATTCATTTTAGTTTGTATGGTGGTAGGCCCACTTCATATTGTCAACAATTTATGTGTTTAGAAATTTGAGAAAACCTTTAATCATTTCGAAATTCTAGTTTTTTTACTTGAAGGTTGCTTTTTATGGTTCCAAGAAACCTGCAGTGCTTTTGTAAACTTAAAACTTCATTACTTTTGTAGCTTTTCCAAAAAACTTGATATATATTTTTTAATTTGGGGTAACCAATTACAGGAAAAACTTAAACAGTTTGAAGAGCGATTAGCAGAAGAAAGGCATAATCGCTTGGAAGAACGTAAAAGGCAACGTAAAGAAGAACGCAGAATAACCTACTATAGAGAAAAGGAAGAGGAAGAGCAAAGAAGGGCAGAAGAGCAAATGCTAAAAGGTAACTGTAGACCAAGATTGGAGGTGGGATTGATTACACAAGGTTGATATTAGGTCAGTTTATAGCAGTCTTATTTAGAAAATATCATACATGAATTGAGATGTAGGGATCATTGACTTATTAACTGCAACTAACTAGTTCTCAGTTTCTGGGATCTTAACTTTTGCTTTATGTGAAGATACTATGTCATATCAGCTGAAATCTCACATTTTTGGTGTTCTTTTAAAAATCAATATTGCTTTTAAATTTTTTATTACTATATTCTGTGTAGTACTCACATTTATTTAGGAATATCTGTCAGATGAAGTCTGTCAAATGATCCTTTGTCTGGTATCAGAGATGTTCAGGATTTGAGGAGGGATTCCTAGTGTCTTCTTAAGTCATTACAAAACTTTTAATGATGAGTGGCATAATACTTGTTTTCTCAAATATCTGTCTGTTAGCTGATAGTAAGCTATTTTTAAATTGTTAAAAAAGGATTTACCTCTAAATTATGCATGTTTAATACCAAAGAAGTAGACCTAGCACTGAAGGAAAGGTGCAGGTAGGAGGCACTCTCTAACCTACTACATTTTATATAGAGCGTGAAGAGAGAGAACGTGCAGAACGGGCAAAACGTGAGGAAGAGCTTCGAGAATATCAGGAGCGGGTCAAGAAGTTAGAAGAAGTAGAAAGGAAAAAACGCCAAAGGGAGCTGGAAATTGAAGAAAGGGAGCGTCGTAGAGAGGAAGAGAGAAGACTTGGTGAAGATCCACTTTCTAGAAAGGTGAGTATGTAAACATTGCTTTCCCTGGGATGACTTGTTCTCTTCACGATACATATGTCAATGCATATGTCAATGTCTGGGCTTGGTGTTTTGAACCAGTTTCATTCAAGTCTCTGGAAGTCTGGTATTGCTTTGTCTTCCCAAAGGCAGAAGGTTTTTAAAGGGAGAAAATTGAACTTCTGTTAGTGGATCTGAGATTTTTATAGGCTTCAGTCTATTGCACTTGTCAGTCAGAGTGAATCTCATAAGACTTAAGTAGTTGACAAGATATAACACTCATTAGTGCTATGGAAAGAGGGACTCTTCTGTGTTTCTAGGAAAGAGTTTTGAATTAAAAGATGTGAGTTCTCTTAGCTCCTTGGCACTCGAAATTGGCGGACCATCAATATTCACAATCCCCCTGGGAGCTTGTTAGAAATGCAGAATCTCAGGCCAGGCACCAAACCTGAATTAGAACCTGCTCTTTAAGGAGATTGCCAATCAGTTCAAATGCTGCTCTGTTATATTTAATATGCAGCTGTTTACCTGCTTTTTAATGAGATTGCCAATCAGTTCAAATGCTGCTCTGTTATATTTAATATGCAGCTGTTTCCTTCCCCACTCTCTTGAGTCTCTTTATTTCCCCCTCCTGGCTGATAGTACTGTTACCCACTTATTCACAAGAGTTTTGAATCCCTCTCCTCTCTATTTTTATACTCCTGCCTTACTTTAGTTTTCTTTTGCTTATATTACTTACTGTCTCCTTACTATTCTTTCTGGTCTTAATCTTCCTCCAGCATCAGACTGCTGATTTTTCATACTGAGTATTTGATCATTACACCTGCTCTTGGGTTGCAAACCTTCTTTTGGTTGGTATTCATTACTAGGAACCAAAGGTTAAAGCATGTCTTAGCAGTTAAGGCCTTTCATGTTGACTGTTTTTTCATTAGCTTTTCTTAGTCATCTATACTTCAGGCAGACTGAGCTAGCTAGTTTTATCCTTTTATCATGTGTCTCTGCATGCTCTTTGCCTATCTTTTCTTCAATCCTTTATCTGTGTCATATCTTCATGAAGCCCTTATCTTTATTAGAGGAACTGTTACTACGTTACCTGTGTAGTCTTCAATTTTAGTTTAATGTGTATGTGGATGATAGATTTTTACTTCGTTACTCTTGTCACTAATTTCTATTTTTACTTCCTTGTTATCGGTGGTTGTGGCTTATATGGTTTCGAATTTTTTTGAATTTTAGTACATTTCCACTTGAGGTAACTTCCTATGATTGTGGGTTTCCAAGTTTTTGTTTGTTTGTTTTTTAGTGTTTGCAAATCTGTTCATCGTTTTGTGCATTTTAACATTTAGAGTCTGTTTTATACCCTTCTGTCCCCCACCTTCACCTTCTTTTAATTAGAGAGTTTTTAGTTTTTAGTCTTTAAAATGTTTTTATTGATTTTTACAGAGGAAGGGAGAGGGGGAGAGAGGTAGAAACATCAAAGAGAGACATCAATGCGGATCGGTTGCTTACTGCAAGCACTCTGCTGGGAATTGAGCCTGCAACCCAGGCATGTGCCCTGATGAGGATTCAAACCAGAGACCTGGTGTATGGGTGGATGCTCAGCCACTGAGCCACACTGGTTGAGTGGAGAGTGTTTAGTTGTATCTATTCACATTTAACATGGTAATTATTACTACTTGTTTTATTCCTAATATAGTTTAGAGTTTTTTATTTGCTTCCATGTGCTTGCCATCCCTTCTTTTCTTTAAATCAAACTTAAGAACTTTGTTTTCTCTGTTTTTATTTTATTTTATATTTTATTGATTTTTAATTTATTATTTTTTAAATATATTTTATTGATTTTTTTACAGAGAGGAAGGGAGAGAGACAGAGAGCCAGAAATGTTGATGAGAGAGAAACATCGACCAGCTGCCTCCTGCACACCCCCTACCGGGGATATGCCTGCAACCAATGTACATGCCCTTGACTGGAATTGAACCCGGGACCCCTCAGTCCGCAGACCAACGCTCCACCACTGAGCCAAAAATAGTTTCGGCTGTTTTCTCTGTTTTTAGTGATGACCATTTGTTTTCCAAAATAGCCTGTAGATTTTGAGAACTTTTGCCTCTTCAGAACAAAACAAAATTCTGAGCATACTTTTATGTTGCGTTGAAACCAGCTGCATGTTTTTGCCCCGCAGAACGTATAAAAGTTCTAAGGACTCATTTAAGTTTTAGAAAGCCATATTGGCAAACATTATTTAGTTTAAAATATGTTTACACTGTATCACCTTTCCCCCTTTGCAGATAACTTCTTTTTGTTTTGTATTTTATCATCTTAATTTTTTCAGAATGTCTTTGTGTATGTCTCAAAAGAGGTTTTGTTTTTATCTCACAGTTGAACAATGGTTGAGCCAGTTCTAAATCCTCCTCTCCAGAGACTTAGCCCTCTGCTCACTGTTCTAGTACACATTGGGGAGGGGGCTTGATAATCGTCTTGGCAGACACTCTTTAGACTTTTCTCTATCTTTGGGGTAAAGATTTAACACCATCGTTAGTTGCCTACATGTGTGGTCTTTATGAGTCATCCTTTTTGGCACATGTGCCCCTTTCAGTCAGAGGATTTACTCAGAGAAGATTGGATTTCCTTAACTTAGGGAAATTTTTTTTCTCCTTGTCTCTATTCTGGCCTTTCAAAGTTCTATTTATCTCTCTCACTGTTTCATTTTTTCAACTTTGTCCTTTTGTAACTGGTTTTCTGTAATTCCTGTTAGTTTCTATGTATATCAATAAAGCCTATTCTGCTGTTGATCTACCAAGTGACTTTAAAAGTTTTGGCGATCATGTTAGTTTTTCAGAATTCTTTTCATGTTTGTTTATTGGCTCTCATAGCCACTCCCAAAATCTCCGTTGAAGTTCTGATACTTGTACTAAAACCTCATAAGTTGAAGTCTTTTGAGTTTAATTTACAGGATGAGTATGAATAGTAAGAGAAACTTGGTCTTCTGGAGTTGACATTCCCTCCATTGGAGTTGTTATGAGTTACTATAACTTAAATTGAGTAAATATTTTCTCCCACAATGTTCACTTGGGAACGTGTCTTAGAAGAACAACTTCCATTTTAAGAGATAGCCTAGAGTCAGTAGCTCTGATGACAGATGACTTACCTTATGGCCATTCTTGTCCTTCACTGCTTCTTAATGTCAGTTGTTGGAGGCTTTTATTGCCAAGACACTTTAAATTGAAAATTAAGACCCTCATATTCATCTACAAGGGATTATAGTTATTCTCAGCTTCTTAGATTTTTATTTTAGTTCTCCCATCCCATGCCTAGAGCTTGTTTTCAGTGTTCTTTTCTTCTGACTTTGGCCTTATGTTTGTAGGAACAGTCAAGCTGTGCCAGAAGTGTTTGTGATTAAAATTATATGCATTGCTTATAATTTTCATCTTAAGGGTGTTGAGTATCTCTCACACCCTCTCCATAATTTTTATTGACAACATAATATTTTGAAGAGGGAAATGTGAATCTAACAATCCCCTATTAAACATTTCATTTGCTCCACTTCTTTAGTAGGCACTGTGATGTACATTTTGGGACACTCAGCTTTTTACACATCTTATAAGGGAATTTCTAGTTCAAAGAAAATCTATAGACATTTAAATTATTCTAGGGGGAATGCTGCCAGATTGCTTGCAGGTGGTTATCAATTTATAAATCCATTCACAATACTTTTCACTATACTGTCAGTCTAATTTCAGATTAAGAGAAATAATTTTAAAACATTTATGTTTAATATAAAACATTTGCATAATAACAATAGTAATTGTTCCCAGTGTAGTGCATCTTACTATCTTTGGTCAATGTAGGACTCTCGCTGGGGAGACAGAGATTCAGAAGGTACATGGAGAAAAGGACCTGAAGTCGAATCTGAGTGGAGAAGAGGCCCACCAGGCCCACCAGAGAAGTAAGTAGAGTTAAGGAAAATGGTACCAATCAATCACAGGTTCTGTTAATATCTCATTGGTGGTTTTCTAGTTTGGTTTATTTGTAGGGTTGGGGAGAAGAGAGTTGTGAAGAATTGTGTATATGTCTCGTACTAAAATGTTTTTCATAGTTTACTTCAAAACTGCTGTAATTGCTGACTTCTGAACATCTTGAGGAATGAGTTAGCAGTTAGAGTAAGAATGAACATTCATGACATTTTTCTTTTCCTTTAAATTTCTTAAGTAGATTAAACCATCCTTTATAGTGAAATTGTCAAGGTTCTCCAGGAAAAGTATAGATGCCCTTTTAAGGCAGTTGTCTGTTTATTGGTTTATTATTTATTGATGTAATAGTTTGGATTTTATTTAAAAAAATTTTTTTAATTAGGAGAACATATTGTAGGAATATGTTTAAAGGATTTATGCCAAAGTGATTTTTAAAAGTGCACTAATTCCCAAAAGCACCATGTGCTTTTTTTTATTTTTATTTATTTTTAATATATTTTATTGATTTTTTTTTTTACAGAGAGGAAGGGAGTGAGATAGAGAGCTAAAAACGTCAGTGAGAGAGAAACATCGACCAGCTGCCTCCTGCATACTGGGGATATGCCCGCAACCAACGTACATGCCCTTGACCGGGATCGAACCCGGGACCTTTCAGTCCGCAGACCGACGCTCCACCACTGAGCCAAACCTGTTTCGGCAAGCACCATGTGCTTTTTAAGAGAATTATTCTTAAAGATTTTTTTTGGCTTGTTGCTCTGTAGGGAGTGGAGACGTGGAGAAGGGCGAGATGAGGAGAGGCCTATTAGAAGAGATGAAGATCGCCCAAGGCGGTTGGGAGAAGATGAAGATAGAGAGTCTTCTCTTAGACCAGATGAAGATCGGATTCCCAGGCGGGGCTTGGATGATGACAGAGCCCCTCGACGTGGTCCTGATGAAGATAGGTTCCCTCGCCGTGGGGCAGATGAGGATCGGCCTTCCTGGCGCAATGCGGATGATGACAGGCCCCCCAGGCGAATTGGTGATGACGACAGGCCCCCCAGGCGACTCGGTGATGATGAGAGGCCCCCCAGGCGACTCGGTGATGATGACAGGCCCCCCAGGCGACTCGGTGATGATGACAGGCCTCCCAGGCGACTCGGTGATGACGACAGGCCTCCCAGACGAATTGGTGATGAAGATAGGGGAAGCTGGCGGCATATGGATGATGATAGACCACCTAGACGAGGGCTGGATGAGGACAGAGGAAATTGGCGGGCAGCTGATGAGGACCGAGGACCAAGACGTGGTATGGATGAAGATCGGGGGCCGCGGCGAGGAGGTGCTGATGATGAGCGGTCATCCTGGCGTAATGCGGATGATGACCGAGGCCCAAGGAGAGGCCTGGATGATGACCGAGGTCCAAGGAGAGGCCTGGATGATGACCGGGGGCCCAGGCGTGGGCTGGATGAAGATCGAGGACCTTGGAGGAATGCCGATGATGATAGAATTCCCAGGCGTGGTACAGATGATGACAGGGGTCCTTGGAGAAACATGGATGATGACCGGATCTCAAGACGGGCTGATGATGATCGGATTCCCAGCAGAAGGGGCGAGGACTCAAGACCTGGTCTCTGGAGACCATTTGTCAAGCCAGGTAAAATTTTGGGATTCAGAAATTCAGATTGCATTCTTTATAGACTCTATTTGATATATTTACAAGTAGAAAGTGAAAGTTTTACACAATCTAGTCTCCACTGTTCTATAGATGATAGCAGGTTGTTCCAAACAAGGAGTATCTCAAATGACTACATTTTTATTTTTTTAATTAATAAAAGTTATTTTTCAACTGGAAAAAACCCCACAAATTTTAATTGATATATGACAGATTGGTTTGTATTCCTATTAGTTTTTAAGTAAACTGATCTTTTACCTTTTCTTGAAGATCTCTGCAGTGACTTATGTCAAAGCTTACTTACCTTCAATGTCCCACACAAATTACCACCCCTTTTTCTCTTTGTTTCCTTTTGCCTTTTTGATGCTTTAAGTGCTTTTCTTCCTGTGTCCATACCTTCAGTGTCCTTGCTCATCAGGTCCTGTCCTGGACTAGCCTTCTTGTAATAAACTTTTGTCTGTACTCTTGCCAACCGTGGGATTATTCTCACAGCAAGAGCTCATTTCCTTATTTGTTAGTCTTAGGTCTGATCCTCTTTTCATACTTCACTGCTTTGAGTAATTATGTACAAGTCTGTGATTTTGACGGTCTCCAGATGACAACTTCAGATCTCTTGTTTCCAACTGTATACTGTACAGAGCGCATCTCTACCTGAAAATGTCAGTGACACTTCACACACCTGTCAAAACTGACTTCACATACAATACTCTACCCACATGCATACATATAAGCACCCAATTCTCTTTGGGATTCCACTTTCTTTTCTTTTTTAATGTATTTTATTGATTTTTTTTTACAGAGGATGAGAGAGGGATAGAGAGTTAGAAACATTGATGAGAATCATCGATCAGATGCCTCTTGCACACCCCCTACTGGGGATGTGCCCGCAACCAAGGTACATGCCCTTGGCCAGAATTGAACCCAGGACCTTTCAGTCTGCAGGCAGACGCTCTATTCACTGAGCCAAACTGGTTTCGGCTGGGATTCCACTTTCAAGCTAATCGTATAAGCTGCAAATCTGGAAGTCTTTGCTTTCATCCTTTAAAGCTTTTATTTAGTTTAGTTCTAGTTTATCAATGTTCCTTAAGCCCACCCACTTGTATTTCCCCTGCATGTTCTTGGGTCTGGTCTACCATCATTCTTTAACTCTTGCTGTTACTGGTCTCTGCTAGCTCTCCCACCCCCAATTTGAGTTTTTGTGTAATAACCAGGGCAATCTGTTCTAAATGCAAGTTTAAATACCAGCTTCCTTGCCTTTACCTTTTGTGGTTTCTGTTGTATACTCTGTCTCTTCTAGTGTCACTTCTTCCTACTGTCTAGCTACGTGACTTTGGGTAAGCCACTTAACTTTCTGTGCATCATGTAAAATGGGGATAATAGAATAGTCAATTCTCATTAAGTGGTGATAGTTGTATTTTATAAAGTCTCTCTGAATTCTGAACCATTTGCTCCTAGGGAAAAGATAAGGTAGGTTCCTGTGAGCCTTTTAGTCACAAGTTTTGTCAAGCAGTCAGTAATACACAACTTGCTTTTTATATTTCTATTTAAAGATATTTAATATATAGTGTTGATTAATGTTGAACTCATAACTAAAGTATTGTAATATTTTCCTGAATAAACTTATCTAACACAAATATTTTCTCCCATCCACTGCCTTCTTTGCTTGGGAACACTAGAGAACATTTTAGCCCAATCCTTGGAGGCCATTTTAAACGGTGAAATCACCAACCAAAAGCTAAAAAATGCAAAACTAGACCTTCAATAAAATACTTATTTGAAGTATGAGAGATGCAGCAAGAAGGCAATGTTGCCTTATTCAACCTCTGCTGAAAATGTACTGTCAGGTGACTCAAAATATTTTGCAACTTTGCACATGTCTGCTAGTGACTATAAAAGTTCTAGAGTATTAATTTTGGGGGTATAAATTTTAGCATACAGGCAAATTAGCAAATATGAACTCTACTCAGCTCAGAGTTTGGAATAGTGCTATGGCACATGATAATGTACATGCTAACAGCAATAATAATTGTTAGCCTTAAAACTGTAATACATTTTCATTGAGATCTCTGTTGCCTTTGGCCTTTTTGTGTGCATATATAAATAAATAAAATGGCTCTAGCAGGTTTGGCTCAGTGGATAGAGCATTGGCCATCAGACTGAAGGGCTCTAGGTTCAATTCCGGTCAAGGGCACGTACCTTGGTTTCAGGTTACATCACCCGTTCTGGGCATTTGCAGGAGGCAACCTATCGATGTTTCTCTCACATCAATGTTTTTCTGTCTGTCTTTTTCCCTTCCACTCTAAGAATCAATGGAAAAATATCCTTGGCTAAGGACTGACTAAATAAAATGTTTCTAGCTTTGGACATTCTCTGGATAAGTGTGAGGTACTGGGCAGGGTCCAAGGCTTTATCCTTGCTTCATGATAGCATAGGTGGTAAATGATGGAGAGCAGTAATAGGACAGGAAAGAGTGCTTTTGGTTAGGAAAGTTTTGAAAATGTGGCACTGTCTGAATGAATACATAACTGAGACTCTGTCGTTTGTTTTTAAAAATATATATTTTATTGATTTTTTACAGAGAGGAAGGGAGAGGGATAGAGAGTTAGAAACGTCGAAAAGAGAGAAACATTCATCAGTTGCCTCCTGCACACCACACCTCCTCCTGGGGATGTGCCTGCAACCAAAGTACATGTCCTTGACAGGAATTGAATCTGGGACCGTAAGTCCACAGGCTGACGCTCTATCCACTGAGCCTAACGGGTTAGGACTGGGGCGCTCTGTCTTTAGAGATCGATCTAGCTCCTTCCCTTCTCCCTTTAAATTTTTGCTTAAGTGAGTTGTTTATCATCAAAACATACCCAAAATAACTGCATACAGGATACTCAACCAGGGCTATATAAGTTTTTTATGTCATGTGTTCCTGCATGTTAGAGAAACAGGATAGGTAGTCACAAATAGGAGCTGGAATCTTGTGAAATGATGTAAGTGGCTTTAGTTTGTGTTTGTGTGTGTTTATAGAAGTTGGAGTGTCTTAAATTAGTATGTAGAATGGTGCTGGATTAATATCAACATTAAGATCTCTATTCATAGTTGCCAATCTGTTTCTTGAGTGGAAAATATTTTTGCATCTTTAAAAAATAGGTGGATGGAGAGAGAAAGAAAAAGCCAGAGAAGAAAGTTGGGGTCCACCTCGAGAATCAAGACCACCAGAAGAACGTGAATGGGACAGAGAAAAAGAAAGAGAGAGAGATGGTCAAGATCGCGAAGAGAATGACAAGGATCCAGAGAGAGAAAGGGACAGAGAGAGAGATGGGGAACGAGAAGATCGCTTCCGAAGACCGAGGTTTGATATTTGAGTTGAAACTATCCATGGAGTTAAGACACTCCTGAATATTCCAGACCATTTCGAGAGATGGTGTTCCTCATTTGTCCCTCTGCCAATATTTATAAGAATTATAGACTTAAAAATTTTTTTTAGCTGTCATTTAATTGAATGTTTCTTTTTAACAAAGTGTTAAAATGGAACCATGAGCTGTGTGGCTGTCTACATGTTTATATAACTCTGGTAGTGGAATAAGTGCAGGTATCTTTACCAGTCCATTTCTTTTTCCCTGTGGTCTGGGTCAATCAGTTTTATTTCCCTTAAGTTCCTAAAAGCCCCTTTACTTTTTAAAAAAATTGCCTGTTGGGGTGACATTGGTTAATAAAATTGTATAGGTTTCAGAAAGCCCCTTTACTGTTACTAGTGGTAATTCTTACTTGCTGCTTTTGGTTATAGTGGCTGTATACTGATAAATCTAGGCCATCACTATTTAATAGAATTTTCTACAGGCATGAAAATGTCCTATACCTGTAATGTCCAATATGATAGCCAGACTCATTTGAGGCTGTTGACCATTTGGCATATGGTTAGTGCTCCTGAGGAAGTGTCTTGATTTTATTTTAGTTAATATAAACTTAAGGAGCCATAGATGGATAGTGGCTACTGTGATGGACTGCACACAGCCAGATGTTCTTATTTGCCTGCCACTCCTGAGGCACAGATTGAGATTAAGTGATGAGTTTAAACTTTATCCCTGTTATATTAATAAACTCTCTGAGGACCATGTAATATAATATATTCACTATAATTCCACATATAGTCTAACATCAGAACTTAACATGTCATTTTTGAATGGCTACAGGGATGAAGGAGATTGGAGAAGAGGGCCAGCTGAGGAAGCTTCGAGCTGGAGAGATTTAGGTCGCCGTGACGATAGGGATAGAGATGACCGCCGACGTGAGAGGGATGATCGCCGAGACCTAAGAGACCTAAGAGAAAGACGAGATGACAGAGACCGCAGAGGACCTCCTATCAGATCAGAGCGTGAAGAAGGTAGAGACTGTCTACACAGCTGCTAACCATCGGGAATCATTACTGGGGAATTTTGGGTTTTGGATTTTTAATACCTTTTTTTTTTTTTTTTTTAAATATATTTTATTGATTTTGTACAGAGAGGAAGGGAGAGAGATAGAGAGTTAGAAACATCGACGAGAGAGAGTCATCGATCAGCTGCCTCTTACACACCCCCTACTGGGGATATGCCCGCAACCAAGGTACATGCCCTTGACCGGAATCGAACCCGGGTTCCTTCAGTCCCCAAGCCGATGCTCTATCCATTGAGCCAAACCGGTTTCGGCTGGATTTTTAATATCTTATAAATTTACGTGGACACCAAAAATAAGATAGTGGACATGTATTCAATTTAGAATCCATGGTTCTCTTAAACTTGTCAGTGGTTGCTCTGAAGTTAGCTTATCTCTAAATCCAAAGTATAGTAGTAGACTAATTAAATTGGATAGTAAGCAAAATATAAAGTTTAAATGAAACAATTTGTCATTTCTTATAAAAGTAAGATAGATAAGTACAAAGTGGAAATAAAACATTCTTTCTCTGAAATTGTAGCAATTGAAACTAGTAGAAAAATACTTCCAGTATTGAAAATGACCATTGCACCTAAGTAATTGTCTCACAAGCTTTTAATATAATGTTAGTACAACTGGATTATAAGGGTATTTCTTCTTTTATAGCCATAATGAAAAAAATGTTCTTATGGCCAACTAGTTGTTAAAACAAGAGCTCCAAGATAACCTTTTAATTTTAAAATTTTAATTCAAGATTTTTGTCACTTTGTTAGTTTTTATAGTTAAAATAACTAGGACATTTCCCAGGCCGACGATTTCGTCTTCTTTGCAAATTTGAATTATATCTCTAAATCTCTATATTCTTTTAAAGGTTTCGTCAGAAAATGTGTCAAAATGATTAAAATGTGTTTAGCTTTTGTGTTATTTTTTTTTTAATGGCAATTCTGTATTGTTTCCTTTAATACAGAATTTCTGAGTAATTTGAGGCATTTCTTTAGCTGACGTTCTGTTTAGTCTCAGCCAATAGAATATAGTACAAACACTCTCTCTTCTTTAATTAAATTTTTAGTGAGCTCCTGGAGACGTGCTGATGACAGGAAAGATGACCGCGCAGAGGAGCGGGATGCCCCTCGTCGTGTTCCTCCCCCAGTTCTTTCAAGAGATCGAGAGAGAGACCGAGACAGGGAAAAAGAAGGTGAAAAAGAGAAGGCCTCATGGAGAGCTGAGAAAGAGAAGGAATCTCTTCGTCGTACTAAAAATGAGACTGATGAAGATGGATGGACTACAGTACGACGTTAAGTCTCAAAATAATGGATTCAAACTCACGTCTTACATAGGTTTGAACACATTCAAGGATTATTATACTTGTGCTCAACCAGTCTAAATTGGATTCTTTAATGTTGTCTCACCATAACACAAAAGCATGAACTTGTATTAATCCTATATAATAGATTGATCATGCACTGTATCACAGAAGGTTGGAAAACCTTGCCATTTTCTGGAATTTAAGGTGTTGGCATTATTTCATCAATCACTTGTTTACAAAAAGAGAAAAACTAAAAAATAAATTTAAGATGTGAACCCTTCAGGTATTGAGTAACACCTGTATCTTGGTATAGACTGATCTTTTTTCTTTTGATTTTGAAATATCTGATATTAATTTGGAATGAGGTAAGGTTCTGTTAGAAAATGTATTTCAAGACTGAAGCAGGGAGCTGAAACAATTTTCAAACTATTAGCAGTTGAGACATACCTCTAGGCGGTTTGAGGTATCAACTAAATATAAGAAGTTTTTAGGTTTACTATAAGTGCAGTAAACATTACACACATCTGATACAGTGGGATTTTCTGCAGATTTTACTTGAAAGAGGTGAGTATAAAGCAATTTGCAGTCATCATTGAAATGACAAGAATACTGCTCAAGTGTGAATCCAAAACAGTTACAGCTTTTATATTTTAAAGCATTTGGTAAAGTTCCTGATACTTTTTTCTGTTGCCAATAGCAAACTGCTTTTCCATTAATGGAGAATTCATGCCTTTCAAGCATTTTAAATATGACAATATTTATAAATGTGTGGTTTGGAGGACTTGTTTAAATTCTTTTTCTTAATTTCTTTTCGCTTTAGGATAGATCCTTCAACAGGTAATTTGTAGTAACGACTGTGTTGACTTCAATTCTGGAGTGTAGTAGCTGTGTTAAAGATAACTATTTGGTCTTATTGAAGCCAACACAGAACTTGCTGCTGTGTTTTTTCTTTAATGATAAATAAAATACTTACAGAATTTGTTTTTGTGTTGATTTGTGGTTATATTTAAGCTGCTTTGTTTATAATGGTGATGTTTGCATATTCAGTTGTTGATCTTACTCGAGCTTTACCTGTGTCATTAATTGTCTCATTACGCAGTAGCGAAGGAAGTAACCTACGTGTACTAGAAGGCAAATGTGGTCAGGATGTTCCCCTAAGCCAGTGGTCGGCAAACTCATTAGTCAGCGGAGCCAAATATCAACAGTACAATTGAAATACCTTTTGAGAGCCAAATTTTTTAAACTTAAACTTCTTCTAACGCCACTTCTTCAAAATAAACTCTCCCAGGCTGTGGTATTTTGTGGAAGAGCCACACCCAAGGGACCAAAGAGCTGCATGTGGCTCTTGAGCTGCAGTTTACTGACCACGGCCCTAAGGTGTCCTTCATGAATGTGGACCCCTTAGTTTCCCTGTCATGTGTTGTCTCTGTGAGCTTATGCATTGTGTGTGCTGCTGGCGTGCACACGTGGATGTGCTGTACCATCTTGGGTCTTTCTCTGAAATTAGAAAAATCACAATTCAGAGAATGTTTGTTGCAACTTTATAGTGGCTGTAGCCACTTAACAGTGCTGATCAGCTATTTCAAGTGAGAACTCATCCATGCGGCTACTTTTCTTAGTGGTTTTGGCAACCTACAGTTCTTCATTATTGTTCCACAAACCAGTGTTTTGTTATTCAATAATAGTTCAGCTGTAGACACACTGTTGTAGTAATTATCTTGGTAAATATGATGTCAAGAGTCAAGAAAAGCCATAAGACAGATAATAGAGTCTGTTGTAACTTTTTGCCTTCACCCATATATATATCTCAAAGTTGCAAATATAGCTACTCTTTTTGTGGAGAGTGGCTACAGTGTTTGGACAGGTTCAAGCCTCGGACTAATGAGAGGGCACAGTCCTCTCATGGCCATGTGCAAATCCCAGCTTGGAGGGCAGAGCCCTCCCTGCACAATTTGACGAACAGCTGTAGTTGTAAGCTTGTACCTATGGTCTGAACACGTGGCCCCACGTGCTTGAGTGATAGAGGCTGCAAGCAAACAAAGCTTGATCAGGTGCATGTAGTTGAGTAGGATCGGAACCCACAAGAATGTTGTAAACATCTTGACCACGCCCTTATTTTGCCTCTTGGCATCGGCTATAAAGTAAAGACGTCTTGTAGTCTATGGTGCTGTCACTAGCTCTCAGGGGACAGTGTCCCACCGAGATCCAGCTTTCATTCTCGTCTGTCTTTTCTCAATCCTTCACCGCCCCCACTCAGGTTCACCCTTGGCTATGCTGGTGCGGCACACTCTTTCACAAAGCATCCTTACTAAAATTCCATATTTTATTATTTTTGCCTGATTATATGTCTTGAATCTGATGCGCCCTCTCCATGGAGTCATTGCTTCAAGTGATAACTGCTGTTTTGGTATATATTGATATAAAGGTTTAAATTTCAAGATAAAGTGATCTAAAAGAGGTCTGACTTTGTAAAGATGGTCTGTTAAATGTTTGTGAATTACCAGTCAGATGAAAGAATGTATTTGCTCGAACCTCTTTCCAGTTATATTTTTTGGAAATATGGGTGATTCAAGTAAAGGATGTGTCGACCAGTAATCTTTCTTAGTCTCATCAATAAAATTAAACCAAAAAACTTCTTTGTATCCATATAAGTAACATCTGTGCATGGTGAAGTTCTAGCAGAGGTTTTGTGGTATTTTTCCTTTTGGTAATGGTATAAATTGGTCTGAGAAGTAATGAGATTAAAAAATCCTTATAAAGAATTGGTTCCTTCAATTGAACAGTTATGCCTGAAATATTTGTATGATCCTCCAAGGCTGGTAAAATGTCTTTTTCTGCCCATTCTTCAGAATCACTTGACTGTTGGGATACTATCACATTTCTCTTGCCTTCTTGATGGTCTAATGTCAGACGCATTACTGTCTTCTGACAAAGTACTTCAGCTGACTCCCACTCAGCCAATCAAAGTGTCACACATAATTCAGACGTTTGGCACTTGTTTTTTGTAAACCTTTGCCATAATAAAATATGGATGGAAAGAATTAGATGTATTGCTCATAATGTCTAAGTTCGGACCGGAAACAAGTATACTCGTGGACAGTCAGCAAGGTGGTAAATTATTCCTCACAATGACCAGTGAGAATTCCTGTTGGTACAGCTGTAAGGCCAGAAGAGGGAGTATTGATGCTTTTTTAATTAAATAATATCAGATGCAGTCTTTTCTGTGATGTTACCAATGATGGTAACTACTTTTTAAACAGCTTCCTTTCTAAACAAGCGGAAGTCTTTAAAAGGTCTTTTGTGAGTAGAGTTCCTTTTCTTTTGTAATAAGTAAAAGAAGTCTGAAGTTAGGAGAGCCGGGCTGTCCTGAGATCAAGGCCCCACTGGACAGTTCACTTAGGCGGCTTTGTTTAGAGGACTTCAGGTGCATGCCTGTTGGTTAGGCTTCCAGGCTTCTCGGCAAGCCCTCCCTTTCTGTCAGGACCCTTTCCCAGACCCACTGATGTTCTCCATGTTTTTCTTGGCAGTCAGGATCCGGGGCATTGGAGGAGAGAAGTCTGCTGTCCGTTTGTGATCCTGCCCTTAGGTTTCCACTTTCGGGACCTTACCCCCCTCCCACCCTCGTGTGTTATCACTGGTGTCAAAGCCGACCAGCTTACCAATGAGAAGTCAGCCATGTTCCCAGTGACGACTGCATTTTTAAACGAGAATACCATTACTTTTAATACAGGTTGTTGAGGGTGTGTAGAGATACAGTGGCCAAAAAAAACCCCCCAATCCCATTAGTTGTCCATAAGTGGCTACCAGGAGGAAGTTGACACCTTTATGTGTGGGATGTTTTTTATCAAGGATTACCTGTGTTTTTACCATTTTGGTTGTGGACTGATTTATAATTTTACAAGGCTGACACACATGGGACACTACGGGAGGTATGTTTCTCATGTGGCCAAGAACAGAAAATTTGGACTAAAAACGTGCCTTTTCTTTCCCTTAAAGTAGTACATATACTTGTGGTATAACTTTAAAACATAGTTTTGGCTTATAATAAATCTTGGCCAAAAGTTGTAATCAGAGTAATTCTGCAGCTTCCAAAAAGGACTTCACAGGAAAACTGAAATTCAGACATTAAAAAGCACTGGAACTGTCTCTACAGACAGGCAGTTTAGGGCTGTCCGTGCCTCCAAGGTCGGTATTGAGGATTCCATACAGTATTTTGCTTTTAGCCAAGTATATAGTATGTTTTTTCGAAAATAAGTTTTTCATGTTTTTTTAAACTTTGAAGAACTGGAAGGTTGATTTTAACTAGTGTGGTTAGAATACTTTTCATAAGGTATCTAGAATATTAATGACATTAAGTCTAAATAAAACACTTTTAATGTTAGACAGGAGAGTAATGCAGATCTGAGGGGAAGTGATAGGGATGTGTTTGAAGTGGATTAACGTAACGGTTGCCGAACTAATTGTGAGGGTCTTCTGGATACCTCCCCAATACTCTTCTGACAGGGACTTGAACTCCTTGTTCAAGGTGTTCCCATTTAGGCACAGCCCACCAATGGATTTGCATACTGAAGATATATTAAAGCTACAAGCCTGAGCCCTGGAAGCTGTGTCTATAATTTGGCTCTTTTAAAACACAAAGTAGCTGCCGGCCTACTCCTGGCTGAAGAATGACTGATCGGTTTATAGTGACTTGAAAAGGAGAATAGCAGTGGGAGTGGTAGCACGGATTCATGTTGACCTGAAAATTACCCCCACAGCACAATTTAAGCTGATGTATTTTCTAGCAAAAGGAGCGATTACATGGCTTTGTTAAACTGCTTGAGTTTGGGCCCAGTCACATCTCAAGTCCTATGGCCTGGGGCTAGACAAGCAGGAGTGCATTTTTTCCCGGCGGAAACCGAAGTATGCCCTCAACCCTCTCCCTTGATGCACCTTCCCTGAACAAAAAGGCTCAGAGCTATCCAAGGTTATCTACTCCAGCCTCCGTTAACCTTCAAAGCAGTGTTCAAGCCAATTGCTGTGGAGGAAGCTAGCTTTTTAGTATGAAAGCAGTCTAACCTCTAATAACCTAAACTTTCAGATAAGCATTTTGTGTTTCTGGTGGATTCATCTTTATTTCCACTTTTGCCTCCTGTCTTGACCTAGTTACACGTTTAAACTTGGTGGGTTTAAACATGAGGGTGGGAGGTAGAGTAGTGGTTAAGAACCTTTGCTTGAGGATCAGGTTTAATCTCATGTATGGGTAACTAACTGGTCAGGTTCCAGAAATAGCCTGGGGTCTTCCAGTGAGAATGGGAACACACGGAGGTCTAGCTCCTTGTCTCCAACCCCCAACTCCATACTTAATGCTTATTCTGGTTTGAGGACTGCCTTAAAGCCAGGCAGCCCAGAGTGGAACCTTCTTGAACATAGATGACTGCGTTAACCTTCCGGAGTGCAGAGGACTTCATCTTCCATTTAGTTTGAAAGGCAACAGGTGGAATGAGCTTCCCCTGGTTTGGAACCCTGACATGGAGCGACTCAGGGTCAATCCAGCTCCCTCTCCACCTCAGTATCACAGTGTTTCTAAGAACCGGGAAGGGGGAGGTGCATAGACAAAAAGCCAAGTAGCAAAAGTTCTAGGTAAGATTAATGAATTCATATACAGTTACTGTATAAATACACAAGTCAATTTCTTAACAGCACCATTTCCAAGTGTATACACAACATGATCTATAGCGGCACATTTTTTAAAGGTGAAAAACAGTTTCTAGTGAAGTAATAAAAGATCTGGTACATAGGAGAATAAGGAGCTGTGTTCTACCCGCTACAGATTGTGCGTTTTTACACCTCCAGCTAGGACAGAAACAAGCCACGAGGAGGGAACGCCCACCCAAAGCAATACCGGAAAGTTTTCAAAACCTTCACTTCTCAAAACGGATTCTACCAGGGGCTGCTTCCCCTGGCACCAGAATAACTGATCAAAGACAACTAAACACCTCTTCAAACAATAAAAGTCACTTTGCCGACATTCCATAAAATCGCCTAAGTTCAATAGAGAGGCTTTTAAAAAAATATTCTAGACCTAGTAAAGTGCCTCCGTGAATAAAATTAAACATCCAAGATTAGACAATTTCATACCGATGCGCATCTAAAATAGGTCGGAGTATAGATAGAGAGTAAATAGCGCCTCTAAGTTGCCACGTTTCAGTGAGCGGGACGCGCACAGCCTTCGCCGTCCGGACGTGCACAGACTGGAAACCAGAGAAAAGTCAAGATTGTAGCGTCTTGTCTCCTCCACGGGACTCCGAACGGCCGGCTTGCTTTGGAAAAAAAAAAATAAATAAACCAAGACGACATCCCAAGAAGAACCGAGGACTGAGCTCCAGGAGGAAGCGATGGAGAGCGGGCAGGCGGCCGGCCGGGCTCAGCGCAGCTTCCTGCCGGGCGGGCCGTCGCGGGGGCGCGCGGGCGGCGCCTTGGACAGCGGGCAGTACTTGATGGTGTGCGCCGTGTCGCCGCTGGCGCCGCACAGGGGGCACGTGTAGCGCCGCAGCACCGGGCACAGCACGCGCCCGTCGGGGCCCTTCAGGATGTGCGTGGTGTAGAGCGCCACCGCCTCCTTGTTGTTCCGGCAGAACACGCACACCTGCAGCTCGGGCTTGAGCAGCCGCGCGGCGGCCGCCCCGGGGGGGGAGGAGGAGGAGGAGGAGGACGCGTGCAGCCGGGGCTCCGCCGCCCACGCCAGCGCCCGCTCCTCCCGCGGCGGGACCCCCTCGGCCGGGGCCGCGGCGGGCGCGCAGCCCAGCAGCACGGCGGCCGCGCGGCCGGCGAACGGGCTCAGCTCGGCGAAGCGCTCCTCCAGCAGCGCGGCCTCGGCGGGGCCGGCGCACAGGTCCAGCGCGCCGCCCAGGCAGCGGGCCCGCGACCCCGGCTCGTCGCTGTCGTCGTCGTCATCCTCGTCGTAGTCCGGCGGCCCCAGCGCCGGCCCCAGCGCCCCGGGCCCGGCTCCCGCGTGGGGGGAGCAGCAGGACGAGGAGGAAGAGGAGGGCGGGGAGCCGCCGCCGCCGCCGCCGCGGTCTCCGTCTCCGAAGCCTCGCTCGCCGCGCACCGCCTTGGTGATGAGCGTGGCGAGCCCCAGGTAGTCGTTCCAGGAGCTGAAGGGCGGCGGGTGCGCCGGGCCCGGGGCGCTCACGTAGCGGGCGCTGGGCACGAGCGCCATGGGCGGGGGGGCGCGGCCGCGGCGGGGCGAGGGGGGCGCCCAGGGGAAAGCCTCCATGGGCGGCTGCGGGCCGCGCGCGCCGCCTCCCCGCCGCCGCCGCCGGCGCGGGCGGGATGGAACGGACGCGCGGAGCTCAGCCGCCGGCCGGCCTGCCGCGGGGGTGGGGCCGCCCGGCCGCCTTTTATCCGGCCCCGCGCCTCCACGCCCCGCAGCCTCGCCGCTGCGGCCCTGCCCTCTGCGCTGCCCAGCCCCGGCCCGGGCGGAGGCGGAGCGGAGGCGGGCGCGCCGGGGGCGGGCGGGCTGCGGGCGGTGCGCGCTCCGCTCCGGCCCCAGCAGCTCCGGCGCCCCGCGCGCTGCGCCAGCTTTGCCAGCTGCGGGGCGGCTTTCATTCCGGGAGGGGGCGGGGCGGCGCCTCCGCGGGCCCCGGCGCTCATTGGCTGCCGACCAGAGCCCCCTGCGCCGCGGGTGCCGCTCAGGACGCTGATTGGCGGAACGGGGAAAGGGGCGTGGCCTGCCCGCGCAGCCCGGCGGGGAGGGGCGAGGAGAGCACAGAGAGGAGCCGGGGAGGGGCGGCCGCTGGGGTCCGCCCTCGCCCTCGCCCTCGCCCTGGCCTCCGCCTGAGCTCTGGGCCCGGGGTTTGCACAGGTGACCGGGGGCTCCCTGGCCGTCGTGGTGATACTCGCCGAGGACGGGAGGGGGCAGGGATGGTGATGGAGGAATGCCCCGACCTGCACGCACCCACTTCCCGGCCCTTAACCCTCTGGGTCAGAAGCCCCTGCTGGCCCCCCGCTTCTCACTGGCATCTGCGGGGAAAACTGGGGAGGCGGCCTGGGCGCGGACGGAGGATGCAGTTTTCAGAGGATTAACTTGTGACACTGAATAACTTGTTGACACAGCACACCTCTGAGACTCATAGAGGGTCCCAGCACGTCCCACAGTGGCCTCCCAACTAGTGTACAGAGACTGGATGGCCATTGACTGGTGACCTCGGTAAGGGTGGGCATGGGGCCAGAAAGCCTTCCTCCAGCCCTAGCGTTGGTGTGTGTGTGTGTGTGTAGCTCTCCCTCTAGTCGCCCCTGTCCCTAGGATTGTACCAAAATCTGATGGGTATGTGCAATTTGAAAAGTGAAGCATTTTCACTATCACAATTGGATACTTTGAAATGAAAACATTTTTGGGGGGAAAAATCAAGATTTTTGATTAGGAGGATGCAAGGTGGGCATGCCCTTCCCAGGGGAAGGGGCAACACTTTTGTGTTTTCACAGAAAGGCACTGGGGAGGGCCCTCACAGGGTTCTCCTCCCCCGTGGCTATCGGAACGGGAATGGGGTGGCTGGAGCTGGCAGCTCTCATTGGGCCTGAGGCCACACTCACAGCTCTGGCTGCGCCCAGCAGCCTTTGAAGGGCCCAGAGGAGGATGCCCAGAACCTAGGCCTAGCACCAGTTATCACTAGAATGAATGAGTGAATCAGAAATCAGCAGTAGAAGGGATCTCTGCAGTCATTTGATCCAATTTAAAAATATATACATATTTTATTGATTTTTTTTTTTTTTTTACAGAGAGGAAGGGAGAGGGAGAGTTAGAAACATCGATGAGAGAGAAACATCCATCAGCTGCCTCCAGCATATCTCCTACTGGGGATGTGCCCACAACCAAGGTACATACCCTTGACCGGAATTGAACCTGGTCAGTCTGCAGGACACTGAGCCAAACTGGTTAGGGCTGATCCAATTTAAAAATATATATATTTTCATTGATTCCCGAGAGCAAGGGAGAGGGAGAGAGAAATAGAAGCATCAGTGATGAGGGAGAATCATTGATCAGCTGCCTCCGCACGCCCCCTACTGGGGATCAAGCCTGCAATCTGGGAATGTGCCCTTGACCAGAATTAAACCTGGGACCCCTCAGTGGTCAGGCCCATGCTCTATCCACTGAGCCAAACCAGCTAGGGCCATTCTTCCTGTACCGATGAAGACAATGAGACTCAGGGGAGAGAGAAGGAGTTCTCTTAGATCCCATGGTGACTACGTACCAGCGAGAACTAGGCCTCGGGCCCCATCGCCCCTGGCTTGGTGGCCGTCCTGCTGTACCATGGACCCCAGAGGCATGTCAGCGTCCATGGGTGCATTGGCCGGAGTCAAGTGTAGAACGCAGGAGACGCGGGGTGATGCAGCCATGCCTTTGGCTTGGGCCTCAGCCCTCAGGGGCAACCCAGGGGCCAGGTGGCAGGCCAGGGAAGGGCCAGAGGCAGTAACGTGATGCCCGTTCTGGCCACCTGTCCCTGCGAGGGGCTGAAGACACGCTTTCCCAGTCTCTCCCTCACCTCCTGCTCCCCGAAGCTTGACTTACGTCCCGAAACCAGGCAGTGAGAGTGTGCACTTGCCAACCCGGTTCCTTTTTCAAGTTTGTGTTGGCACCCGCGTGGAAAAGCCATTCCTTCATCTCCACCCCTTCTCCCACCAAAAATAAACACCGGAGCCCGTGAGGCGCGAGGCTCCTGCAGAAGCATGGCAGGTTTGCTGACACAACTCCGAGCTCTCGCCATGAGAGCGAGGCCCCCGGAGCGGTAGGAAGGTTATTATCCTATAAATGGAAAGTTCCACTCCGTTCGCACGGCCCTGCAGCCTGCATGCTTTCACGGTATGCAGACCTTGCAAGGGCCGAGGGGTGGGGGCCTCTGGCCGGAGGACAGCTCCTGCCAGGGAAGTTTAAGACCCGCCAGCTGCTGCGTCCGATCCCCCGGGTCCGCCCAGGGAGAGGAGGGCCAAACACGAGGCCTCTCGCCGCTCCTCCATGTTGTCAGCCTGCGGTTTGACCGGGGTGGGGGGGGGGTGGTAATAAACACCTGGAAGTGCACCTGAAAAAGAACAGGTGCCCCAATTTAGAGCCGAGGGCCGCGCGGTGGTAGCGAGGATGCTCGGGAGATGCCCTGCAAAGGGGTGGGAGGGACTCGTGTGTCCGGGGTGGTGTGTGTGGGGGTAGTGGTGTGTGTCTGGCTCCAGGGTCTTCCCACAGGCTGCTCACCTTGTCTGCTCCCAACCCTGTCCACGGCCAAACACCAGTAAGAGTATCTGGAAGTGGGGCCCAGAGTGCGTGAAGGCTTCTGTTTTGGGGACCTGCTGGCCTGTGCACTGGGTGGCCATCGGAAGGCCAGGGTGGGTGCCTGGCCCAGCTCTGGGCTCGCTCTACCGTTGCTTTTGGTCGCCAAGCCGAGGCCGTGAGCTCCCAGGCTCTCTTTGAGGGGGTGGCGCTGACTTCGGAGATGCTCTCAGCACCTCCGGTGAGCCTGCCTTTCCCCCCTTTTTCCAGAAGTCTGAAACAGAGCAGGCAGGGCCAGCCGGAGTATGACAGTGCCTTCATGGGAGTCCCTCGGATTGGTGGAAGCAGGGAGGCAGGTCGGGACGGCCTCACACGGAGGAGGTGAGAGGGTGATGCTCAGGTTTCTTCGGGACGGCCTGTGGGCACAGGCAGGAGGCTCTGGCAGGGCAGGGGTGGGCGGTGGGGGCGCCGATGGGCTCTGCGTCCTCACCTCTTCTCGGGGCCCCAGCCTGGGCCGTGTTCCTGGAACTGAACCAGGAGGGACGACACACAGGCCGAGGCCCTCCAGCGACATGAGGTCAGCCCCGGGGAATGAGGCAGCCACAGAGACGCTGCGTGTCGGGCTCCGGGTCCCGCTGACTCGCCTGCCAAGCTCCTTCCAGGGGCAGGAAGTGCTGGGCTCCCCAGCCCTGGGGCTCGGAGGTGGGGGAGGTGGCTTGGGGCAGGTGAGGGCGCTCTTTTCTGTCGCCGTGTTGACTTTGTCCACATCCTGACTCTGGCCAAGCTCAGGGTCCTGGGGCTGGTGCCCCTCCCCTCTGGGGGCTTGGAGCTCGCCGTTGGCAGCTGAGAAGGCATGCGGTGAGGTGGCGGGAGCTTGCGGGGCCTGCGGTGGGTGTTCTTGCTGGGCCTTCTGCAGAGTGGCACGGGGCCTGGGACGGGGGACTCAGGCACCCCGGACCTACCCTTCCCGGCATCAGCCCGGGGCTGGCTCATGGCGTGAAGTGGCAGCCCCTCTCCCTTCTGGCTTCCTCTTGCTCCAGGTGAGTCTCCTCCCTCAGCCTCGGGGATGAGCTGGGCCAGGTGGAAGGCAGCCCCTGGGCCAGGGCTGGGTCCGGAGGGGCTGGGGACCCTGGCCCAGGCTCTGACGTGTGCGGGGAGGTGCGTGAGGAGGACCCCGGGAGGGAGTTGGCTCCCTTGTAGGGAAAGGAAAAACACCTCCATCTGGAGAACGGCCTGCGGGCAAGGCTTCAGGACAGGAGGGAAGCTGGCCCTTCCCACCGGCGATGGGAACCGTGGGGACACTTCCCTGGGCGGCTTGGCGACTTGTTCCACGAGGTGAACGCCTCTGTGGCTTCCGCCGCGGAGTCCGGCGTGCATTCGCTTGCATCCGAGTTCGTCCTCCTTGAAATGGCAGTAATGTGAAAAAGATGCGGGCGGTGCGTCTGTCGGAAAGTTAGGATCTGTTGAAACCAGTTTATCTCAGTGGATAGAGCGCCAGCCTGCGGACTGAAAGGTCCCAGGTTCGATTCCGGTAAAGGGCATCTATCTTGGTTGCGGGCACATCCCCAGTGGGAGGCGTGCAGGAGGCAGCTGGTTGATGATTCTCTCTCATCGATGTTTCTAGCTTTCTATCCCTCTCTCTTTCTCTCTGTAAAAACTCAATAAAATATATTTTAGAGAGAGAGAGAGAGTGAGAGAGAGAGAGAGAGAGAGACAGAGAGAGAAAGGAAAGGTGGGATCCGATGTTCTGGGGGAGGGCACTGGCAGCCAGGTGGGCATGGTGCCTGTGGACCAGGCAGGGAGGAAACCGGAGACGGGGAGCCAGGGCTTTGCCGGCCTCCTCGCTCACGGGGCTCTGCCTGGCGATAAAGCCTCCAGCTGGCAGCGGAGACAGGGACAGGTGCCTGGCCAGGTGCTTCCGACCAGGTGCCTCGCCGCCCGCTCAGGACCTGCCACAGCGGCCACGTGGCCACGTGAGGCAGGTGCTGCGATCGCCGCATGTCCCGGCTGAGGGGCAGGGCTCCCACTGACACCTGTGTCCCTCCCGCTGCAGGGCTGGGCCTGCTCCATGCACCTGGCCTCCTCCGGCCTGGGGCCTCGGGGACACATGGGAGAGGCTGGGAGTGGGGGCAGGAGACGGTAGAGGGAGCTGCCTAGGCCAGTGGTCGGCAAACTCATTAGTCCACAGAGCCACGTGTCAACAGTGCAATGATTGAAATTCCTTTTGA